CCAAACGGTTGTCGCCAGGAGGTCTGAGTGTACCCCCAATGTATTACAATCAGTATAGCACTACGTCCACCACTATCTATAGCACCCCTTCAACATATATGGCAGCAGGGGAATTTATGCTATCTGACATAAGGCCATGCCCCGCACAGACATTTTGTCTATTAAATTGACAATTTTTGTAATCAGATATCTCTGCTTGCTTTATGATAAATTTGCAGAAAATCCTGTTGGTACTTGGCAGCTGAATATCAAGATCAGTTGTCAATGGACAAGTGGTCAGGTAATGCTCTGGGGACCCAGTATCTCCTCAGCAGCAGAACTCAGTATGGCTGTGTCCACGTTTTGCAAAATGGACCATGGCCAGTGATAAATCGGATGAGCTGAGGGTTGGAAACGATACGGTCAGTGTCCAGATACGCAATTCATGTTTACATTTGATCCTTTACAAAACACGTCAAGTGACTATTTTTGTTCGTAATTCAATTTACTACGGTTAATTCTATTTCATTTTCACATTTAGAGCCCACCATCTATTATAACACGTTCCACCGGTTGAACTGGTCCTTGTCACCGCCCAATAGCCTTCAATCTCAGGCATTTCTTTAGATAAGAAATGGGCCATGGGATATTGACCTGACTGTCTGCATTGCCTGAAGCTGCCTCTTTGGCTAGACTGTCTACTGTTTCATCTCCATAATGCCCAGCATGGGCTTTGATCCACTAAAGTTTATGCTGATGGAGGAAGTGCTCTCTTAGATTATGCTGAATGTTTTGGATGATGGGAGATGGATGGTCAGGATTACCCAAAACATGCAATGATGATCGACTGTCTGTCTTTATAACTGCTTTTTTAATGCCGTAAGTAATTAGGTAGCATAAGGCTTGTGCAATAGCAATCACTTCACCTTGGAAGACTGAATTTTGAGATCACCGTTGACCTTTCCAATGATGTGTAACTATATGATCCCGCAAAACAGCAAAAGCACTGCCTGTGTTTTTGTTAATTTTTGAGCCGTCTAGTATATATTTCTATTCAACAAGGTAGAGCTGTAGTATCTGGCTGCACTTGGATACGAATACCAATGCCTTTAAATGATGGATGGGTGCGAAAATCAGGAGTCAGTATATAATACTCTTCTGGAATGAAATATTCATGAGAACACCAGAGACGAACTCCTGCACTGGTTATAACTTTCAGTCAACTAAGACAGTATGCTAGCAGGAAGGGGCTTACAGACTTGGCAAGTTCAAGGCTGCCATAAGACAGTTTAAATGCCCCAACCCTTAGCAGCGATCTAAGAAACTGCTAACCTATCGGTTGAACCGAAGAGCTAAGGCTAAGCTGAGGCAACAGGAACACTTAGCAACTCGCATTCCACGTCCCCGTTCTGAAGGGATGGTAAAAACATCTGCCATCAACAGGGACCCCCAACGCTGAACAGCAGAACGAAGCCACTTAAATACTGTCAGACAGACTGGGCTACCAGTCCAGCTTGCTAACACTTATGTCATGCTATGCAGATGTTGGCTTAAGCCTGTTATCGTTCTTATTTATGGACTATGCTAAAGCAGCAACTGTACTCTGAGCTGCTCTGGTGGTGAGGAGCAGACTATAGGTCACTTGGATAGGATTGCTGTGGTTTGTGTCACATGTTAGCATCATTTAAATAATGGGAGCTGTAATAATAAGAAAGTACTGATTCTTGTTAAAATCATGAACATTACTGATCAGTTGTCGTACAATTTAACCATTAGATTGATAGTAGTTGTGACTAAGCGTGTTTATAGTAGTTCATCGTCGACTGTAAAACGTGTTTTGCAGCTGTCCTGACAAATAAAGTCCTGGCGAATAAACTGTGTTTCGATATATCATCAAGTGTCGTAGTTATTCACTCCAAATCTAAGAACTCCGTACGTAACAATTGGTGTCAGAAGTGGGATTTGTGAGTGAATGCCAGTCACCCGCCTGCAGAGGAAAGCCATGGCAGAAGAAACGAAGACTTTGATGGACTTCTTAGTCGAGATTAGGGTTGAGATGCAAACCGGGCAGGAGGAGATAAAGGCTGAAATCAAAGCCGGACTGGAAGAGTTGAAAGCCAGACTGGAAGCGAAGAAAGCCCAATGAGAAGAAATAAATGTTGGCCATGAAAAGGTGCAAGATCAACTGCAGCAGGTGAAAGTGGAGCTTGAAAGAAACTGGAGCCATAAAAGATGATGTGGAAATGAGAGAAGTGGCTTCTGAAAAATCAAAGGGTGAAGAAATGAAGGAAGTAACTAACAAACTGCCTGAGAAAGATCTAGAAATGATGGATGAAGCATCTAACAGGATTAATGAAAAAGAATGAAAACATGAAGAAATAAAAGACGGGAAAGAAGCTTTTGATTCTCAAGTGCCTGAAGTGGAAGTAACAGGAAGTGAAAATGCTACTGTTAAGTTCTTCGAAACTGATAGTGAAGTTATGAAAACGCAGTCAGCAAGTGTTGAACCATCTGAAAGTTCATGTGATACTGAGATTGAAGAAGCTGATGTACAGCTGAAGCAGTGTGCTTCAGTATTGCAAGAAAATTCACCCACTTCACAAACTATGTGCGCGTCTAATAGGGCTGATTGTGCAGATAAGGACTTGATTCTAAACCTCGATACTTGTGTTTGTGAAGAATTGGGTTCTATTCATGACCCTGATGCAAACATCGGAACTGGTTTTCAGGAAATAGAGGTAAATAAGGATGTACCATCTGCTAAAGATACCAAGGTGAACTATACGCATGCTGTGTGTGATCTACAGAGTGGTGTACGAATTGTTTTAGATTTTCCTGTGGATGAAAAGTCTAAAAGAACTGAATCTCCAGACTGTGATATGCAAAACAGAAATACATCTGAGGACTGCAGTGGAAAAGTATTTAACCCTGGTATATTTTAATGAAAAGACAGAGACTGAAATTCATTCAAAACTTTAATTTGTATTATTTGGAATTGTGATGTGTTTAATTTGTGTATATAACTCGTACATAGTATATTTATACATAGTATAGTATCGTACATAGTATAAATATTTGCTTCTCATTTTTAGGGGTACCCATGATTCTTGCTCGTGAGTTTTCGTATCTAGTTTCTGTGTAAAGTTTGTATGTAATGTAAATGTTTGTTTCTTTAGTTATGTTACCTGTATGTTTTTAAAACATTTGGATTGTATCGAATTTGGCTGCTGACCAAGGGTTGTGCCCGGGACGTGCAGTCTTTGGGAGGGGTCAGTGTTACGAATTGTACAGGCGCGGTAAGATGACTTCTCTGCAAAGCAGTTTTAGGGTTGCCCTAAAATGGCAAGGGAAGGCAGGGTTGCCACATTTGGGGACAAAATTGGCGATATACCATGGACGCATGGAGGACCTTCTGGAACGAATTATTGCCGGTTTAGCGCAGAATGTTTTCAAATACAAGCCGAAAGCTATATAAACCCTGCTGGTCTGCAGTCAGTGTGTGCGTGCCTTGTCGAGAGGGCGAGTAGAGAGTGTCTCGTCTAGAGTGCGAGATAGTTAGTCTCGGGTTAGTAAGTCAGTGTGAAGTCGATCGAGTTAACAGCCGTGCAGTGTGTCTCGAAGTCTAGCGCTTAGTTGGTCGTCGAGTGCATCTAGTATATAAGTATACCTAGTATATAAGTCTTCTAGTATATCACGGTTAGTGCATTGTCGAGAGAGCGTGTTGAGCTCCGGGAACGACTGAACTGAAGAGTCGGGAGCTGTGCTCTGTGTGTCAGCGACTGCATCGAGTTTTAGCGTGGAGTCTCGAGAATATGTGGAATTCCGAGAACGACAGAACAGAGTCGGGAGCTGTACTCTGGTGCTTTGCAGTGAAGCTGTCTCCACCGTGATAGTCTGATAACCTGAAGGCTGTGTCGCTGATCGTGTCAGCGTGTTTATAGTAGTTCATCGACGATTGTAAAACTTGTTTTGGAGCTGTCCTGTCAAATAAAGTGTGTCTCGATACTTCATCAAGTGTCGTCGTTATTCACTCCAAATCCACACGAACCCCGTATGAACGTGAATGAAGAAAATAACGTAACAATTGGTGTCAGAAGTGGGATAGAACATAGCAACTGGTGTCAGAAAAAGGAAAATGCAACAGTATATTAAAATCAACTCAATGTAAATCAACTCAAGGCTGGAAAAATATTCTGGTTTTTAATCCAACAAGAATGTAGCATTCCAGTTGTTATTCTGATTCAGTATTTTTCTATTACATCCTAATTTCATTTTACCTTGTAAAATTGTAATCATAATGATATTAGAGATGCAACAGTTTGATAAATATAAGTGATGGCAGCAGTATAAACTTTCTTTGGCATTAATTTTAGACTTGGTAAATTGGAGATTTTTTAATGTCACTAATATATGTAACATAACTTAGCAGTCAAACTATGAGAATTGTGAATATGTTAAATAATTTAAAATTATATCATTAAAAGGAATATAAAGAAATATTATATTATTAATTATTGTTCATCTGCTAGCCATTCTTCTTTCTGAAGAACTTACCAGGAAACTTCAATAGCTGATGAGCTAGATTTCCTTGAAAACTTCCTTATTCATTATAATCTGTTCAATTTTGACAAATAATTTGAATTGCAAACTCTATTTTCCAAAACTGTTACAAATCTGGTTTTTTTAACTTTTTTCCTTTGCCTTTGATTTTGCGTCATGTATAAATTATGATAAATTTTTTACGAATTATGGAATATTTTCTCCTTGTCAGCTAAACATCATATTTGTATAATTCTGATAGCAGTGAGCGTATTTCTAGTTTTGAGTAATTTCGTAATACATGATAAAGAAAGGCAAAACTTCTGAAATGTTCAGGTGTTATTGTATTCACGTCTTTAACGTTATATCCTGATGCATTTTCATATTCTCTGATTTGTCGTTCTTACCACTTTGTTGCTGATAATTATTTATATGTAAAATTATTGTTAATAGATTTTTAATTAGATTATTTTGATTCTTAGGATGCTGGATGATGCTAGTGTACCAGAATGTATGCGTTCACAGGATACAAAAATGCCAAGTTCAGACTTGAACTGCAATGCTGATAAAGTGGAGAAAACAACGCTTAAAGTTTATTTGAGTAATGGAAATTTCAACATTGTTAAGTTTGGTGAAACAACTCTTGTGAAGGTAAATCAGTTGTTATATTTGAGTATAATTAAATTTTTATGACTGTGGCCTTTAGGACTTTTATAATTTTTCTGGAAGTGGATAATGATTTTGTGGAGAAATATTATAATAATTTTTTTCCCACATTTATGAGACATTATCTTAAAACAAATGGGTATCTTTCTGATCTTCAAAGAGATAACATGAGGAAAGCATTTGAATGTAAAAAATGTGTTCCTTTAAAAATCGCAAATAACGAGGCACTCACTTTTGATACACTTTTAACAAAATCTCCAATAAAAAAATTCAAATGAGGTAAAAATGGCTTTGATCAAAGATCAACTGTATCAGAATAAAGAGGGTGGATTTCTACCTTTTCTGATTCCAACAGGTATGTATGAAGAAGTTGGGAACAATATAAACCAGAAAATGGTTTTGAAGTATTTGAAGCTAAAACTCATTCAGGAATCTGATTTTTATTTTTACTTTTAATTAATTGATTTTTTTTTTTTTACTCTTATTTTATCATTCATCCATTTTTACATATTGTGTAATTTTATCTTTGTTTTTATGTATTCTTCTTTCATTAATTTTACCTTTTAAAAGTATGTAATCCTCAGCTACCATTAAAAAATCTCAAAATAAATTATAAATTTTGTAGATGGTACCTGTTTTTGAAGTGTTCCATCAGCCGTTTCCAAATAAAGTGGATATTTGGATTTGCAAGGGCTTTGAGACCTCTAAAATTGTTGCACCACCTCATGGAAACTTTGCTTTACATCTGTGAATGTTCTTTTGCAAGAAAAATTCTTTTTTTTTACCAAATGTTAGATAAGAGAGTTGAATGAATGCATTATGTCATTTCTCACAGTGCAAAAAAAACTTGGTTGCTTCACTTATTTATCTCTTATCTTTCTCCTTCCTGTTAAAAGTAAATAATCCAACCTGAAGTATTAAAATGAAATGAAGTTGTAAGTTTTTTAAAACGATTTTTGGCCCTTAAAGTCCTTAATTTATGCTTTTTTAAGACTGCCATGTTGAGTGTGAATAAATATTTTGGAGGAATATTTTTGGCTATGCCTTGACAAATATGTACACTGGTGTCCAAAAATTAAGGACGAAGTCGAAAAATTAGCATATCAGCTGAACGAAGAGGCAGAGAGAACAGAAAGACCAATCAGGAGATTAAGTAAGGTGATGTACTGTAGCACATGCGCAGATATGCAGGTAGACGTAATGGGGGAGTGTCTGAGTAGTATAAAGCATGTTGTCGGTGTAAGATCAGTATTTCTGGTAAAGAGATTGCACGCGGTATAGCAGTTAAAATCACACCGAGTTGCTGCCTCAGCGAGAAATGGCGAATAATCAATCCGTTAGACGACATCTGGATGCTTTTACCCGAGGTCGAATCATTGGGAAGTTGGAGGAAGGCCGCAGTGTGACAAGTGTGGCTGCAGAGTTCGGAATTGCTCACAGCATCGTTTCACAACGTTGGAGACAATTTCAAACTACAGGAACAGCTATCCGGGGGTTTAGTAGTGGTCGTCCACAAGGAACCACAACCGCAGATGACCAGTATATTGCCTTACAGACCATAAAAAACAGGTGGCAGACAGCAGGAGAAATCGCTAGACACACGACACAGGCGACTGGACGACCGATATCGCGTTTTACCATGGCCCGAAGACTACACGTTGGTGGTCTGTTTGCACGATGCCCTGTACGATGTGTACCTCTAACGCCTGCCCATTGGAGAAGGCGTTCTCTGTGGTGCCGGGAACACCGGAATTGGAGAGACAATGAATGGGGACGAGTAATCTTTACAGATGAGAGCAGATTGAGTCTGAGTAGCGATTCTCATCGCATATTCATCTGGAGAGAGCGGGGAAGCCGCAATCATCCCTCGAACATCATTGAAAGGGACAGGTATGGAGGTGGCGGTGTTCTCGTTTAGGGAGGCATCATGCTTGGTAGTCGTACAGACCTACACATCTTCGACGCAGGTTCAGTTAACGGGACCCATTATTGTAACGAGATTCTTCTTACATATGTGCGTCTTTTTAGAGGCGCTATGGGTCCGCAGTTCCTTTTCATGGACGACAATGCACCATGTCATCGCACAGTAGCTGCCGAACAGCTCTTAGAGAATGAAGATATTGAACGTATGGATTGGCCGGCACGATCTCCGGATCTGAATCCCATCGAGCATGTATGGGATTTTCTAGGCAGACGCTTAGCAGCTCGTACCTTACCACCAGTAACGATTCTGGAGCTTCGATTGGAGCTGCAAGACGAATGGGCAGCAGTGCCTCAACAACTCCTTGACATCCTCATTCTCAGCATGGGCAGACGCTGTGAAACCTGCCTAGCAGTCAGGGGAGATCATATCGCCTATTAAAGACCGGATGTTTCTTGCTGGACACCCATCACAGGGATGTTTCGGCCTTCAGTCGCATTGCATTCCATGCTACTTTTTCAATAAAGCTTCTTTTTATCCCTCTGATTTCTCTTTTAGTAAGTGTTGCTTACATTACTCATGTCCTTACATATTGGGGATCTTACGGTATTAAATGTGTTGATTTGGAAAGCTTTTGTACAAAGTTATATTGAAAAAACCATCTCGTCCTTAATTTTTGCACACTAGTGTATTTTAATAGTTTAACGTTTGAATTCTTTTGAAAGTACGCAGTGCGAAATTTGGTGACATTCTGGCGATTTCAATATCAGTTTGTATACATAATTTTTTTATTAGGAGATTTGCGAAATTTTGATGATTTTTCTTACAAACACAAGAACATTGATATTTATCATAAAAATCATAGTAATATATTAAAATTATATATAAGAAATAACATTTAAATAAACCACTTTTATTCTCTTCTACCATATTTAAAGTGATATTATTTTCCATTTTGGTAACTTAGGAATATTTTGATTCTGAAAAATGAACAGGGTAATAAATGCTATAGTACAGTTTCCGAAACACTTCTTAGAAAAGTAAAAATTCTACTGTAATTAAAAAATTAATTACTCTTCCCTCCTTCCTGCTTGAAGCATTCACATATTTCAAGCTTTCTCTTTTCATTCATAGTATTATTTGGAATTCGTGGTAGTTAACTAGTAGCATGCTTGAAATGGGAAAATACAGCAGCTATACAGTGGCTTTTAAACTGAAAGTCATAGAATTTGTGCAGGAAAATGGAAAAAGAGCAGCAGCAAGAATAAATAAGTTGGACGAAAGGTGTGTGAGCAGTTGGAGCAAACAACTGGCAATTTTCTGAACTTGGGAAAAAAGAAGTTGTGTATGTTCGTGATATGCATGCTCAAGAATATGCAGTAACACGGGAAATGTGCTAAATAAGAGTGCTTGCTGCAGCATGAGAAGACATTCCTACATCACAATTCAAGACAAGTGAAGGCTGGTTGTAGCGAATGATGTAACAAAATGGATTTTCATACGGTACATAAAATAATGTGTGGAAATATTAAAACAATGAACGTTTATTTAATTTATGTAGAAGTAAATATTAAAATTTAAAGCAATGGTTAATTTTTGCCTCTATACTGTGCTCCTGTGCGAACTAATACGCGGATGGGAGAAAGTGAATTTGTAAATTTTAGTTAGCTTATTAGACAACATTAAATTTGATACTTTTATTACTTATGCCATTTTCTTCCCCTTAGAAATTAACTTGGCTGTTTCAAATGAAATTAACACCCAAAATTACTCATGAGAAAAAGCACGACATTTGAATGACCCGTGTAATGTCTGCACCTGCATTTTAGTAAAAAATGTGTGGACATTACATGAGTGTATACGGTATTATTATTTTTTATTTTATATTAAATGTTTCAGTTTTTAATAAGTTTTAATATTCTGTCATTATTTCGCATTTAGATTTTTTTTAAATATGTTCTAATACAGATAAGGTTTTGAATAATGTATTACTAAAATTGATTGATGATGATTTCTTATTAGTTGTCTAAATAAATGGATTATTTATGTGAAATTAATAGTAATTATTTATATAAAATGAATAATTATATTTGTTTAATAATAATTTCGTATTTTCACTTTCATATTTTAGGATGTAATCAATGTTGTTACAAATCGTCTATCAGATTCACTACATTCCTTTGAATCAATTTATGGAATGAGACTGTTGCACAATATTTCTAATGAAGTACACTGGCTGCATTCAGACACAGCAATGTTTCACGTTCTTGAAAAGTATTCGTATTATCCTGCTGATGAATGGAGGTAATACATATGCTTTAATATTTGTTTATTGTATGGAGTTCATGTTGCATTTTAAATGGATAATGACGTTTAAATATTATTAAATTAAACCTATACATTATCAAGTCCAAAATTTGAATGTCCAATATCTGAACCTCCAGAGCACCGGGGGGGATTATAATTTTTTTATCTTTCAAAATCTAGGGATGGTGAATATAATATTGAATGAAAAAGCTGGTGTGCCATGAAAGCAGCTTTTCTCCCAATTGCAATTCTTACAAATCACTTTCCAAATACCTGTTGGCTAATGAATCACTCAGTTACCAATGAGAGCACTAATTGGTGTTAGCTGCAACCATCCTGTTGCTTGTGTGCAACTATGCATGGTTCATGTAGCTTTCACAATAACTCTTCAAGGCTCTAAGTGGTTGTGGGAGTTAGCACTTTTGATTTTGTTTCATTTGAATTTTTGATTATGTTGAAAAGTGTTTTAAAATCTGAATTACAGCAGGATCTGTGGAGAAAAAGCCTGTTTTGTTATCAATCAAACAAAAAGTGGAATTGATGTAAAATATGGATAAACACATATCCATGTCAAAATTATGCAAGAACGACATTAGAAAAGCAGCAGTATGTGACATAAAAAACAAACTTTTTGAAATTTTTGTGAATTCTGACATCTCATTCACAATTAATTACATAAACATCTTTGTTATGCTAAAAGTGACAATCATGGCCGAGTGATCATTTAATGAATGAGGCAACATTGCTGTGAGACCATTTGTTCACTGATCCAGTGCTGATGACTGAAGCCAAACTGTTTCATGAGGAAATTCACTGTGGTGTATCAAGAATTTAATCATAATTGAATTTAGAACTGATATGCATCAAGCATCGGGTAGCCCGCAAATGGAGTGTGGATGTAGAAGACCGTAAGTGCTGGTCATTGAAGTTGTAAGTGTTTATTTGTAAGCTTTTATGTACAGTGCAATATGTCTTGTTTATCATAAAGTGTCATGTGGATAAATACAGTGTTGTATGTAATATATATACACTAAAGACAGGGTAGCAGGTGGTGACAATATGTTCGCGATGTACGAGGACTGACCATGATAGAAATTCTTGTAAATTTAAGACAAGTACTTGCAGATTTTGTAAGAAAATTGGGCAGATTGAAAGAGCATGCTTTAGCACTAAAAATGCTGAAAGAAAGCCAAACAAAGGCAACTAGATGTGGGAAATGAAAATACACTTCCTATAAACAGCATAAATTTTAGTCAGGTGAAAAAAATGAAATTGCCCATACTGGCCCAAGTGAATATAGAAGGGAAACAGGTAGCTATGGAACTGGATACAGGAGGTGCAGTATCGGTAATGAAATTAAAAAATTTCTGGCAAATTTCGAAAAAAAAATTCAAAATACAAGTCTGGTATTTGAAACATATAACGGTGAAAAACTAATACCCTTATGATTTACTACAGGTAATTTAGAATATAAAGGTCAAAATAAAAAATTGAGTCTTTACATTGTTAAAAAATCCTTGATACATTGGTCGAGAATGACTTTTAGAGATACATTTAGATTGGACCTCAATAAAGTCAATATCTGTCTCTAAAAAATTTAGTGTGAATAAAATTATTGGAACAGTATAAGGAGATTTTTGACGAAAAATTACGGAAGATAAAAAATTATAAGGTTCAACTTGAATTAAAGCTGAATGTTTCACCAAAGTTTTATAGAGCTAAAGGGGTACCATTTGCATTAAAAGGCCAGATAGATGAGGAAATTGATCACTTGGAAAATGAGGGCATAATTGAAAAGGTTGAAACATCAGAATAGGCAACACTGGTAGTACCAGTAGTTAAGCCGGACGGCTCTATACAATTCTGTGCCGATTAGTCGGTGACAGTAAACCCAAACATTGTTACACATCAACACCCTTTGCCAACTATTGAGGATATATTTTCTTGTTTGAGTTGTGGAAAGCATTTTTCAAAAATTGTCTTTAAACATGCTTACTTACAAATGAAGATACACCCTGATAACTCAAAAATTGCTAACAATAAACACACATAAAGGATTATATAAGAGTAAGAGATTAATGTTTGGGCTAAATGCAGAGCTGGCTATCTAGCATTGACAGACTATTCCAAGGCATGGAAGGGTGTAATGTCTTCATGGATGATGTGCGAATAACAGGGTCTGATGAAGAGGCACATTTAAATACTTTAAAAATTTCTTCAAAATATGTAAAACTCATTGACTAAAACTAAATTTGGGAGAGAGCAAATTTTTTCAGGATGAGATAAAATTTTTAGGTCATAAAAATCGATGCCAATGGTTTACATAAATTAATGAAAAAATATCAGTGATTGCAAAAGTCGCAAGACCTATAAATGTCCAGAAAATTCAAAGTTTTTTGGGATTGGTTCATTTTTATGGAAAATTTAGCCCAAATTAAGTGACAGTCTCAAATCCCTTAACTAAGAAAATTTCAAAATGGATTTGGATGAGGGATTGTCAGGAGGCTTTTCTAAACATTGAAAAAAAATTGTGTGCACAGAAAGTTTTGATGCATTATGATCCAAAGTTACCCTTAACTTTGGCAACTGATGCATCACTAGTGGGGTTAGGTGTGGTACTTTCTCACAAGCATTCCTGATGGAATGGAAAGGCCAATTGCATATGCTTATAGAACACTGACTGAAAAGTAGAAAAAGTATTATCAAACAGATAAAGAAGCATTATCAATCATTTGGAAAACTAAAAAGATTTTTCTCTCCTTAAAACGCAGGAAATTTACTTTGATTATGGATTATAAACCTCTTGTTGCAATCTTTGGCTCAAAGAAAGACATGCCAGTTTTGGCAGCAACAAGACTCCTGCACTATGCCTTGGCCTTACAGTCATTCCAATTCAACGTTATTTACCATGAAACAAACTAGCGTGGTAATGCGAACTATTTATCACGCTTACCAACAAACTCAGAGCAACAGTTCAGGATGATGTAACAATTTTTCAGTTACAGCAGATTTAAACTCTTCCAATCTCTGCCTGAGATTTGGCTAAAGAAACCGAAATTGATACAGAACTCAGTCCTCTGCTGCAAATACTTCAGAGCTATGGTGAATTGAAAGGAAGGGAGATGGAGTACAGTCTCCAAGATGGCTGTATATTGTATGGGCAGCGTGTTTGTATTTCAAAACAATACTGTGGGAACGTTTTGAATGAGTTGCACCATGGAAGCTCAGGGACTGTAAAGATGAAAGCAATTGTGAGACCTTGCATGTTTTGGAATTGTATAGATAAGGATATCAAGAATACTTCCCAAAACTGTTCTAAATGTGCAAAACATAAAATTTAATTCTTTGCTCATTGACATTTCTAACTCAAGAGACATTATTTCTTAGATTAAGAGGTATTTTACTACTGTATTACCTTATAATAGAATTGATCCCATTATTCATAATTTAGTGTAAATAATTGCTGCAAACCCTTATAACTTTAAATATAATAACTTTAATTTATTAACTTCAATTTTAATTACATTCAATTATTAACTTTAATTTATCAACTTTAAATGGTTTGGTTAAGCACACTAGGGCTATCTGTCTAAGGGGATGGATGCCTTTGTGGAGGACTTTCTAAGGGGAACTGGCTCGTACACACGTTACACATGGGGAAAACCATAAAAACGCCCATGCAGCCAGCCCGTTCGCGGGATTCGAACCTCGGACCAAACTACCAGTGTTCAGCGACTTTACCGCTCGGCCGCTGGTGGGTACCCAACTTTAAATGTATTAACTTTAATATTTTTAAGTATAATTAACTTTTATTTCCTTTAGTTAAATATTTGTGAAAAAATGTTCTAAACTATTATAAATCAGTATATTTATTCCATGTATTGATTGTAGCATTCCATATGTTATGCATTAGAATATATTGTTGAAAATATGGAAAGGCATAATACAATAATAATTCATATCAAGATGTGAAACTTCTAAATGGATATATTTTAACATTTGTAAATTCTTTAATAAAATGCTGTATTTTATAGAGAGAAATGTAGTTTACTAATTTTTCAGTTTTATTAAGTGTATAATTAAAATTTCTTTGCAGTTTGTCATTTTTTGTATTATAATAAGACTGAGCAGATGATTGATTTAAATGAAATTTATTTTAATGGAAGTGTTTTCTAATACTAGTGAATTTCTTTTTAGATTAGAGTTACGTGTTAGATATGTTCCTAAAGATTTGAGGGATATGTTTGAACAAGATAAAGTGACTTTTCTGTACTTTTATGAACAAGTATGTAGCTTCTTTCTTGTGTATTTCATGTAGATTTAGAAAATAAAGTTTACTGAAAAGTAATTTTTTACAATTTTCAATTTTTTTAAATCTTGTAGATTGTTTTATTTGCTTATTTTTCCTTCAGGTAAAAAATGATTATCTTAGTCTTGATATAGAAATTGACCAAGACTTAGCTATACAGTTATGTTGTATTGAAATAAGGTAAGTGTTAATTAGTTTATAATTATTGATCTCACATTAGCATGTAAAATAGCTGCATTTAATCATACAGATACATACTGAACAAAGCATATATGTAATCATGACACATTTTTATGAAGTCTTAAAAATGATTTTTATGCTTATATGTGCTCTGAATGTAAAAAGTTAATTAAAATTGTATATAAATTTTTAAAAAATGTTTAACCAAAAAAAAAAAAAAAGAAGAAGAAGAAGTACAAATTACATTTAATGAGCATGAATTTACTATGATAACTAGATATTTTAATAATGGGAAAGCTACTTTAATAACAGGAATGGCTAAATACTTTAACAATAGGAAATTAATATTCCTAATAAGAATACCTTTTTACTTTTAGAATATCTCTTATTGATCCTAGACATGGACTTTTAATTGAAAAGTTTTAGAAAATAAGGTGGGAATTTTATGAAAGTGGTTTTAGGACCTGTAGTAGTAAGATTTTGTAAACAAAAATGTGGTTCCTCGTGCAGTAGGAAACGTAATTAGCAAAGTATCCATTATGCTTCAAGATTAAAAACAAAATCGTGTGTCTTTACATTAAAAATTCACCTTGATATTTATAATTAATTGCTTCATTGGGTCCGTATGAAATTAATAACTAGTACTGAATATCTTCATGAAATATTGTCTATCATAAAAATCATCTCTTGATCATCAACCATGTTTTATTTTGTGCTTCCTAAATTTGTATAGAAATATTTCTGATTATTATTAATAATAAGCATTTAAAAGCGATGTGCCAATAAATAGGTTGTTGGGTATGTCAGTGAATTTTACCTAGAAAGGTATGGACAATTTTATGCTTAAGTTAGCATTGTGAGCATTTTGCTAATAGTACTTTGTTAAAGCGGACAGGGGAAAAAAAATTAAATTTTGTGTTTAGAAATTTCTAACCACCAGTTTTTAACGTTTTTGTAAAATTCTACACCTAATACTGAAAACTTTTATAATTAGAAGTATGTGCAGATTTAAGAGAACTTCTTTTTTGAGGCCCCTGTGTATATAATTTTTCATGTGTATAAAAGCAAATTTGTGTAAAGCTGTCTTTTTTTTTTTTTTTTTTTAAGCATTGGCTTTGGTTATTTTTTGTTCCTCATTGTTTATTTATTTATTCTTTTGTTTGTTTGTCATACTTTTTCAGGTCTGTATTACCTTTCAATTAATACACATGAAATTTTATTACCTTTAACTTTAGGAGGTTTTTCAAAGATATGACCCATGTTGCATTAGACAAGAAATCTAATTTTGAATTTCTTGAGAGAGATATTGGACTTCATAAATTCCTGCCATCACGTGTTATTACCAATAATAAAGTTAGTGTTTTTATATTTTTGTTCTAGCAGTATTTATTTTATTTAAGGGTTTATGTAAATTTTGTGAATCATTTTAAGCCAACTTATTTGAATCTTAAACAGATAATATCACTTTCTTTGAAGTTGATACACTTCTTTACTGTTTCATGTTTCAAAGAGAGTGGCTGGTTTCTATTGGTGGTTACCAGTTCTAGGTCTATCATGTCATTTTTTTATGTTGAGTGATTAGGAGAGGTTGAAATTATTATGTGTAATTTTATTTAATAAAATTTTTATCTTGTTTTTAAGTGTATAATTTGAAAAATTGCAGAAAATCACAGTGAGTTTCTCATCCCATATTGTGTCTGAATATAGGTTAAAACTTATTGCAATTAATTAAAGTCGAGTAAAATTGGTACTTACAAATATGTGTAACCACCTTAGCTTAATTTGGCAACTTTTTGCACTGGATGAAAGAGATTGCTTTTAATTGGAAAAGAGAAATATTAATATGCATATATCAATATACTATTTTATGTTTTAATTAGGTATGTATCTCGGAAATCAGTCGGTAAGCCTATTTCAGAGTGGGTTTTTTTTCTTTTGTACTGATGAAAATTTTGTGGCTGCTCTTTTAAGAATTGATACAAAGCAGTTGTTCTATTAAGGAACTTATGTTAAGGCCAAACACTGTATTCTTATAAGAATTTAACACAGTTTCTTTCATTGCAGGCAAATCCTGCAAGCGTATATTGTAAAAAGTAAAGATAAAAATATCACAATTTGTTTAGAAAATGGTTAGAACTCCAATACAATAGAAAGAACACATAAAGAAATGGTGACATTGGGTAAAAATAAGGAATTGCTATCTACGTGGGTGCTATATTCTGGAGATATTTTTACTTCTATGAAGGTAGATGGGCTGATACGCAAGTATCGTAAAATCTTGTTATATTAATAGGGTGAAAAATTGGTCATTGTAGATTTATCACTGTCAATTTAAAGGGAGAGATGAAGAAATTTAAAATATATATATATAAGGATAAAATCAAATTAGTTAATGAATATTAGTTGCATAAACTTCTATTTAATCTGGCAGTTTTTTTAATCAAAGTGTTTTTTATGAAGTAATTGAATTCAGATATTTAATTATTGGTGAATGTTGACATCTTGTCGTGCATTGGAACAATTAGCAACTGTTTTATCAAAATTTTGGTAGGTTTTCAAATTTTGTGCCATGCCAGAATTGGTAGCAAACAAAATTTCTTTTGTAAATGTAATATAATTGAAAACTAGCTCAGTTTACTTTACAGTTAGCTTCTCATTTGAAATATTTTCATCCTGTTCACTGTCTTTTCTTTCCTCTTTATTCATATGCACTGTATTAATTTAGTTGAAGATAATTATTACCTAATTTATTGCAATCAAGCTTCATGCTAATTAAATTCAAGTGTTTTCGAATTATTTTAGTTCCTTCGGTAATGCTATCAGCTGGGTTATTAAAATCAAAGAAATAATTTATGCATTAATATGACTTCCTGCAGACCAGCATGAAAAATTTAGTGGAAAATAGCATTTTACTCAATCATACTAGCTGATGACACACATCAAATTACACAAGGTTTTCATGCATACAAGAAAGTTATGAGAGCATTTAATTATATTTAAATACTATATACTTGGTTTTTAAAAATTAGGTGTATCAGGAATCTCCTAAACTTTAGGTTCTGAGTATAAAACATAAGAATTATAAATTTTGAAGTTCCCAATATGAATGAATGCTAATATTATGCTTCTGTCTGCTAGATTTTAGATTTTATACTTTTTGTCTTAACTTTCAGCAACTAAGGATATAAACTAACCTCTTCGAAAGTTTATAATCAGGTGTTGATGAGCATTAAAAGTACTTTGGATAGTGTAAAAATGCAATGCGATAAATTATTTCAAGTTACTCGAGTCTCTGCACGTATAATATATTATTATATTTTAAATACAGTTGTAAGTGCAGGATCCAGGTGGTCAAGTAAATGATTGAAACGATATTTGATATCCTAATTCTTCAGAAATGTGTTCCTGAGCATATAAACTCTTTCCATTTTTCAGCATACTAGTGTCAAATAACAAAGGCTTAATGTACTGTAAAATTATTTTACAAATTAATAATATTGTAAGAGCAATGGTATTTGGAAGCATAAATTTTTTTCCATAATAAAAATAACTTAAAAATTATACATATTTATTGTAATTTTATTCATGTAACCCAATGAGAATCTTTTAATTTTCATGAAACCAAAAAAGTACCTACTATTTTAAATGAGGACACTTCACTCTAAAGCTTTAAATGAAGCTTTGAATTTTTATAACTTTATTGATTTATAATCTGAGGTGATTTTAGGGGAGAATGTAAGCCAACATAAAGTTATGTCAAATTTTATGGAAAAACTGTTATTCTGCACCTAACTGATAGGTTTACTGTACATAGTGTAAAGGTCGCTCAATTCCAAGATTTTTAATGGTTTAGAAATTTCTGTTGATTATATATCTAAAATATTATCAGTAGGCAAAATATCATGTCAGATGTCAGTATTGCCAGCAGTAGGCAAAATATGTCAGATGACTCTATTGCCAGCAGATTCATAACCTATGGTATAAAAAACTTTTCTGTCCCTCCAGAGTCACACCAGTATTACAATTGTCATCTAAAAGGCTTGTACTGTATTATCTGATTCTGTAAGATGCTTAATCTAATAAAGCAACAAATTTTGTTAGGTAATCAAAAACTCAATGCTAGGTAAATCAGGTGAATGCGAGAGCCATGCAACAGATAACGCTGTGTTCCCCAAGTCCCCCCAAGGTCCAATCCAGATACTCATGTACACAAATGGGAGCTCCATCATGCTGGTACCACTGGCACAGTCATGGTGATCAATAAATTTGCCTGAACCTTCTCCAGAAATGTGTAATGCTTTTTAGCATCTAGTCAGATTTATAACAGGTTAGAGGCTGATTAAACGGTCGTTCTCGATACCCTTCTCACAAATTTAATTGCAAACTGGTGTTTTATAATACATGATTGTGTAATGTGTAGTTTCTCCTCGGCAGACATGCACGTTGTGAAGATTGAAGATCCCTTAATAAGGAAAGGGTTCTTCATCCGGGAACAGAACACCCCTTGGGAATTATTATGTACATTATGTTGCAGAAACCACTCAATTCCAGATAATATTTCATCTGCAGTAATTAGACATGTTTTAGATGATATGGATGTAAGGCTGCAGCATGCACAATGCACTGTATACTGGCTGGAGATGTTGCAGTAGCAAGGCATGAATGCTTGTGCCTGGGTTACCATCTACAACATACAACATGTCTTCCATGATAGGAGTTTAGATCAATTGTAGTCACCTGGCATTCTGCATCCAAACCCTGAATGATCCATGTTTGCATAGTTCTGAAACAAGTAAGCACTGGTGATTTGGTACACATCTTATGGAATGCTTTTCCTGATACATTCATATAGCAGCTTTTCCATTACCACAAGCAACTCATATATGAAGTGCATGTTCGCCCACTTCTTGTTTGTAAGGTGATACATCTTATCTATGCAGCATCACAAGATTTAACGAAGTCCCAGGTGCTGACATGGAGTGCTGGTTTGTAGCTCCATCTATCTATTTCTGGTTATGCTTTTCCATTCAGGTATATTTCATATTGATGCTGTGTACCATCTTGCAAAGCGAGTATGTAAAGATTTGATATGCTCTTTAAAATGGCATTGTTTTTGGCATTTTAATAAAAGGTATGAATTACTTTAATGCATAATCTGTTTTAAGATTTCAGTCCCACAAGAAATCATGTTTTTTATTCTCCCTTTTTCTAGCCAAAAGCACTTCGCAAAGTTATTCAGAGTCATTTTAAAAGATTTGCTTCTCTGTCTGAAGTTGATTGTATGTTTACGTTTTTGAGTAAAGTCCACCCAATAGTCAAATATGATCAAGAAAGTTTCAAATGTGCTTTAGGGGTAAGTCTGATTATGAATTTTTTAATTATATTCTTTTTGCTGTTATTGTGGTAACCTTAGCTATTGTGAAAGTCATTTCTTTATGTTTATTTCTGCACAATTCATAATAAAATTCCTTTATAGACTGGATGGAGTGTTCCAGTGGAATTAGTAATAGGAGCTGATGTTGGAATAAGTTTCCTCACAGATCCAAATGCAGTTGTAAGTATACCTTAAAAATAATTATTGAAATAATCGTGAGCTGAGGTCTTATTCAAGAAGAGGGGGAAGGAAACTTTCTGTATGGCAAATCTGTCCTATTTATGAAGGCTACCTTGTTTGTATGAGCTAACAGAAAGCGTGTAGTAGAGCACTGTTTGATAAGTTTAGTATTGCCAGTCTAATTATTGCACTAATATACTACAATGAGTGTCGAAGAAATGGAAATAGATTATATAACCATTTGCAGCCTCTAATTTCTATTCGTTTGTACTGTGCTTGTATGTTCATATGTGTATTTCTAAATCTTTGGAATACTCCTTTTCTAGTATGCAGAATATTAGTAGTATTTCTATTAATTTATACTGTTTATTGAAATATTACATTTTTAATATTTTCTTTATTGGAATAAACATTTTTTTGTATCATTCATATAAAAGCGACCATATTCTGGAAATTTTTTAGCAAGCAATGTAAATAGCTATTAAAAGTTGCTTTGAAATGAAAAAGCATGTCATTTTTTTTCCTGCTTTTTGAGGTGTGTTTCTGCCATCAGTGCATCTAATAATTGCTAGTCCTTTTGAATCTGGTGTACAATTAATTTCTAATTATGCAGATTTAAATAGAGCAGTTTTTTTATATACAGATTTTTTTTCCCATTACATACATACTAGGAACTTTTTTTTGTAGATTTAAGTTTATTTTAAAAAAAGTTAATGAACAAATTCTGTCAGCAAATAGTCAAAGAATTTAATCATACATTCATATAATATCTTTAGATATTAACCTATTTTATCATTTATTATCAGTAAAATTTATGCACATCTGATGTAAATAGCTGAAATTTCAGTGGTATGTTAGTTAATAAGCACGTACAGACTTCATTTGACACCACTGGCATGAGAGAAGTGTAAACAATTATGAATAAAAAATTTAACTATGGTACACATTCTGATTTTGACATAATCTAGCTGCCACCTTTAGCTGTTAGTATTGGAGTCAGTTTGGATGCCATGAATGTCTGCTTAAAATATGTTATATGGTATTGGCTACTTCTGCACCAATTCAGTAAAGTCAGCCATTGCAGTAAAGCAGAGTTATAATTCTCACAGAGTTATTATATCATAGCAGATCTTAAGTAATACGACAACTGCATGCAAAGTGCATCAAATTATGCTCATATTACTCTGAAGAGTCGGAGAAGAATCACAGTATTTGAAGAAGAGTTAAATTCCTTGATTATTACTATTAAGCATGTAGAGATACATGGTATATTTTTCTATCTATGAAACAATCATTTCAAAGCATTTTAAAGTTGGTTTGTATAAAGATCACCGACAAATATTATTTGTATTAAAAGTAAATGAATTTAGATAAACTTAAGTAACCCAAATTATGCAATCTACAAATGTAATATGTATTAATTGTTAAAATATAGATGCAATTAAACATTAGATATTATAAAATATACAAATGCTATAAATGAATGTCTGAATCATCATTATAGTTTAAAAGTAACCACTGTAAAATTTACTATGCTGAATTAGTTAATATTTGAATGCTTGGATGTAGTTTGGCTAATATAACTTTATTTATATTTAATGTTAAATAATATATATGCAGATCTGCATAGAAATGTTCAAGCAGTCTCTATAGAAATATTCTTTAAAATGCTTCCTATTCCTCCTATTTCAAGCAGCTGTTATGTGGAGAGAAAGATGTACCTTGAAACTTTTCAGGCATATTTATTGCAAGTGTTATATGCATAATCTAGGTGTCAACAGAAACGGTTCATTTGGTGAATATATGATCTAAACTGATGATATGGATGAATACAGGGCAGCACAATAGATGTATTTTCTTTCTTGTATATTCTCTTTCAAAAAAGTATTCTTCAGTATTTCACTACAAAAATTTTGTATATATGAAAGTAAGCAAATGTAATATGTGGTGGTCAACTATTTATACAATCGTTAAGGCTTGCAATCAGCAACAATAATTTACATATGATTATTGAACTTTGAGGAGCGAAAAGTTACATTCAGATTTGAAGTTACACTGGTTATCATAAATTAAGTAAAAATCGCAAAAGTCACGATTACTGAAAAAGTAATATGTAGAATTTAATGAAACTTACCCACAATATACAACACATAGTAAGGTATCAAATAACACACACACACAGACAAAATAAAAAAATACCAGACAAATATGGTAGTATAGAAATTAGCACATGTATAAAATGAACAAATCGAAGGTGTCAGTTTGCTATAGGAAAAGTACCTTCAATATGGAATATGATCGCCTCTAGAAACAATACAGCACATACAGCGATGTGTGATGCTTTCAATTATGCGGTCTATCAGTTCCATAGGAAGCGAAAGCCATTGCTCTTGCAAAGCAGTTGCAAGCGCGACAAGGGTCTGAGGGGGCGAATTGAGAGCAGCTAGACGTCTCCCTAAAGCCCAAACATGCTCAATAGGATTCAAGTCCGGGGATCGAGCTGGCCACTCCATGTGCATAATTGTTTCCGGTTGAAGATAATTATCTATGATGCGAGCCCTTTGTGGTCTTGGGTTGTCGTTCTGTAACAGGAAAGCATCACCTATTGCCGTGGCATATGGGCACACATAAACGCCAAGGATGTCATCTCTATAAATCTGAGCACTCACGGTTCCCCTTGAAAAGACATGGAGGTCTGTGTGTCCACCCAAAGAGATGCCATTCCAAACACAGACACTGCCCCTTCCGTATGCATCTCTTTCACGGATGTTTGACGGATGATAACGGGTTCTGAGTTCTCTCCATATCAGATAACGCCTACTATCACTTTCTAGACTAAACCTGGACTCATCCGTAAAGAGAACCGCCCTCCATTGATCAGATGCCCAGTGGACATATTGTTGTGCCCACTGAAAACGGTCCCTCCTATGGCGTGACGTGAGCGGCACATAAATGTCTGGTCGCCTCGCATACAGACCACCTTCGTGAAGTTGACGCGCAGTTGACGTTGACACGAACCGTCCGGTGGCTGCAGCAAGGGAGGATCTAAGAACGCTCATCGTAGCTGTTGGCAGTCGTTGGCTCAACCTCCTAGATGCCGAATTCGTGGTTTGAAATTGCCTCCAAAGTCTATGAACCTCAGAAGGACTCGCATTTAGGCATCTGGCCACTTGTGTTTGACTTTGTCCTGCCTCTAGTCTCCTAATGGCTCTCCATCGCAGTTCTGCAGGCAAATGATGCCTGGAGGTCATTGTTACGAATTGGCTATCTCAGATTTTTGATGTCACTGTCACAGTAAAATGTGTGGGCTTACTCTTAAACATGGACTTTTATGCTCCTCGCAGATGACGTATTCTGAAAGCAGCACCACTAATTTGCATATCGCAGTTTTACTCAGCTACTCTTACATGGCAACATATTCAAGTTTTACACGATTTGGCTTATTTTTGAGAGAGTTATCGCTATTTTTGTGATTTTTCCTTAATTTATGGTAACCAGCGTATATTGAATTTGGTGTTAGTAACTCCTCCTAATTTCAAGGGTCTACTCTGTTTGGAATAAATTTTACTGAGTAGACTAGAGTACATTCAGTTGCAGTTGGAAACCAGTCTGACTGAATGATCGAACTTGTAGGATTCATTCTCCATTTTAAGAGAATTAGCTCATTGACTCTGATATTAAAGCACTCCCATAGTATTAATTTATTATATATCTTGTCTTTTATGACATTTGTAATGTAACCTTATCAATATTGGTTACATTACAAATAAAGATAAACAAATAAATAAAGATATAATAAATATAATGATATGATAAACAAATAAAGATAGCCCGATGACTTAGTGTAAGTACTTGTGTTGTATTATTAAAGTTATCCAATTCATATTTAATAGTAACAGTATCAAGCTGTATTTATTCTTTAATTGAATTTGGCTGTTGATGTGTAAGTGCATGCTTTCTATTAAAAGATAATTTTCTAAAACACTGTCTTAAAATTCTAGCACATTTATATATAATACGAGGGCCATCCAGGAAGTAGATTACGTTTCCGTCTGTGTCCGCTAGGGGCGGGGCTAGCGCGGCCATCTTGGGGTCAGAGCGTTGCGCAGCTCAGTCTGCATCTAGCCGTGCTAGTGAGAGGTTCGTGCTGTGCTCCGTTCAGATACTGTGACGGTTTGAAATGTCTGCGTTAATTGAAAATCCCGCGAGGTGCGCTCAGTAATAAGGTTTCTGACTGCAAAAAACTGTAAACCGATAGAAATCTATCGGCAGCTTCGTGAAGTGTATGGGGACAACATTATCACTGAAGGTGGAGTGCGTCAGTGGGTCATAAGATTTCAAAATGGCCGAACCAATGTTCACGACGAAGATCGAAGTGGGAGACCCAGCATAGTGACCGCCGAACTTCTCGAAAAAGTCGATGCTAAAGTCCGTGAAAATCGAAATTTCACAATAACGGAACTTTCTTTGAGTTTTCCCACAAATTTCGCGAAGTTTGTTGCACGAAATCATCAGCGAAAAGCTTGGTTACCACAAGTTTTGTTCAAGATGGATTCCAAAAATCTTGACAGAGGACCACAAAATCAGCGAATGGCTGCAGCGTTGAACTTTTTGGACGCTTACCATAAGGATGGTGACTCTTTACTCGATCGCATCGTTACTGGTGACGAAACATGGGTGAAACATGTGAACTGTGAAACGAAATTGCAATCAATGCAGTGGGGGCACACAAGTTCTCCCCAAAAACCCAAGAAATGCATGCAAACAATGTCGGCAAGGAAGATGATGGCGACTGTTTTTTGGGACAGAAAAGGTGTAATTTTGGTGGACTTCCTGGAAAGAGGCACTACAATAAACTCTCAAAGGTATTGCCAAACTCTCCAAAAACTCAGAAGAGCAATTCAAAACAAGCGCAGAGGAATGTTGAGCTCTAAGATCTTGTTGATTCACAACGCCCGGCCCCACACGGCAAATGTCACTCGTAAAGTTCTTGAATCTTTTAAGTGGGAGTTGTTTCATCCGCCGTACAGTCCCGACCTGGCACCGAGCGACTTCCACCTATTCCCAGCAATGAAGAAGTGGCTGGCTATGCAGCGTTTTGATGACGACGCACAGCTGCAAGAAGAGGTAACGAAGTGGTTGAAGGCGCAGGCGGCCGAATTTTTCGACGAAGGAATTTCCAAGCTCGTACATCGCTACGATAAATGCCTTAATTTGTATGGTGACTATGTAGAAAAGTAGTATTTGACTGTGGCTTTCATCTGTATATAATAAAATTTGTTTCCTATACTTTGTTTATTTTTTTATTCCAAAACGTAATCTACTTTCTGGATAGCCCTCGTATTTATTGTAAATTTAAGTAAATATTTTGAAATGTTTCTTTTCTCTCTCTTTATATAATTATTGTGTCATATTGTTCAGCAGAAACTTTTCACTTTATTTTATCATTTTGCTTGCTTAAATAGTTTCTAACCAGAGTACTTTTTCTTAATTATCTGCCTTAAGTGAAGTGCATTAGATGAACAAAATTAGCAAAAATTAGCAATCGGATTGGATAGAGATCTGTATTTTTGTAGGAATTTTCCTTCTCCTCCTGTATCCTATTACAAGGAAGTGCACAGTGCCATTTGGTTCTTTTTTCATGTTGAACATGTACCTGCTTGGATTTTTTTCAGCACTTGCTTTCAAGTACTTTTACCTGTGATGTTTTATTTTAGGCTACATGTTTAAATTAAAGGAAAAACTAGATCATGGTTTTCATAGAATATTTTAGCATTATAATAGAACATTCTTCCTTTACATGTAAGGGAGTATAGTGGGTAGTTTCAAAGTACTTTTAACATTGTTAAATGCAGACGTTCTATATTTTTCATGTCATCTCAAAATCCGCAGACATATTGTCATCTAAGATAGTTCCCTAAATCCACAAACATATTGTCATTTAGGGTTTCATGAGAAATGAAGCAACATATGCGTAGCCCATGTAAAAGCAGAACTGGCTCATAATCTGTGAAGAAAGAGAAGCTTGCAGTGAAGTTAAAATTATTTGTAAATTATTTGTGTAGTTGTCATATATAGAAAACATTCATTTCTGGAAAATGCAAAACTTTTACATATGTAACTTCATTTCTGTTGCATTTACAAAAAGTATTGCATATTTCAGTTAGGTATAGAAGTTCTTCATTTTGCATGAACAAAATATTATGATCAGTTTCATGAAAATGTTGATGTCACATATTAATGGTTTTCTTGACGGATTCTTCAAAATTGCTTAGTCTCCAGAAACTTTTTGTTAATTAAAAAGTTACATTATTTGTATATACTTATGAATAGATCTGTGCCTGTAAGCTTTTTCACCTGACGTGAAGATATGAATGAGCCCTCTTGTATACAATGTGGAAAGTGCCTGACCATGTATAATAATAAAAATTATTAAATAAATTGATAAAAATGAATAGTAATGAAAAGGAATAAACATATACCGATACATACACACAAAATAGAAGTTAACTCTACCTCTGCATTTTTGTATTCATTAACGTTAATAATCTAAGGGCCAAACCCCCGTCGACTAGGTTGGTGATCTCCAATCTAGCTCCACAACAGCCAAAGGAACAGACACGAGAGTACCAGTGCAGTTCCTGCCAAGCGTGAACCAGCCTTAGACTGAACTATGGCTCTAGTCCTGTGAAATCAAATTATGTACCCCCATGGTTGAGACTGTCTAAGTACAGATCCTAACGAGAGTCAACCCCCGGGGGAAGGGGACTTCTCAAGACAGTAAGAAATGTTTAGATGCTTATCATCAAAGTTTCACATTCAAATTTGGACTGTCATCAGTTAAAGAAAAAAGGCTATTATTCTGGTCTATTTTTCTTGAAATAAAAGATTAAATGAATCTTAAAGAGGTTAACATAATAGAATGCTACTGAAATTCATATGACTCTCAGAAAGAGAGATTCTTGACTATAAAAGCCTCATATTACTTGTAGCTGTTATACTTCCTTTTTACATTATGCTGAACAATTTTTGAAAAATATTCCAAATAAGATTACATTTTCTATTTACAGCCTACTCATATGGCAAGTTTTCAGCAAGTTCAAAATATACATACACTTATTACATCTGATGTGAGTTCAACTAGTAAACCAGTACTGCAACTAAAGATTGATGGAGCTTCTGAGGTTAGTTTTCATTCTATATTTCCATCTAAATTTGTAAATTTCTGTTAATATATGACTTTTTACCGTGGATACAATTTAAAGCAATTAAGTAAAGTGGTGAAGTAACTTATTACTTAGTTTGTAGCTTGATGTCGTTCTGGAAAAGAATGAATTTAAGAAATATTTGCATATGTTAAGTGTGTGCCAGTCAGTTCCTCAAAATATTCTGCCGCCCACCAGCGGCCGAGTGGTAAAGTCGCTGAACACTGGTAGTTCGGTCCGAGGTTCGAATCCCGGGCTGGCGAACGGGCTGGCTGCATGGGCGTTTTCGTGGTTTTCCCCATGTGTAACGTGTATACGAGCCAGTTTCCCTTAGAAAGTCCTCCACGAAGGCATCCCTCCCCTTAGGCAGATAGCCCTCGAGGCTTTGCCATAATCACACACACACACAAAATATTCTGCCTATGAAACTGAAAATTTAAACACAAGTAGCAGATTTTAACAAAGCTTTGCAATTGCAGTATCTGGTAACCATAATAATTAGTTGCAATATTATAAAGAATAATATCTGATAAATTATTAAAATTCTCAATATATTTTTATTTTTTGGTTTGAAGTTATGTAAGCAACAAATGTTTCTTTCTATTGTGAAATGAGTTTTTCGAGTTATTGTAAAGAATAACATTTTCTTGCTTGTCACCTCAGTGTATACCTAATCTGAAAGCTTGATTTTCCTTCCATGTGGCATAATAAGTAACTGCAAGGACATTTTTGTATTTCCAAATCTCCACTTTTGTATGCTTGTTGTGCGGACCATTAAATGATGAATATTGAATTTTTTTGCTTAATTTTCTTTTTATTTATATTATTACCAGTGTATTTGCTATTTTAATGATGGTATTCTTAAATATATCATTTGCAACATTTGGCAAAAAATGTTATATTTTCATTTGAAATCACATAAAATTGGCAGAAAATTTCTTATATATTTCGGCTGCTAAGGTTGCATTCTAAAATATGTTCTGTTTCAAAATGTGCTTATATGTTAAAAACTTCAAACTTTTAAAATGCAAATACAGCAGCTTATTTCTGAAATTGAAGAAGACAGCATCTTTAAACTGGGTTAGATAAATCTGCTCAGTGTGATGCTGTTATGAAATTTTTTCAACCAACTTATGAAAGTCAAGTGCACTCTAAAAGAACAGTCTACCGTATTTAGTTTTAGTCAGTGATTTACAAGTGTATTTAATAAAGTTCAAATTAGCGTTATTGTGTAATTATTTGCATTTTGATTGAAATGTTCCCAAATTGTTGATTTTAAAACACCACAAATTAAATTTTAAGTTAATGTTTATTAATTTTAAAATAGTGCATACAATCAAAAGTATGCATTTTTTACTAAATTTATTGCAGCCAAATGTTATGTCAAGTTCTGCGAATTCTAATGCTCTAAAATTTTTTTAATTACATTCCAGAATTAGAATCTTTCTTACATTTTTAAATCTTTGATAACTTTTCATAATTTTCTCCCATTTAACTTTTCCCCCCCTTTTTTTTTATCCCTTATTTATCTTCAATAGCAATATTCTTTTTCCATTCTGCTGTATATCTTGAATACCAGATTCAGTATCATTCTGCTTTTTTAGCCTACTAAATTGCAAATATGTCCCCTTTTCCTCATCAAGCAACTAAATATTCATTTAATCCGTGAGAAATTATAAATTTCCTTAATTAAAACTGAAATTTTTACTTAATCTTGGTTCTACTAACATCATCACTTTAATTGCAGAATTTACTGAAAATTATTTAGTTTTAAACCAGTTCTGATCTTATCTTCTAAATGCATCAGAGTGTTGCACTTCTTGGGATCCTTATTCTGTTAAAGATTGTAATGTGAGGATAGTTCCATTTCCTGAGTGCTTTGTTTAAGGCTTTTTTTTTTTTTTTTTTTTTTTAAATATTTAACTACCTGAATTTATCTAGTTTACCATCAACAAAACAGATTTCCCAATCTGCAAGCACTAAATAAGCCACCAATCATTTGGTTATCACCACCATGTTTAATTTAAGGATGAAGATTCTTCATTTGAAGTTCCATACAGGTCTTTCTCCATTTGATTTGCTTTCCAACACTTGCAAAAATATTGAATTTACATTAATGGATCGTTTTCACTGTTTTGACTTCAGTGTAGTGTTCTTTATTTTCAGCATAACTGAGAATGTAGTTTTTTAATCTGTTAATTATTTTAACATACATCCGCATTTTTGATAAATGTGGTTTGCTTTATTTATTTATTTTTTTTAGATGCTAAGTGTATCATGTCCTTCTACGTCTGTTGCTGAAAGCATTGCAAGTTTAATTGATGGTTACTGCCAGTTGGTTCATGGAACAAAAAAGTCTTTTTGGACTCAGAAAGGTAAAATGTGTTTGAATAATATAGTGACTTTCTTATTATATTTCCCAGAATACTTTATTTTTATGTATGTGCATTAGAGTCCCATAAACTCGACTTTCGATTACTCAGCATTCAATATAACTCTACAGTCATTTTTTTTTTTTTTATTTGCTGAAATCTGTTGGTCAAGCAGAACATAATCCTTGAAATAATATGATGATTTATTAAAAGTTACTCTATAATAATTATTAACATCACCTGTATTGTGCAAGCAGTATAAGTAAATTTTAATTACTGTAGTATTGTAATTAAATTGCATATGTACGTCTCCATGCTTTTCTGTTCTGTTCAAAGGTTTATTATGGTATTTAATTTTGCAATTTCCTTGAACCTGTGTAATGAATTTGAAGATATTTGTTCTTTTCTTGGAATTTGAATTTATTTCATTCTTCCTGTCAGTAACAAAATGGCTAAAGAAAGTCGGATAATGGCTACTGATTATCACTCGCATTCTTCCTTTTTATTACTAGCTGTTAGTAAGTTTATGGCTGTATCCTGTTATAAGTTAAACTTTCGGTTCATTCTGTGTAAAATTCCTCAGCTTGTACAAAACTGTTGTGGAAATGCACAGTTATTATTATGGGATTAGATCTGTACAACTTGCAGTGAATTTCTGGTGTCCTGCATGCTTCTGCCTGTAGAAAGTAAATGTACAAGTGAAAATTTCAAGACAAATTAGCATGACCATGAAATGAAACTGGATGCCTTAAGAGACTAGAGAAATAGAAAACTACTTTTATGAATTTTGTACATATCGAAAATTATTTTAGTGAAATTTTATGTGAAATTGTAGTATTGTTTTGTATAATGTAACATGAAATGCTTGAAAGAGAAGAAGCTCTGCAGGAAAAAAAATAATACAGGGACAAGTCTATAACATTGAGTAAATAGCTCTCTCACTAAATTGGCGAAATATCGCCAAGGGCGACGGTTTGGGCGAATAATATTCATCGCCAAATTTGGCGAGAAATCGCCATTAGTAGCCAAACTTGGCAACATTTGAGTCTGGTCCATAGCTTAATTGGTATTGTAATTTAATTAATTAAAAAATATATATGTAATTGTATGTAACTGTAACCCACATATGCCTCCCAGTAATTTTGGGAAGTGGAATGTACTAATGATTTCTCAGCATCTGGGAAAAACTTTAAAACCTCAGTATGTTTTTTTATTTCAGTTTTATATTTAAAGTCAAAATATCTGATTATATATTAGTTTTATTTAATTTTATTTATTATAAAAGTTTTATTTTGACATTTGTACAGAGAAAAAAAAAAAAAATGTTTTGAGATAATACCCAAGATTTATCATTGAATATTTGAAAGCTTCATCTGCTCTAATACTTTTCTGAATCACTGAAATTTTTAAAATACGTTTGTAAACCTTGACATTGTAATATGTGCATTTTGTTTTCAAAGTTATTTTAGAGTTTCATTTCAATAATTTTAGTAGAAACTTATGTGGTTCAGGTATATTATCTTCAAAAAAATTTTTTTTTATCTTTACAGGTGGGAGAACATCTAAATCAAGGTCAGTTTGAGATTTAATACTTTATACAAATATTATTCTGTAGGAATTTTTCTTTAAAAAATTCTTAGTTTTTTTTTAAAATAATTTTTGGTCTTTAAAAGTTCTTAATTTTGGCCAAAATGGGCAAATGGCCCTTAACTTTGCTCAACTCATATTTTCATCCCTTTTCCATGAGATTTCTGAGATTGCTGATTTGAGTGTGAATTAACGTTTTGGAAGAATATAGTGTTCAAACCATACAAATTGTAATGTAGACATTGCAAACTGTGCTTGTAAATGAGGGACAGTCAGCCATGCCAGAATGAAAGTTTTTTTTTATTTCCAAATCCGTTGTTCTCCCAGCCTTTTGAAACAGATGTAATCAAGAAGAATGCTGTCTGTATTGGGAATAAACGAGTTTCTTTCACTTAAACCTTGGCTTTAGATTCACACTTTGGTCCACTTTTAATAAAAGTGCAACTTTCATGAAAATTGAAGATCAAACTTCGTGAACCACACTTCTACTTACTGTTATCAGTGAATCCAATAAATTTTTCATGATGTGGATAAAATATATGAAGAAGGGCACTAAAAAATATGCTGCTGTGAGGACAATCTAACAGTAGGAGGAGTACTTTTCTGTTAAAGCCATATAATTTTTCACTTTTTTGTTTTGCCGTATTTCTTCAACACCAAGTGGCACCAGTTTTACTTGGCTTCTTTCTTGATGATAATTGTCAGTTATATTTGTTTTCTTTAATCACAGGGCCATATATATATATATATATATATTATATAATTATAAGTTATATTTTTCTTCATAAAGATTGATTGTAATTGAATAACCATCTCATGAAATTAAAATGTAATACAAAGAGAAATGGCTATGCAGCCATCAATCATACTAAGTAGAAAAATGTATTGGAACACATTCTTTACTAAATGTCGCATTTCTTTTGTTGCTTTATTTAGTGAAATGTTTTTAACTACTACTATTTTTTTTTTTTTTAGTTTTACGTATTTTACTTTGTCATTTAAGTTAAAAATATTGTCTTTTTTTTATTTTTTTTTATTTCATGTCTTTTTATTTAGAAGGGGATTTCAAGCATGAAACTAGTAGAAATTACAGGAAAAACTATCCATGGGGATTTAGTGAAAATGGAAGAAAGGTTGAAAAGTCTAAACAAAAAGGTTTGAGGAGAAATCATTGAGAATTGAGCCGGAGTTGCGGGGAAAGAAAGAAACTAAAATGTGCCTATGTTGTGCCAAAAGTGCATGGTGCATTTTAAACATAAAAGTACCATTTTGCGATGGTACCATATAACTTTTGTGGAGGATTGAACTACCTGTGCTCTAGTAGGAAACCATCTAAAATAATGGTTCTGAACCTTTTTTGCCCCATGCTCTCCTTTCACCATTGTTAGAATACCAATGCCGTTTCCTTTCCAAAACTCAAAAAATACATGTATATTTATTTGGATTTGAATAATAATGCAGGAAACATGAAATCAGGCTGATTGCATTCCCCCGTGAAACTATGAAATTCCTTCTAAGGGGGAACTCTACCCCTTTATTGAAAATGCCTGATCTAGAACATTCCTTTTGGGGAATGACCAGTTAAATAAAATACACCAATTTTTTTAAAAATTCGATGATAGTGATTGACTGTTTAGGCAATTTTTATCTTGAGCTGTAGATTCAAGCAAGATTAATAGACCCTTGCTTAATGCATATCTGCTAATTTTCATAAATGTTGTTTGGCAGCTTATCAATATTTTAGCAGGTTTGCTGTAAAGTTATCTAAAAAAAATTGATTCCATGATTGGTGAAAATTTTTAATAAGTACAGTGTGACTGCAATATATTTTATCAATATATTTTTTTCAAAGTAGTCATGCCATTTTTACAAAACTTGGTACTTAAGCATAATTTGTGTTGTAGTATAAACATATGGGAAAAAAATTGGTATGTTATTTCAGAAAAGGGTCTCATTTTGTGTCAAAACACTATACATAAATCTAATATATATCATAAGTCATGCTTTTGAGAGATGGAAAACACAAGTTAAATTTTGACAATTTTTGCAGTAAAACTGAAGATACAGAACTGTCCCCTCTTTTTTGGGGGGGGTGAAAGGTATACATAAATCTATGTATTAAGTACCAGGGATATTTTGGCATTAAAATCAAGAAAAATGTCTTTCTCATGGCCGTTTAATGTGTAAAAATCAAGAAATTGCTCATGACAAAAGGAAAAAACAAACTGTGTTAATGGTACTACTAACTCAAAATAGACATATTTTGCAGTAAGATTGGGAGGAGTTCTTCATGTTGTTTGCAAAATTTTGGGAAAAAGCAGCAAAAGCAAAGTTATCTGAATTTGCTGTAGTACTTCTTTATTAAGTTACATGCCGACCAAGTATTAATTTAGAAGTCAAATGGATACGTACAGAAAATCCCTTTGACCATTTTGCCTATTAAAGAAAAGAATCCAAATGACGTGATTTTTCGCCAAAAATGGAAAAGTCTTCTTCAAACATGCTGGGTTTGGTATAACCTTGATTACATGTGTTAGTTATTATTTCTGAGTAAAGACTCCTTTTTTCCCCTCTATCACGCATTTTCGAAAAAACAAATGATTAAAATTGGGGACCTGCCTAGTACAGAAGAGTATGCTGTTGCATATTTCCAAAGTTATGGAATCTTACCGGAAAAATAAGAATAAAAAGGTTTTTCTTGTATTTAGTAAATAGTTTTTTTTTTTTTTTTTTTTTTTTTTTTTTTTTGGTTTGGCACGATTGGCGCCATCTCTTGTGGTTGACGGGATTTTCTGTAAGTACCGTCAAATGTATAGTTCTTCTAATACCTTTTTTTAAAACCATCGTAATAAATTATATGTATAATTAATCTATTTCTTGCAAAATTTCATTAGTTTGCAATTTAATAGTTTTTTAATAATATATATATTTAAAAAATAAAAGAATTCTTTTAATAGTGAAAAATCTTTAAAATGTGTGACTATTAAAAGTGTGAAATGTGTTTCAAGAAATTATGTTCTCATAATTTAATACTGACTTGAAATTTTTAGGGACTTAGTTTTAATCTCAAGCTTGCTTTTATTAAACTTATTTTATGCTACATACAGGGTGATCAGTGAATAAGCCCTGATTTCAAAATTAAATATCTCTACAACAAAGATCGATAGAATTATGCGGTAAACTGTACGTTTATTAGCAAAATTAGAAAAATAGTGTACAAAAGTTTATAAAGTTTAGTTATGAAAATTGTTAACAGATGGCGCTCTAATCGCAGTGACCTATAAATAGCCTTTTAAATGTCTTTCGAAGTCAAAAGTGATCAGTACAACTGTTGGCTAGTGAAAAGATGCTAGCGTAGAAAGTGAAATAATGTATTCCATTGAACAACGTGTATTTTGGTTCTGGAACTTTACCGATAGAGCACAGTCCTATGGCAACATGTCGCAGTTTTCAAAACCGATTCAATGTTCCAGTTGGACCTGATGTGAAAACCATTCGCATGCTCTTCGCGAATTTCGAATGGACTGGCAGCGTGGCTGATGATCGAAAGGGGAATGTTGGGCCTAAGCAAACTATAGTCACCCCTGAAAATGCAGCCAAAGTTTCTGGATTTGTTCAGCGAAATCCTAGGAAAAGCATCCGACGGATTGCATCAGAGACAGGTTTGAAGTACACGAGCACACAAAAGATATTTAAAAATAGCCTACGGCTGTTTCCATACAAAATCCAAAGTCATCAGGCCATACCCATGAAAGCTGTGCAACAAAGGGTTGACTTTGCGAATCAGATTCTAACAGTGATTGACAATGACAGATTTGATTTGAGCTGCATCTGGTTCACAGATGAGGCACATTTTCTTTTAAATGGAATAGTTAATAAACAAAACTGGAGATTTTGGGGTACTAAAAATCCTCATTTGTGCGAAGGAAAATCTTTGCATTTGCCTAAAGTTAATGGCATGGGCTGCGGTATGCGCCAGAGGCATTATCGGACCCTTTTTCATACGAGAAACGATAACTACTGGAACAGTTTGTCAGCACTCAACTAGTGTTGGAAGATCGACCAGGTATCGACTGGTCCTGCAAGATGGGGCTCGACCACATCGAAAAAATTAAAGTTTTTCACTTTCTTCATGAATACTTTGGGAATAGAATAATTGCGTTAGATTATCCTCAATTTACTGACACAGGAATAGCTTGGCATCCATATTCTCCCGATCTGAGTCCTCGTGACTTCTTTCTGTGGGACGCATTGAAAGACGCTGTCTATCGAAACAATCCTGCTACTCTAGATGAGCTTGAATCGTTGATTGGTGTTGCATGTGATTCCATTTCCGTTGAGACATAGCAAGACGTGAAATCAAATTTCATTGTTCGTTTACGCCACCTCTGTGTTTCGAACGTTGAACATTTTGAAAAAATTGTATTTTGATTGCAAAGGCTGCTTCAGTTTATTTTTTTAACTAATTTTTTTTACTACTTTCAGAGAAAGAGTTTTCAGTGCAGAGCGCCATCTGTTAACGATTTTCGTAACTAAATTTTCTAAACTTTTGTACACCATTTTTATAGTTTTGCTAATAAATGTACAGTTTACGGCATAATTCTGTAGATTTTTGTTGTAGAGATATTTAATTTTGAAATCAGTGCTTATTTGCTGATCACCCTGTATTAAGACTGTTTGTTAATACTATGTTCTTTAGTCTTAAATGTTCGATTGTGTTTGATTATGCATACAACATACTGCGTCTTTATGCAGAGAATAGTTTTGCAAGATACATAGATAATTGCTTTAATTTATTCACTTCTGCTTGCTGATAGGTCCTACATTTTTTTTTATATGGTGGTCCTTAATTTTCATTTAAAGAAATGTGTACAGACCCTGTCTTTGAAAGTTACTTTTATTATTATTTTTTCATATTTTTATTACATTTTATCATAAAATATCTATCAGTGCAGCAAATATTTTGTTTAATCACATTTTTAAAAATTTATAGTATTTGTTGCATTCCAGGCATAGAAATTCTATGAATTTCTCCAGCTTGCCAAGTTCACCGGAGAAAAAACACGGGTTTAAATATGGAGGTAATTTCCTAAAGGTTATCTTATTTATTTAATTTTCCTTTTCTTTTTTCCAATAAATGGAATAAATGGTGAATGTCTGCGAATGGTTTATTAAATTTTTGTGGGACTGTATAGAAGCAGAGACACATGCAACATAGCCATAATTTTACTATAGGAAGAAATGAATAAAAATCATTCATTTAGCAATGGCGTTTTACTCTCTGAATTCAAACTGAAAGCACATGAAATTGCATGCATACTTTTAATTATAATGAAAAAAAAATGGATTAAATCTTTTGAAAGAATTTTTTAGTGAAAATAGTGAAGCTATAGCCATTCAAACATTTAATTAGAGGATATTTGTAATACTAGTTTCAAGTAAACAATGTGATTAAATAAAAATAAGCATAAAATAAATATAATATATAAGGCACTTTTCTCAAAGTTAAATGAGGCATAAGTCCAAGGTTTATTAATTAATATATCTGTCGGCTTATCCATATACATATATAGATTTAATTTTGAACAAAATGATACTTTGAATAAGTTAACTTACTCAAGCTTTTAGTGTTCCTGGATGTATGTTAATGCAGCAAGACAGTAAAAATTGTCATCGGAAATAAAGCAAATGTGAGAGAATGTTAAGTTGCTGTATGGAAAAATGAAACTGTAAGAAAGAGATGAAAAGCCTTCTGATAGTATTGTCTATCATGTGCATCGGTATTGTCACATCAAAAAGACACACATGTTGCACAGTCAGTCTTTAAAAGTCATGTTCTGAGTCTGACCATACTGAATGAGACAAAAAGAATAGCGTAATACAAATTCTGTAACTAATTTATTAAACTGAAACAAATTAATTCTGAAACTACAATTACAAAAGTTTTATCTGGCAACAGCAAAAAATTACGTACAAAATAGCCGCCAGAGGCACTGTTCATCAAAATGGCACCATCCATGCAGGAGAAAGCAGAATGTGTTTTGGAATATGCCAAAACATCATCGTTTATCATCATTCAAAGACATTTTCATGCAAAGTTTAGCAAAGAACCACTGCATCATTACATGCATCATTACAGCAAAGAACCACTGCATCATTACATGGTGGGTGAAGCAGTTTCAGGACAGACTGCTAGTGTAAGAAAATCAGCCCAGGACAAACAGCAGCCCAAACTGAAGAGGTTGAAAAAATTTGTAAAATGTTTTTATGAAGTTCCATAAGATCAGTGCTTTGTGTGAGTTCTGAACTCAATGTGCCTCATGTAAGTGTAAGGCATGTATTACAGACACATCTACAATTCTGGAGATACATCTTTCAGATTGTGTAGATGGTAAAACCTTCCAACAAACTTTTCCATAAAACTTTCTGTGAGAACTTGCTAGATAAGCTGAAGGTAGATAGTTTCACAAAGAGACTTGTGTTTACAAATGAAGCCTCTTTTCCCATTTCTGGCACAGTTAACTGCCATAATTTCTGATTTTGGAGCATAGAAAATCCACATGATATAATGGAGCATGAGTATTATTCTCCAAAAAGGAATATTTTCTGCATTATTTCCAACACTTGTGATTTTGGTTCTTTTTTCTTTGTGAAAAAAATCGATTAACGGGTGCTTTTACTGAGATATGCTATCAGGTTGTCGGTTTTCTGAGTTGGAGAAAGTGGTTCCCAGCTTCATTCTGCAGCAAGACGGGGCTTACCTCATGGGCATAAAACATATGCCAGTACCTAAATTATAGTTTATCCCATCGCTGAACTGGCCGTGCTGTGTGAAATGGTATGCTTTGTTAGCCTCCAAGATCTGTAGGTCTAAACCCTTGCAATTTTTCCTATGGGGTTTTGTTGAAGACAAAGTTTTAGTGTTTAATTTTCCTAGGACTTACAGCAACTAAAGCAGTGGATAAATAAAGTGCTTGAATCATTAACAAAGGATATTCTTTCATGAGTGTGGCAGGAACTGGAATGCCGCATAAATATTTGTCGTGTCACTGGAGGGACACATGTAAAACATCTATAGAAATCTGGATAAGGGTATTTCATTGTAAATGTGATTTATTAAAATAATGACAGCATTCACAGATAGATTTTCTTTTTGTCCCTTTCAATATGAAACACCCTGTGTATTTAACCTATATTAGAGGTTATATTTATACATAAGAGATTAAAATAACCAAAGTTAAGAAAAATGAGTTGTTTAAATTTTTGTTTAATGTTGCATTGACTTACTTTTTTACAAAATTGTGAAGGTGTGGGAATTTCACATGATTCTTCATCATGCTATTCAGTTTACCTTATTCGGTGAAATTTGTATTTTTTTTAAAGTGGTACTAAATTATTAATCACTTGCTTAAAATGGAAAATAATTTCATTTTACTGTTTTGCTAAGTAATTGTCATGTATATCATACTCATATTCAGAAAATAATGACAGCATTCACAGATAGATTTTCTTTTTGTCACTTTCAATATGAAACACCCTGTGTATTTAACCTATATTAGAGGTTATATTTATACATAAGAGATTAAACCAAAGTTAAGAAAAATGAGTTGTTTAAATTTTTGTTTAATGTTGCATTGACTTACTTTTTTACAAAATTGTGAAGGTGTGGGAATTTCACATGATTCTTCATCATGCTATTCAGTTTACCTTATTCGGTGAAATTTGTATTTTTTTTTTAAAGTGGTACTAAATTATTAATCACTTGCTTAAAATGGAAAATAATTGCATTTTACTGTTTTGCTAAGTAATTGCCATGTATATCATACTCATATTCAGATGAAGTTTACCTATGTATTGGGTGAAGAAATCTTTTTTCAAGAAAGTAATTTAGTAATTGTCACACTGTGCCAAGTGTTCATACTCATGTTTTCCTTTTTTATCCAATTTTAGTGTGATCACTACATTGTGACAGGAAACAAAGCATGAACAGGTAAAACAAACTGCAGTAGACTGTTTCCTGATGTTTTGTTTTGTTTCATTTTCTTACTGAATACTTAGTAGATAATGAGTACTTTTTAAGGCATAGCAATGAGAAAATTTTTAAAAGCTTACTTTAGCAAGATTTTCAATGAGATTAAGTTAATAGTTGATATATGCACACTGTTCTTCAGTAATTTATTCTATCATCATAATCGCAATTTATCCCATTAATGGAATTAACAACGGTTGTGTAAAAGTTGTCAGAGTTTTGCATTCATTTTTTTTATTGGTAGGGAATTTTAGGAGCATTTTAATATTAGAAAGGTGATCTTTTATGTTGGCCTAAATGGCATACAGTGTGTTAACATGTCTATTTCTATCTTACTAAAGTTAGGAATCCTTTTCCTGTTATTTAGTTTTATCTTTGTTCCAAAGCGCATGCTTATCTCAGTGTACTCCATTCACATGGGAAATTATTAAATACAATTGATTTGGGTGTTTTCAAACCTCTAGCATTAAAATTGCTTTTTATATAAACTGTTGCACTGGTCCCATAAATGAACTAATGTTATATACAGAGTTTTTCGAAAAGAATCACCAAATTTGAAACTTATAAAAAATATTGAATATAGAAACTTAAAATTTCTTGGCTAATCATAAAGTTTTTTTACAAACCAAATTAAAGGTGCTCAATATGTCTCCCTTTGGATGCACAGCGCATGTCTATATGGTAGTCAAATTTGTCTCAAACTTTTGTGTAGTCAAATTTGTCCCAAACGTTTGTGAGTACGCGTGCACCACTGTTTCCACTACTATTGTTATGCATATCATCAGTTCTGCTAATGTAGCTGGAGACACATAAATAGAGCCTTATAAACCCACAAATAAAAGTTCATTGGGGAATGTGATTGTTCAAAAATTCTCAAATGTCCTATCTCCAGTGTGATCCTATCCAGCTGGAAAAAGAAGTCATCTGAATTAGTTTCTAATTGTGAGAAAAGCCAGTTTCATTGCATATTGAAATATGCAGTTTCCATAACTGTGGCTGCTAGGGAAAAGGGGGGCATACACCTTTTTCTGAGAAATAGCGCAAACAATATTAACTTTTGGTGAGTCTCCGTTGCTGTACAATTTGATGTTGCTGCTCCATACCCCATATTGCACTACCCTACGCTGAAAATAGGAGTGACCAGAAAGTGATGAAACTCAGCAAAGAGAGACAGCAGCAAACAATAAGTGATCTTTATTTCGAAATGATATGCATAATACAGAGTGAGAGCATCGGCTCAGTAGAGGCGAGTTTACATTTCTTCAAGTTACATGCAGTGAGCCCCTTGCCGCTGTGTCTTGAACCAAGGGAATGGACCTGTAATCTGATAGATTGTATACACCACTCAGAGCGGATTGACAGCTCACCTCCATTTGTTTACAAAATGGATACTGCAACATGGCAGTTGCAGTGCTTGAAGTTTACGAAGCAGTTTCCAATGAATTAATTTCTAATCTCGGAAACAATCGCAACAAAAAAATTACGTTCTTTTAAGATGCTCTGCCAGCAAAATTAAAACTGCGGATAATGCTTCGGTTTCTGGCAACAGGTAACCCCTACAATTCTTTGCAATATTTAGAGTGCCAAAATGCACAGTCAGCCTATTTATTCCAGAAGTGTGAGAGGCCATTTTCTGTGTATGAGTTTGAGAAAAAGTTATTAATCCTCTGAGCTCTCCATCTCCAGTACCCTTAAATTTTAACATGTTAATAATATCCTCATACGCTTTCTCCTGGCGACTTTTATCTTAATACTTCCAACTCATTGTTTGTAAGTAAAATCTAATTTGTTCTTCAAATATGCACTTGCATGTGAATAAATGTAAGTACAATTTTCATTTTTTTTAATACAGTCAAAAGTCGTTAATTCGGACACCCATAATTCGGAATGATCTATAATCCGGACATCAAAACTAAAAACTTTCTGCGCATGCGCCGCGTTGACACATGCACATAGGCGTTTACGCGTGCGCGTAAGACCTTTTACGACTGCGCATATCAGTGTGTGCAAGTGCAGAATAAGTTTTCGCATGCGCATTTTATGTATAATGGACGTATAAGCTAAAATTATCTAATTATCTATTTCAGTTAATGTTGATGATTGCGTTGTTCCTTAATTTTCGAATTGGATCCGGCTTATTATTTTTTGCAGACTGTAAGAGCAATTTTATAAAAGTAAGCTTAAACTTTCGATTATATCAAATAGAATTTCCGATATATATTTGTTAATATGTAAAGGATCTAAAGCGAAAGTATGTTTTGAAATCCGAAATCTGTTTATCAATTTCACGCTGCTCGGCAGGGGGAACGCCGTGCCGCGGCGGGCGCGTAATGAATTGGAAGTTGATTTGTCAGCACTATCCTTATCTTCAGCGCAGATGTTTTTATTTTATTTGGCTTATAATTCCTTACCAAATGTAGTATTTCATCTCGATATGCTCCATCTTTGATATGATTTAAAACAAGTTCCTGGTCATTATAATTCGCTTCCGATAGCGAAAAAAAGTAACAGAGGTTATTGAAAACGAAAAAATTTCAATTGACAAATTAGTCAGTGTTCTTGACACAGCAATTATAGGACTTGAACAGCGGAACTTTGTAACTGAACAAGAAATTATGTCTGTTTAATAGAATTAAAGAGAAAGTATTATCACATGAAACAAAGCAAAACTTAAACAACTTACATTAAAATAAATGTTTAATAAAGTAAACAAATAAATATTAAGCTTTTTCTTTTTGCAAATTTTGATACCCTTTAGATCATAATTGTTCTTTATTTCATAAATTACGGTTTCATATTTTTAATTTTAGAATTTCTGCATGCCATCTTACGAGATTTAAACTGATGATCTATAATCCGGAAAAATCGGTAATCCGGAATCGCCGAAGTCCTGACGAGTCCGGATTAACGACTTTTGACTGTATTGTTTTTATTGATGAACTCTTGGTTTTATGCACATATTTAGTAGTTTGCTTTTGTAAAATAAGAGTTCCGCCTTAGTTTAAGAAGCAATCTGATTTTCTGGCAGCAGTGGCCAATAAAAATCATCAGTTCATAATATTAAGGCCCTTTTTGGCATTTCTTTCTTTCTCATGATGAATTATCTAGGTATTTAAAATTGGAGTGTTTATTTGGCCCATATTTAAAGATGCACTCTGGTTTGTTAGCAATTATTAACTGCACTTTCTGTGGACTGGAAAAGCTTTAACACAAAAGCCTGTTCAATAAAAGTTAGGTGCACTTTGTTAATAGAAGGAGGAACAACTGAAAGGGAACATTAATGATTTCCCACTGCGATACATAATCTGATGTATTTAATGCCAGAGCTGGTGAATACCAGCAGTCCGTTGTTACTATGTCTCTCTGCAATTTTGGGACAGTGTTACAGTTTTGGAAGTTTTGCACTTGATCTTCATTTAATGTAAAGAATTATATTAGATTAGCTGCTGTACATAAAATGGCAAGTTTCAAGGTGTGTGTTTATTTTACTTTTGCATTGTTAAGAACTATGCTCAAAATATTAAGTAATTTTTTTTTATTTAATGTACTTAAATAATATCTTGATATGAATAGATAAATTCATATCAAGTAACTAATCTTTGTGTATTATATTTGAACCTGACCTACTGCATAATTTTCAGACCTGAAATGTTTGCATTTCTTATCTTTTGTCAGAGATATTGATTGCAATTTACTTCAATTGTTGTAATTTGGAATATTTTTATATTCCTAGAAGATTATGCAGAAATTGTAGAAGAAGAGGGTGATTATTCAACACCAATTGGTATGCATAATTTGGAACTATTTTTGAATTTGTTGTTATTTAATGTTTACATCACTATATTGTATGTGAAAAGAAATATTTTAAACATGGAGTGGGGAAGTTTTTTTCCTTCATTTATAGTAGTTGCACATGAATTTTATATGTAAAAAACATTTCTGTATTTATATTTTTTTTATTTTATGCGCTCAGAAATAAATAATGTAAAATAACAATTTTATAATTTTTAAATTAAAAAATTAATTTAAATGTTGTAAAATATCCTATAAATTGCAGAGAACCTAAGAAAATGAAATATGTACTTGATGTATTTTTAGTCATCAAGCTACTAACAGAGAAGCAGTTTTTTTACATATTATATATTGGTTTACTATAGTTTGTGTATTTTCTGCCTTATCTTTCAACACTAGCAGTGCTTTGTTTGGGAGGGGGATTGCTTTTTCTTAGAAACACTGTTGATTTTACTATTTCTCTTATTTCTTTCTCCTCACATCACAGTTTTTGGAGAATGTCAGACATTTCATCTTATGTAGTAGAATAACACTATTCGTTACATCTTGAATAATAATGTTAAATTAGCATTCAGATAGTTTTTCATTTGTGAAGCTGTACCTAAAATTTTACCTGAGTAATTTATTCGTATTGTGTTGGATGTTTTGGTATTTTGATCATTTGCTGTTTGCTTGGAAATCTCTAATTTGCCTAAATATTTATTTCTCCATGCAATTATATGGGTTCTATTCTTAAATTGACTGTAATTTCGATGTCTCCCTTTCTTTTTTTCTTTTTCTTTCTTTCTTTTTTTTTTTTTTTTAAATTCTGAATAGAATAACTTCTTGTGTTTCCCAAATACATGTCAACAGGCTTAATAATCAAACTTGCTCCCATTGTTTCAAGGCAAATATATTCTTCTGTTTCCTCTTTTTTGGGGAGGGGAGGGGAAAGCCTAAGATGTTAATTCCCCTCAGTGATTTTTATGTCTCAGTGAATTGAGTTTATGGAAAATTCTGTATGTGCTGTGCACTTACAGAAGTGGTTTAAATTGCTGTCATTTTCATCTTCCAAACCTTTATTGCTACAGATTTTTTCTATTTCTTCTGCTCAAGAAGGTCATATTCATATGTGATTTTGGGTGCATCATCACAGTTAAGCTGCTAAAAATAACTAAAGCATCATCCTTCTCAGTCAGTCATTGGAGATGCTTGCTACAGATTTTAGTTTTTGCATGTAAATTCATTCATTTGATGGCCGTAAGCACTCAACATGCTAAATATATGTAACTTAAGCGTACTTTTTTACTCTTCAGTGAAAAAGCATATATATAGTGTTTGATGACATCTGTTAATGATGCTATGCACACTACAGGTGAACATAATCCCCACTAACATTCACTAACTAAATTGAGCATCTCCTCAATTCTTCACTGTGTTATTTGGTATTACCTTAGGTGCATTCACTACTTACGTGGAGCTAGCAGGAGGAAAGAAACATAGCACATATTATTAGCATATTGTATGTTATTCTCATGCATAGCCGTCAAAATAGGTTTGAATTTTTTTTACATATTAAAGCATAATGTTACTTAATGAATCGTGTTCACCGCAGTACATGACTGAGTTTTGTTATATGAAATGTTTTTGACTATTATATGTATTGCAGTTAAGGATTATGAACTGAAGAGAACAGATGTTATATTGGGTGAAATTATTGGAGAAGGGCAGTTTGGAGATGTGCATAAAGGTACATACATATCAAAGGTATGATATGATTGTTATATAATTGAATTAATGAAAATTTTTTTGTTTATATATTGGAGCTATTAAAACAATTAATAGCAGTAACATGAACTTTAAGATTCAAATACAGTGAATTTTCTCAGGACAATTTTAAGTCAACCACAAAAATGGCCATTAATTTTGATAACATAAACATAAGTATTGAATATCACCTCACTGGGCAACCATTTCCATAGCAGACCAAAATTATCTGAGACTGCAGATAGTCATTTAAGAGAGTGTACTATGTGGTGTGATTTAGAGTTTTTGTGCTTTTGATTTAAGTGCAGGTTTTCTAATGCTGAAGTTTATCGATTTATTTTTCCTGATATGTTTATAGATTATATTGTGTAAAAAATATGCTATATATGACACGAAACTGAAAATTTGATTCATTGGAGTTTCTTAATTCTGCCTTTCTTTCTCAAGTCAGTAGAATTTCTCACTGTAGTCTGCTATAAGATGTAGTGCAAAAACAACGTGATGATTAAAGAAACATTCATAACTGTTGCATTATTTCGCATTTAATGCTATCTCTAACTGTTAAAGTATTTAAGACTAAATAAAACGTAAAGGAAATAAAATTTCTGCAACAGATTTAGAAGATACATAAAAAAAATATTATAAAAACATTAAAGGTGTTAAAAACATCCTGATGCATGCCAGGAAACAGGATTTCTTCTTTTTGTTATAAATTGTTGTTAATTTATCTTATGTGTCTGACAGTTGCATGAAATCAAGTCTAAGAAGATTATCATGGTGAAGAGTGCAAGGGTTGCACTTGTCATTGGAGTAAGCCTTGGGCACCTTATATGTGACAGTATGGATTTGCTTTGCTTCATCCCACTTTTGAAAGTGAATCCCTTGAGATGTATCTAAGGGTCTCCCACTCTTGTTCCCTTTCCTGCAACCTCTCAAAAGAACTTCAGCTTGACAGCATTTTAAGTGCTTTCATGCTGCAAAGATACTGCACACTTAACAGAAATCCATGACTTCTCCAGCATTTTAACCTAGGCTTAAGACTAGGGCAGCTGGTTCCCATACCACCATGGCAGCAAACTAAACAAACAAAAGACAGATAACCAAAATTTGTCTCATACATTATAAATTTATCTTATATGAAGGAAATCTGCTTAAAAATTAATTATTGAGAACAGGTTATTGTTCTAAAGAGTAGGAAGCTGTTAACAGTATATTATGTAATAGCTGATATATATATGCAATGTTTCTTTTAAATGTTTCCTGATAAAAATGTATAAACAGAGTAAAAATTTATCTGATAAAAATGTAGTCAAACTCGTAAAAAATTTAAAATTACAACAAATGTTATCTTTATTTTGTATGAAATACTGGAATACATAATTCATGCGGACCTTGTTGAGTAAGCAGTGCAAAGTTTAAAAGAAAGCAATTTAAAAGAAACAATATTTATTTTACTTGAAGAACTTGAATTTATGATTGATTTTTCATGAAATAAAGAGCAGAAGATTTTGTGTTCCGCCAGTATCAAATGAAGTAAATTTTGGTGCCTTGTGCTTTATTACAGCTGAATCCTGGTTTATAGACCACAACCTTTTTCTAGTTCCGATTTTGTCTCATTTTTTTATTATGTGTTTTGTTTCTGCACTCATTCTTCAGATTATTTATTGTATTGTTTAAACTTAATATTTTCATTGATAGCAGAAGAGAATATTTGAGGAAGGTCAAATAACATTAAAACCAGTTTTGTTTTTAAGAGTGGCCTTGGGAAAAGTCAGACAAACAGGAAAATAAAAACTAAAGCAAAATTATGAGGCAGATTTCTTTTTTCATTCATTCACATTTTAGGGACGTCAGAATTATAAAATTTTTAATTCCCCATTCCTGCTAAGTTTGGTACAGGGTACAGTTTGGTTGCTTACAGGATTAGTCACATTATTATTTGCTATTTCTGATACCTTTGTGATATGCAGGCTGCATGCTGATGGCTGCCTCTTTAAATAATCACACACATCATTATAAATAGCTTAAGAACAGCATAGATATTAAGTAATTCTTCCTTAGCACATGAGGAATATCATAAAATCTCTTAATCATTCACAGAATAAACTAAAACACTATACAACTGACCTTCTTTGAACCACAAAGACTAGCTGATTAACTGGGTCTCAGAGCTGTATTTATGTCGTGTAGTATGGAATTCTGAAAGCTTCTAGAAAAATTGGTCATGGGACTTAACTTTCTGAAGCCAGCTGATACAGCAGTTGGACCAGGAAAATGACCTTCCTTAATGCCGGCTCTGGTACAACTGTCGTACCACCCATTCCCTCCCTATTTTAGAGAATCGCCTATCTGTAGATCTCAGGGTGGTCCATTGTCGTTGCTCAGAATAGCCGCTGGCTACGCATTATTTCCCTCTTCTTATCAGTTTGGTTACATTTTGGCAAAAACCGCAGGTTTCGTCTCACGCCAATATACTTGAAAATCAATAAGAGGCCATCTCTAAATTTTTTATTACTGATTTTGCTATGATTAAAACGTCAGTGATTTTGCACGCTTTTTAAGCTTACCAGATTTAATGCTTTTTAATCATAGCAAATAAGAATAGATTAATTTTTTAGATTTAATGCCCTTCTAGAAAATAGCTAAAACTGCTTTTATCGTTTACTTCCTTTTTATACTTATGAATAATAAGATTTTATTTTGACATTTTTTTTTTTTTGGAGTGCATAAAACCCTTAAGAATTGTTAACTCTTTCAAAGTGCTTCTATTATGTAGGCAATATTGTCTGATTTATCAGGAGATAAATAAGAGACAATTGAATGCATAATAGTTTTAGTGATTTTCATTCATTCAATGATTGCTTTCAATGATTTTCATTGATTGTAAATTAAATAAAATCAATTTATCTTTAAACCCTCTTTTAGGATGAGATCTGCCAAAAAGTGTTTAAATATCAGTAAAGCTCACGTTACTAGTTTTATTTGCTGAAATTCTTATACTCCTCAAGAGATAAAGGGAATTCAGACGAGTTAATAAAAAAAATCTTTAAAAAAGCTTGTTATTTTGTCTGTAATAAGGTGTATGTCAACTTGAGAATTAGGATTGGATTCCGGAAAAGCACATGAACGCTATCTGCTTAAGGGGATGGATGCTTTCGTGTAAACCTTTTTTAAGAGAAAATTCCTCGCATTTATGTTCCTGGTGGAAAACTCCACATGTAATCAACCCGTTCTTCGGGTTTGATTGGATTAATTTTGTTCGCTTACTGAATTACATCAAAGCACACAACAATTACCTGTATAAGGGGAGGGATGCCTTCACAGAGGACTTTCTAAGGGAAGCTGGCTGCATTTACGTTACACAAAAACCATCAATCCAACCCTTTAGCCTGGTGAGTGAGCTACAAGTGTTCAGCCACCTTTACCGCTCTACTGAAAAGAAAAAGTATTGAAATAACCGGTTTAATTTACTAACCTGCATTTCTCAATTGACAGTGCATAACTTATGCATATGAGGGGATTATTTGTGAATAAATAAACTGTATTGCACTTTTCTCCACTATTTCATATTACGATGGTTGCTCCATTCATGATTTTTTATATTTTCAAAGAGAAAATTTCATGCTTTAAATAAAAAAATACATGAGAAGATACTTTATGCAAAATTTGGCGTAAACGTTTTTCTTAATTTTGCTTTGAAAATATTCCAGGGTAATCATTTTCATTACTGGAAGAAATATGAAAAACAGATTTACTACATTGTAAGTGTCAACACCCAGTATTTCCATATTCTTTTGAAAACGTGAAAGATTACTCTTTCTAAAATAAATTACAAAATATATTATGTGCGAATAGAATATTCGTTGAAAATGAAATAGACTTCAACCTTTGGTTATAACGATGATTTTAGATGAAATGTCTACCTATAAAAAGAAATTGATGTATAATTAATTCTTCATGAACATTTAAAACTGTTCTAAAAAATACTTTTGATGATTGCATGTATAGGTCACAGATTTTTTTTTTTCTCTGCTAACATAAACAAAAGCCAATTTTACAAAGAAAAATTCTCGTTAAAGTTATACCTCCTTTGCCTGAGAGTCCAATGTAATATTTGTTAAAGTTAAGTGATGAAATGCAACCAATGTATCTCGGATTTTCTTTTTTATATTATAATAACAAAATTATCGAAAAAAGACAGATTTAAATCTCTGTTATTGTTATGTAAAGCTTTATTATTGCTGTAAGTTCATCTCAAAATCTAATTGTATTGAATCTCATTCTAATCGTCTAATGGTAATAAATATTATTATTATTATTGCATTAAATTAGTCATTACCATTATTTTGTTAATGAAAATATGTTATTAAAAATCGCATTCCAGCCTGCAGACTTACAAAGCTAGTTTGTATTTATTATATTTTGTAAAATTTTGTTCTCGTTTTCTAATTTCTAAAACGAAATATAAATTAAGAGTGAAAACAAAGTTAAAAAATTCACAAATTATTTATGAGATTGATCAGAAATAGTGAGTGAAATGTAAACATTGCATACATTTTGTTCTAATTAAATAGTGCACTGGATATGCATCCAGTACTGCATATTTATTTATGCATTTATTTAGAACTTCATTTAAATGAAAGAAAAATAATCATCGAAAAAAACCCAAATCTAGCAACCCATCTTCTATGGGACAGCGTCCGACAAACATGTAAATTTTACTGCATCTATGGAGGGGGACTAACGACTTTTCTCATAAGAAATTGTCAAAGAGGGGGCAAAACTGTTTTGGATCGCGCCGGTCTGAAGGCTATATTCTGAGAATTTCAGTCCGGTTTTAGAAGGTTAATGTGGATTTTCCCACATCTTCCAGAAAGTTGCTCAGCTGGCACGTAATTTGCTAATTATTGCTATCTTAGCAAGAAAAAGTTTCACCAAGGCTCGTCTAATGTGTTTTTGCCCATATCTCACATTCTACTTGAACGTTTTTACAATTTAAACTTTGTTGGAGTTAGGATCAAAATATTTACAGTTCTATGTGAGAAATAAAAAGTTGTGTTGAAATGTCCATATCTTCAGTTAAAGGCAAAATAAGCCCTAAAATTATCATAACTCTCAAAGCAACATGTAAATAAGTAAAACAATACTATAAAAATTAAATGTATGCAGAGATTTATGTCATATTTGTTTGAGTCATTTCCTTACCGTATTCCATATATGCATTTATTTCATAAATACCCTCTATATAGTCTCACCATGCATCATCTTTCCATTTCACACTCGTGTTTTGTTAAATAATTTTATTTCTTGTTTAAATTGTTTAGAAATCATTATATAGGTCTTTCTATAAAAAGTTAAAAAAGTATTATGAAAAATAAAGTTATGAATATTAATAATACTTCCTGAGTGTATAAAGTATTCCTACCTGAAAGTTTAATATGTTTACTTAACCTGAAGGATTAATTATCAGTTGCATTATATTAGTTTATATTAATACTTTTTTAATTAATAACCAAATTTAGCATTTAGTAGTTTAATTTCCGCCTGATGTATTTACATCATGATATAATAGATACAGCATACTGTAAATTCATTAGGGTGATCTGAAGGTTTTTGGGTAAAAGAAGCATATTGAAGGGTTGACATTGAGCAATTTTTTAATAAAAATCCATTCCCTCCAAAGTAATCCTGAGCCAGATTCTTCATCATGATTGAAATTCATTGGCACCAGAAATGGGTGTGTGGTAAATAATTTGATTGTAGACTATGTTTCAGAATTTTTATATCTTGGTTATTGTTATTCTCTCTCTCTCTCTACATATATATACGTTACTCTCAACTCATGCCATTATTTGTTTTACTTCCACATTGTAGTTTATGTTGTGATGCAGTTATTACATTTAGTTTATTCAAGGCTTTTGTTGTAAAGTGCTTTTTTGAAAAGTGTCTGTATTTTATTTTTGTGTAACTGTATAGTCATTTGATGGCAGATAAAGATTTATTTTTTGTAAAAAATACAAATGCAAAATTGAGCTTCAATCTCACATTTTAAGCATTGTTTCATTTTTATCCTTATGGAATGGAATGTATGATAGTTTTTTTTTTTTTTTTTTTTTTTTAAACCATCAGGATGGCCATATGTTAGCAGTAGCTGTGAAAACATGTAAGGTGGAAAGTGAAGAATCAATGGGAGAAAAATTCCTGGAAGAAGCATGTAAATATATACATTCTTTATTTAATTCAGTTAGAGTCAGCTTGTAGAAAATGTATAAAAATGCATTAATTCTTTCAGATATAATGCAGCAGTTTGATCATCAACATATAATTAAGCTGATTGGTATCTGCTCTGATTCTCCAATATGGATAGTAATGGAATTAGCAAAACATGGAGAAGTATGAATAGCTATGTTAATTAATACTGAAAATGTAGAATACTTAAAGATGAATGAAGTACTAGTGTAGAAAACTTTAAAATGAATGAAATACTAATGTAGAAATTAAAAAATAATTTGCTTTATGGCCTGTATCACTTACTGGGTATGTACATACTGTATTACTTACTGGTTGCACCAAAGAAATGGGGATTAAATAACTGTTATTTTTTCCAAATCGAATTTCTGAATTTTTAAATCGTTTAAATGACCATTATGGAGCTCATTTGATTTATTGAGATGCAAAATTTGTTAAAATTTGAATCATTTTCAGAGTTACCAACTCTCCTGATTTAGGCGGGAGACTCCCGATTTTCGACCGTTCTCCCGCCAACCCGATTTACAATATATTTCTCCTGACTTTTTCTTATTCTTAAAATGTCTCACGATTTTTATGGAACTTGGCTTTACTTTGTTATATGAACAAAAACAACAACAACAAAACAAAAAAAAAAAAAAAAAAAAAAAAAAAAAAAAAAAAAAAAAAGGAAGTAATTTTGGACATCTGAAAGCAAATGAATTTTCTCTTTATATGTAAAACAAAACCTTGTAAATCAGATGAGAATTTCTTTGTGACTGAGAGCATACGTATCCAGAAACGTCGTTCTCCAGTTCTCCAATGGGCATCGAGCTCCACTGCATGTCATCTGGCATATATTAGCCAATGAGCACAAAGCAAGCTCAAGGCTGTTATTTGGATGTTCTTTAGTAATTTCGTTCATCTTGTCCCGAGTTGTGTGAGTACACATGCCTTCGAGAAATAGTTTTAGAAATTATCATCTTTTGTTATGTCTGCGAGAAAGGTGAATTGTGAAAATTCTCCTGATTTCTTATAAAAATCTGATTTTTGAGTGTCATAGGTTGGCAAGTATGCATTTTTTATGTTATAACTATGTAAACATTTTCAAGTTTTTTTTATGAAAATTCAATGAAATAAGAGTAATGATATTTTGCTAAATTTTTCACTAGTATTTTAAGGTGCTTATGAAAGGTGATAGTGTCTTTTCAAGCATCAGCAACAATCTCTCTTTACAATTGGGTTGCTGTATCCATCATTCAGTTGCAGAAATATTCTGGAAAAATTCTCTATTGTGCTCAAAAGTTGCATCATTTAATTGAGGTTAAAAAAAGAATTGAAATTTGCTGTGGAGAGAAAAATGTTTCTAAAGACATGTAAAGACATTTCTTTGCATATTTCCAGTATGGCAGTGAGTTGAGCAAAATTCTCAGTTCTGTGATTGCTGAGTTTTTTTTTTTTTTGGGGGGGGGAGCATAATCGATGCAAATGATTTCAAGTTTCTAATTTTATGTAATAAAATTATGTATGAAATGACAGCCCATAAAGCAATTTTTGAATTTTGGATCCACTTTAAATTTAGGTTTAGCTTGATTAAATAATTAATGTTTCTTAATGCATAATTAATGTTAATGTTTTATGCCTGTTAATGTTTGAAACCATTAGTATCTATTCAGTTTAGCAGCAACAGTTTTCATCCAGCATTATTTATATCCAAAGACAATGTGAAGGAATGTTATGTATATGTTTCTGAATCAGATTACAGTCACTGGAGTGTTTTCTTTTTTGGCCAGTGTTGAGTTTTGTATAGATTCCTATCAACTTGTCTGCTTCTATGATTATAACTTTTCCTCCTCATTTATGTTATAAAACCTAAGTGAAGTGATACAATTTTTCCATTTGAAGACACAGAAATAGAGTACTCTGAGGACAATTAATATTATTTCATAAGTGGATTTCCCTTCAGCTGCATGTGATGAAAAACATTTTAACTGGGCAACAGCATTGTTTTCAGCTCTTGAGTCTGTAAAGCGTGTCGGCATAGATGAGGAATCATGCTCATTTCCAGCTATATATGCATAAAAACAAGGCTGCTAATTATACAGAGCAAGCTAAAAAGAGAGAGACAAATGTTCCTTTCTCTGGAAAATTCATCCTCCTTGAGATTCTAGATTTCTGTGTATGCTTTGATAGGTTGATTTCTTTGTTTTTAGTCAAAAGATGTGTATCTTATTCAAGGTCTGATTAAGTTGCATCAATAATGGTTAATAGCCAAATTTATTTTGGCTCAAATTTTGCAGCAGTTGCATATTTATCCTAGGATTGAGTAGTATAATTGACTTGCTTGTATTGAAACGCACATTATCATCTTGGTCTCAGACAGTAAAATGGGCTAACAGTCATTAGTGCCATGGTTCAGTCTCTGCCAATTAATTTGGTGTTCAAATGACTGAGAGTATTTATTTTGAGAAGGGACACTAGTAAGATTCACATCAACCTTTAATAGCTGATTGTTATATAAATAAATATGTGTGTCTTAAAAAAACTAATATTGTTCATGAGAAGTCCTTGAATAAAATAATAATATACTCTTAAATAAAATTTAACTGCCGCATATTTTTTTAAGCTGACAGATATCTGTTGTGATATTTGCTGTATATTTCTGAGATTTATTTTATTTATCAAATAAAAGGTATGTATTTCTTGAGTGAAAATATTTTATGTAATTTCAGGTATATAAATGCATGTAAAAATATTTGATTCTGTTTTCCTCCCTAGATGCGAGCTTATTTGCAGAATAACAAAAGCCAGTTAGATTTGGCGACATTAATTTTGTATGCATATCAACTGAGTACTGCTCTGTCATATTTGGAGAGTAGAAAATTTGTGCACAGGTTATTATTGTTCTATACTATTTGTTTAGAAGATTAATCTGCTGAATGTAAAACTATATGAAAAATTGAAACAGAAGAGAAGCACACCAAAGTAAACATAAAATTAGGAAATAAACAACTTTATGATGACCTTGGCAAAGCAACCAGTTCTAGACTAAATCTATGCCAAACATAAAGTTGCTCTTCTGATTTTATATAAAATATATTAACATATTTTTTAAAAGCCAAAATACTATTTCATTGTACTAGTATTTGAATGCAATAGTGTTTATCCCCTCTGAAATTTGAACAAAATAGCAAATTAATTTTTGTTGCATATTCCTTTCTCTTTTAGATCAATATTTTTGTAATGAAAATATAATTTATTAGGTAGAAGAAGATTGAAAATAAATCCTTTCCCGTAAGGAATGAAGTGACATTAACAGATGTTAGGCAGATTAATATTTAGCTGGGCTTCTGTAGCTCTGAAGAGAAAAAAGCTTGTCTCAGTTGCCATAAAAATCTTTTATATAGAAAAGTGACATATTGCCACCAAAAAATGACAGAAAAGCAAAACTTAATTTTAAATGTATCCAGGTACCTTTCCAGAAAAAATTATTTCATTTTTTTATGTAACATGAAATATTAGACGTGAATTCAGTAGGAAGTGCTGTATAATGGAAGGTTTATTTTTGGTGTCTTGTTATTAATTTTTTAAAGTACTGTTTTCATGCTGCTTCATTAAGTATATCATCAACCCATTATAATGTGTCTATGTAAAATGCGAGACAATATATAGCACAATTAAGCATTTGATCTCTTTTTGTGTCATACTGTTGTCAGTAGTATGAATAATTAATACGCATGTAAATGCACTTTTGATTTACTTTTTATAAGATCACATGTTTGACACAATGGCAATAAAATATGTGAACTAAAGTGCATAAGCTATGTATATACTGCTGCCTTTTCTTTTGGATTTCTAGAATGAAGTTTTGTCATTTATGGGAATTTTGACGTTGAAAACATTTGTAACTTAGTATGTACATTTTTTCCCCATTAAACTGTCGAGCATTTATCATTTACACAGCCTGGCAAGCAGGCCCGCGCCAAGCCTAATCGGCGGCGGCGTGCAAATGTCTAGCGAGCGCCTTTATGCAGTGACGATATTATTAAAAAGAAACTGCTTATGGTTAACACTTAAAGTGAAGTATTATTAACATAATAAAAAAAATTGCATTTTCTCTTTTAATTTTTCTAAATGTGAAAACATTTTGTGCTTTCTTAAAACCCGCACTCAAACATATTTATTAAAAAATTATACCAAAAAATAACAATGCAAGCAAAGTGAAATAATATACTAAACACATTGGATAACAAATATACCACTTAACACTATTTTCTTTAAATAAAAAAAAATTGCATATCTAATAAGTTTGCACCGAGTAAGTTGTTTGCGGTGCTGTTTATGACAAGATTTGAATTGTGATTACAGTAATGCATAAAAAATTCTCCGAGTTTGATGTCCAAAATTCTTTTCTGCCTACCTCTATGTTGTTGACAATGATATAGTTTCAACTGGTGATGTTACATATTTTCCAAAAGTTTGCCAAAACTGCAGTTCATGCACAAGATCTATACTATTTATATTGCTTTTAGTTTTATTAGTTACTGCTTTTTTGGAGGTTTTTGGCATACGCTGAGCTGATCTTGTACTATATATAAACGAAACTTAGCCTTTGATGGTTTCAGTAACAAATAATTCGAAAAAAAAAAATAGTTATTTTTTTTAAGTGTATAGAAATGATCATAAAATTTGCCTCTATCATGTCTATACATTAATGAAACTCAAAACAATATGCTTCTTTACCTTGGAGGTAAAATTTAAAATGAAACAATTAGCATATTGTGGGATAATATAAAACGAATTAAATAAGATCAATTACTTGATTGTACCCGTGATGCAGCCATCAAGAGCAGATATCAGTTTCTATGAGGTATCTTTATTTAGAAAATACAGACGTGATTATTTAAGAAACATTTTTAATATTTTGTCTTGCAAGAGATACAACAGGTGAAGGACTAACAACATTCTCATAAAAGACTTCAAGAGAAAAATGTTTTAGGCATTAGTAATTTATGCGGGCAAGGATATGACAATGGTTCAAAAATGATAGGTAAACATTTTTTGAGTAATTATGCTCAAATCGTTTTTCTGAATTAAAAATTTGATTTAAGTTTAACATAATATGTAACTGTGCTTACCTTTTGTTATGTAAAATAACAATAACAACAAGCAGTCGGCAAAAGAAAATCATATAAAAGATAAATGTTGCACAAATTACTGCAGTTGCAACAGTATAACAAAAAGGATTAAACAATTTATCGAACACGGTGCCGGCGGAGGTGTTCCCGGACAACCATGAATATCTGACTATATAGCTCCAAACAACAGAACAGACAAGACAAACCATATGGTCTCTGCCGAGCCTGAACCAGCCATTGCCAGCAATGACTCTAGTCCCGTGAAGACTGATTTTATACCCCTGTGGCCTAGACGGCCTAGATACAAATTATAACTAGTAGCATCCCAGGTTTTAGCTGAGTCAATTCCCGGGGGGGGCGTTCAAATAACACTGTGCACCAGAAGGAAGGGGCATCTAGACCTGGCATGCATAAGACAGCCTTTACATGGATAAATTGCCCCAGCCGCTTGAGGCCATCTGAGGAGGCACCACCCTCAGTCTACGCAGGGGGACTTAAATGTTTCACACAGAACATGGTCATAGTTAGACATCGACCGTACCCAAGTTTTGACCAACAGGAGCCCATTTCCCTAGGGTAACCTTTGATATCTGACCATGTAACGCCCCCACAATGAAGGGGCAGACAAGACAGTTACAGTCTGTTTCCTGCCAAGCCTGAATCACCAAATGAACGATGGTTTTAGTCACTAACAGTTTATTTTGCCAGAAGTTGAAGCTGTCTAGATATTGATCTAGCCAGTACTCTGGGATTGCCAGTCCTAGTCGACCCCAGGAGTGGTCATCTGAAAGTAGTTAGCCCAGGCGAATCTGGTTACCAGCATAGCCACGAGGACTCCTATATCAGATTAGGTCAGCGAGAGGCTAGAATTATCCTGTTCTGACAGGCAGCAAAATGTTCTGCTTGCTTTAATGACTGCCCGGCGGTTTTCTGACACGGAGCCGTCGTGCTCGACACAACCCTGCACTTATTGTCTTCGCGGGCCTGCTGACAAGCTTTGTCATCCAGTGTGGCACAAAGTCTTTTATGCGAACACCTGCAAGGCGTGGGAAATTTCCTTTCTTGGAGGTTTTGTCATTCGATATTCTGTAAGCCCTTTAATTCAACTTTCAGGTTAAAACTGTGCATTTCTTAATTAGATGAGAATTTTAAAAACTATGTACACTGATTAAAAAATGGAGCCATTCTGTATCCTCCCATTCTGCTCAGCCAATTGACAAAATTCAACTTGCGGTTTTCATTCTCAAAAGCATGCCTTAGATTTATGTATAGCATTGTTTCAAAATGTGTATTTTGACACAAAATTGGAATTTCTTCTGAAATAACATGCCAATTTTTTTCCGTATTTCGATTCTCTGCCGCAAATTATGCCGAAATGCCAAGTTTTGTAAAATCCACAGCAGCAGTTTTTTTTTTTTTTTTTTTTTTTTTTAAATTAGCAAACAAGATTTGGACTCCCACAATGTTAATTGAATTTCACATATATTTAAGAACACTGACTTTTAAATTAAACTTAATTAATTTCTTCTTGCATAATTCAGAATTTAGGTTTAATCCAAATAAAATTCATACTTTTTTGTGATTTAATTAAAAATTCCTGTTTTTGAATAACTTTTTGGAAAAAAATATGAATTAATTAAAAAAATTTTTGGAATTATGACCTATCAAAATTTTACCCCATCTAGTCGTCATCAAAATTCTACCAACAAGTAGATGCATTTCTAGGCATACCTCCAAAAATTAGAGATCTTTATTCAAAATTTCCGAAGATATACGTGAATGTATATATCAGTGCATTTTGAAATTTGCATGTTTATTAACACCTTAACTGCCGCTGGCATATATATATATATAATATATATACACACACACCTTGCTCAGCCGATGCGTTAACTGCCCCTGGCATATATATATGCCATTCCAAAATACTATCATTTGCTTTGCGCTTCTACCTGTAAAGTTATTCACAAAGCTTTGGAATGTAACACCACAATGACTTTGACAAAGTATGCGAAGGAGGATACTATTTCAGAGAAGTGTGGGGAGAAATTGGAGAGAAAGATGTGTCTAAAGTGGTGAAAGTAATGACGGTGCTGTATTGGCTGGTGTTGTTTGAGTAAAACGTATTTTTTTAATTCTGTGTCCTCCCTTTTTCGTTTACTTTTTGTAGTAGGTTCCAGGAATAAAGAAAGATATAATGGATGTATCAAACCCATTTATCTTTTTTGAATTATTTTTTGATGAACTGCTTGTGCTTCATATTGTTACTGAAACTAACCGTTTTGTAGACGAGTATATGAACCAACACCTTGCAAACATAAAATCCAGAACAAAATCATGGCATTCAACCAGTTTAGAAGAAATATATGTTTTTTTTGGCATTTCACAATGTATAACACTCAAACCTGATATTACACTGTACTGGTCTAAAAATGAATTGATCGAAACTCCATTTTAGGGATCTTTTTTATTATAAAAACATCATTTTTATTATACTTACATCTTTTTATTGTACTTTTACTCGAAACATTAAATTTTGTGTATTCATTTTTTTCCTTTATTCTTTATTTTGTGAAAGTAAACAGTTTTTAGAAAGTAAAACTTGCACTTTTTCCCCCCTAATAAATCGCCTAACTACGTGCACCTGATGTGTGAAAAACTATGGCACTGGGAAATGAATCTTGTACTTTTTCCATGGCAGTTAAGGGGTTAATGCAGTTTGTCTTAGTTACCCTTTTCAATGAATTGCAGCAGTTATTTTGAACCATAAACTTTTATTAGGGATTATTCATATGGAATCTTTCTTCTCATTTTTATTAATGATAGATAAGAAATTATGAATAGTATGAAAAATTATTTTTTTAATTTATAAAGAATATTAAAAGTTTAAAGATTTTTTTTCAATTTTATATGAGCAGATATTTACTGTTTTGTTGCCTGTTATTTTACTTAACTTCATTTTATATGCAATGAAATTTATTTATTTATTAGTTCCAAAATTGCACATTATATATATGTAATCATTACTTCTGAGTACATCAAACGATACGGCAAAAATATTATAAATAAAAAAATGCAGTCTTCTACAAAAAATGTTTTACAAATGATAGACTAGACTGTAAGATTATCTTATTTTCTGTGTGCAGCAAAGGCAACAAATAAAAATCTTTCTGAAAATGTTTTATGCCCAAAAAATATTTCATGGCATTAACTGTATACTAAATTTTTAAACAAATTGTTTTTATATCTGAAAGGGCCAGTAATATTATCATGAAAGACCATTTTTTTTAATATATGTGTGTCTTGTAGTAATCACATATTTGTAAAAGTCATAATAACGTATCAAGACCTTAATTGTGATCTTTAATATAATAAATAAAGAGCATTGCTACATTTATTTTCACATTGTTATTATTATTCCTGTTACGTTTACTGTAATAATAATATTTATTATAAATCTTTTTGTAAAATTATTCCAAAAATTAAAAAAATTGTGCTTGTCTTTGGACATAGTTGCTAATTTTATATTGGTTGAGTTTTAAAACCTGCATTTTTATGCTTTCCTTCAACTCCACCAAAAGTACAAACTGAGTTTAACCAAACTATGGCATTCAAAGTTCAGAAAGAGCAAAGTACTGGCAATTCAGCCATTGATGCTGTGTCTGTCATTTTCCTTCTGATTTATAGCTAAATTGGTTTTCTTAGTTTAGAAATGTGTGTTTAGAAATCTCACATAAATTAGTTTTGTTGGTTATTTAAATATGGCAAAGAACATGGAAGCCTCAGGAGAGGAATTCCTTCATGGATTTCATTTCAGTACATAATTTCAGTACATTTAAATTGTGCCCTCAGTGGCTGAACATTAAACTTGTAGAGAATTTTTATAATATATTTCAGAGAGAGTTGCTTGTAATCCCCAGCCATTACCTTCATTTGTTCTCCTGCCTGCAAAGCATTCATAGATTCTTTGGTGGTATACCTCTATTTGTGTTTGTTCATTTTACTGCATCTTTACTTGTTGGTTTAGTTGTTCTTGAGTGAGCCAAAGGGGGTACTGCGTGCTATGAGATTAATATGCATAATAATTTGTTATATTATCACGTATGCAAAAGAACCAGAAAACTCTAGTAACTGAAAGAGTATAAATGGATCATAAAATGTTATTTAATATTATTCTGAGTAAATGGAAATTATAAAAATTATTTCATATGTATGGGTTATGAAACATATTTTGTGTTCTTTGAATGATTTAAAATAAGCTTTGTTCTTTACTTTCTAGAGATATTGCTGCTAGAAATGTTTTAGTGTCATCCCACGATTGTGTGAAACTGGGAGATTTTGGCTTGTCTAGATGGGTTGAGGAACAGCATTATTATAAAGCTTCTAAGGGTAAATTACCAATAAAATGGATGGCTCCTGAATCTATAAATTTTCGAAAGTTTACTACTGCAAGTGATGTCTGGATGTTTGGTGTGTATATTTTATGTAATTTATGCTTATTAAAGTTCCTTTTGCATTTAGTTTTTGTTAAATAAAAATTAATATGTTTGAAAAATTTACTAAATTTGTAATTTTGATTTAGAGCATAAAATCAGTATTAACCTTTAATTGCATTTTATCTGTTTCAGCCTCTAGGTATGCATACTAACGTTTTCCAACCATATATGAGAGGAATTTAGATCATTATCATAATGTGATACTTTAACAGCTGTAGAAGTTACATATATATTTATATGCAGTTACATATATAAAGTCTTCAGTTTGCTTAATAAGCAAAACCTCTGTTGTGTATATTTTTCATTGCAGTATAATATAGTTTAGAACAATGACATGGCTGTGGAAACATGTTATAATTAGTATTTCAGTAGTATGCTTTTGTTATTTTGTTAGTAATCGATTGCTGCCAACTGTCTTGATTTCTCATCACATTACTTATTCTCCCAGTAGATCGCTGAATCTTCTGCTTTTTAATTTCAGCCGAATATATTTCTCAGCAATAAATTAAATATATTGAACCTAATTTCTGAAAATTATGCTTTTCCCCACCTGTAATAATTTTTAGTCTACTCAGTAGACTAAGCAATTCATCACACCTTTTTATGAAAATTTCAGCAAATGTTTAATCAGTTAATATTTGCATTTAATTTTGCTTAATCAATATATAATACATTACAAAGTTTATCCACTTAACGGTATGTATATTAACAATTGGGTTGGCTAAGTTCTGGCACATTTTTTAAGTGAAAATTTTGCGAGAAAAATAAAATGTTTTGGTAATGTGTTTATGTAATTTGATAGAGAATTATGTGCTCTACAAAATAGTGTGTTTAGTTTTTTTATGCTGCTATACTTTGTGTTCTTTTCGTGTCATTGAAATGAAGTGTCAAGTGAACAAAAAAGTGCATTTTCAACACCTGCTTTTGGCATTTAATCAAGGTGCCAAAGCCATAGAAGTTGCTTGAGAGATTTGTGAAGTGTATAGTGAAGAAGTTATGCCTCTTAGGATGTTCAGAATTGGTTTAAGCTATTCAAAGACTGTGATTTCTGCCATTGAGGCATTGAACAACTTGTTGAATGTTGTAGAGAAGTTGTAAAGACCAACGAGAATACATTATTGATTAATTTGTTGTTCATTTCTTGTTTATTTTAAATGCCAGAGTGTATCGGCCAACCCAATATTTAATTAATAATTTTATTTTTACCATATTTCAAAGTACTTTAATAAATTCATGCTTTCCTTAATCAGTATTTTCACAGTATGAAAGGTTAAAAAAATTACAAACTGGATTTACCGTATTTGACGGCATATAAGATACACTGGCATATAAGAATCACCCTTATTTAACCCCTTCGCGCCGACTGTCACATATACGTGCCAGCAACGAACACACTTATCTACTGGCCGACATGCAGGCGTGCCAGAGCATTGTTGCATTCTCTACCGACTGTCACGTATTTGTGCCAGTACCTTGGAATGTTTTTCAAACTATAATATCTGCCACAAGATGGCACTGTATGTCCATATGGTTTCAGATACATGTGCATTAGACCTTCTACTTAAAATGAGAGAAGCATGACTCACATACACGTGTTTTTGATTATATAAACAAACGGGGAACTAAATGTTTCCGAATGGCGTGATTTACGACGTCTCTTTAAATCGCACTTTATTCGCACGTGGTAGTTGTTTATTGTATGTAGAAGTTTTATATGCGCTAAAGCGTTGAGTATTTCCGTTTACAGTTCAGTTTTTAGAAAATAATTAGATCTTGTTAGACGTGAATTCTTTCTGTTTTTACCGTTTCAATGTCGAAAATGTTTAACAGAGCATGAAATAGCAGAAATGATGCAAAATATTTCAGTTATTAATTCTGAAATTCTGATATTGATTCTGAAAGATTAACTGAAAGACATTTTCCAAAACTTTGTTCAGAAGAGACTGATAAGAAAATGAGACGACGATGCTTCGTTTGTTCACATTCCCGGAAAAATCCTCCAAAACGGCAAATGAGTTATTACGAGTTCAAGGAATGTAACGTAGGACTGTGTGTAGATCCCTGTTTTAAAATTTTTCACACGGAAAGAGAATTTTAAGTAATATATTTAGTTTTCAGATTATAATGTTAAAAGTCATAAAATGGTGAGTAATTTAAATAAAATGTGTAAAATATGCATTTAAACAAGAAATAAGGTAATTAAAGTATATATATATATATAAATATCTATAAAGCGTAAGCCGTTTAAATACTCTATAGAGCATTATTAAACAATGCGTTGATACATCGGAAATTTCATGGATTTAGGCTTAGTAGCAAAAAAGCCCCCAGCCCTGGAGAGACGCTCGCGGAAGACACTGCCGGCCTCCGCGATAAGTGCGCGTTTTCGCTACCCGGCTCAAAGGGGTTAAAAGGCCACACACATGTAGATGTAGAAAAAGTTATGTGTGTCTAGACCTTTATCCGGGCTAAAAATAGCATTCAGTATTGAAAGTTAACCTGTGTCCTTCACGTATAAGACGCAGATATACTTTTTGGAGACCAAATTTAGGAAAAAAAGTGCGTCTTATATGCCATCAAATACGGTAGCTAAACAAAGTAAAATTTAACATAATTAATATGTTTTATATCAGAGTGATATGATCAGTAATTGAATAACCTGTCATGCATTATAAAGTGAATTTTTCTATGGTGTGTCACATTGCCATGCACCATGGAAATTCCTTGTTTTTCATGTTTCCTGGTCAACAACCCCATAATTGTTACTGATTTATGGCTTCTATACAGTTTGCAGCTTCAATATTATGTAAATGTAGATGCAATGGTGGTGATTTTTATCTGGTCTTAAGAGTATTGACAGTTGGGTTCAATGAATATAAAAGTTCTCAAAATAATTTGTGAAAAAATTTGTAAAGAAATGTGTTTTGTGAATTGTTTGATTATGTATATCAAAGAATGCAGTGGCAGTGTGTTTAAAAAGAGGAAACCTTCAGCTAGGACTTTCTGAATGAAACTGGCTCATATTAGCATTATACACGGGGAAAGCCACAAAAACTGTAATGTAATTATAACATTTTCCAGTATTCAAAACAGAGTTGAATTACAATTAATCTTCTCGATTACCAAGAGCATGTAATTTCGTGAGAATTCCTGACAGTGTTGGTCGATGAATTATTGGAAATATGTTTAATTCATAGATCAGAGAGTTACTAATTTGATCAAATTTGGATGCATTACTTTACATTTTATAACTTTCGAAATTTTTACTTGTGCTTCAGAAAATAAATGTATGTGTTCTTTATTTATTTGTTTTCTTTTTGCTGGCAATGCAAAAGGAATTAATAATAAAGTGACCTTTGAGCAGTGTAAGTTTGGACTGTGTGGTTTTACTTACATGTGAATTTTTTTTATTTATTTTTTTTTTTATTTTTTTTGAGTAAATAGAAAAGTTTTTGGTAATTTTGATTATATTTAAAAACATGTGCATAAACTGCATATCCTACAAATAAAGAAAAAAACATTTTTTTTTAATAAATCATGAACATGTTATAAAGTTGAAAGAAACTGTTATAAGAATTTTTTTAAATTTATGTTTGGTGTTAGTAATATTTGGGACGCAAAACACCATAAGCAGTGTAAATACATGGTTCCACATAAACAAAGAATCATCTTATAAATGGAGCTATAAAATTATGGATAATTTTTTCTGGTATTTTAAATGTATCTTTTGTTCCTGATGAATTTCTTGAGAAAACACCTTTTTAGCTTATTTCAGGGTTGCCACGCTACTTGGAAAGCTGGAAAATCAAGGAATTCGAAAATTGACCAAAAAAGTCAGGAAATTTAAATATTTTGATCAAAATCTGGAAAAGTCATGGAATTTCATACGTTGATCCCACAGAAAAGTGATTTTGAAGCCAACTTTGGATGTGATCACTTGCCTGTGGAATTGTGTATCACCTGAGCATCATTCGGGCAGAGTCAATTTTCACAACTCCAAGCAGATTGTGTTTTAGGAAGGCAAAGCAAGTTTCCAGAAACTTTGGTTTCCAGTATCCTTGAGAATCGAAATGTTTAAAGAAAAATACTTTCCCATTCTCGTATAAAACAAAATTGGTGTGATCCTAGCATACAGTACCCAAGGGATTTGGCAACTTTATGATTAGCAATAAACGGTTCATTTTGGTGTTGGTGACAATTTTCAAAATTGTGCCAAGGCCATACTGTATACTAGTATTTTTCAAAATCTTTTAAAATAAAGAAAATAGTAATCACTCATCTAGGCTAACCATTTAATATAAATATAAGTTGATTATTGTAATTCAGTTTTTATTCTTTAAGTAAGTAACTTTAATGTTATTAGTATTATTTAATGTGACGTCTTCCTTCTAAATTTATTTACTGTTAGTTCATAATACTTTCAAATTTCAGGCATTTTTCTCTGGCATACTCCTAAAACTAATTCTGGCAGTACATCATGAGATTTAATGCATATATTGTTTGCTTATGTATTCTGCTAAATAAATATAAAATACCTGAATTTATTTAAAAATGTCATTAAACAGATTTCTAGCTTTCGATTAGCTGCAAAATGTCTGCTTAAAAAAGACATTTTTAAATCTAGATTGGTCAGATTCTGATCTCAATCTTCAGTGGAGAAAACAACTCCTATTATAGTTATAATAGTAATGCTTTGGAGATTTATAAAAGTCATATGTAATTGGCAAATTTTTGTGTTTTCACGTGGTACCATAATTAATATACCTCTTGGCACAGCCAACGTGCACTGTGCGGAGAGACTGGAATTTTCTTAAAACACACCTGGAAAAGTCAGGGAATTTCATTCTCCTGCTTGAGTGGCAACCCTGTTATTTTATTGTAAGAATGCATGATCTGATACAGATAACTTACAAAATAGTTGATAGTATTTTGAGATGAAGAGAGTAGTACACTTAAAATTAACAATGGGCTGTTAGTAGTTACATTTTCGGAGAAGCATCTACACTTACATATGGTTTTTTTGATTGCACAAACAAGGTTGCATTCTGTTCGAGTGAGGCATATTTTTTTCACTTGATAATTTTTAAATATTCTATAGAATAAAATATAATAGTTTCTAAATAAGTATAGAAAATATGATATCCTACTGAATTTTTTCATAGCCTGTACAGAGGGATATGTATTTCATTTGTTTTTTCATACTGATAGTTATGTTAAAGGAAGTTGGTATTTCATTCATATTGCTAATATTAAGTGTGTATACAAGAACAATACAATACAAAACATCTGGTATGTTTGGTATAACTTACTATGATAACAGATTTGTGTTTATTTTAGGCGTTACATTTGCTGAATATACATTTTTAAGATTATGTTTTGATATGCACACTGGTCTTTAATCCTTATAGTTATGTTACATCTTTTAAAAACACAGTCATAAAATTTGTGTAGTCTGAACATCATACATAACTTTGTAAATCCAGATAAGAACAAGATATAGAATAATTAATTTTAAGGCAGAATGTGAATATCTTTATCTATTCTGTTTCGGGGCACTTTTCAAGGACATCTGTAGGTGTGTTTAATTTTGTTAAAAGAAAACCTGCTTTGCTTATTCATTGTCTTATTTTTATGTAAAAGTTTAATAAAATTATAACTGAATTACAATCGTTTTCTCTCTTAAAGTCAACTTTTATTTGTAAAATTTCATCCTCAGTAGCTTTTGTGAGATGTTTCTCATTATCAACTTAAGTGATCCATCCTACATGTGCCATAGAAGAGTTCCTTAAGAAAAGCAACTGCAAGCAATTATAATTATTTTATCATAAAATGGAAGAATGGGATTTCATCACATGATATCATTGTAATAGTTGTAGGATTGTGGTCAGAATTATTTGAGAATAGTATCTATTGGCTACCTATCGTTCAAAGCACTGGGAATTTGCTAACATAAGCATGGCAAAGTAGTTCTTTTTTTCTGAAAAATTTGATGTACTTTTTGATAATCACTTTATGTTTGTCAAGGTACAGTTAATGTACACAGAGAAAGTATAATAGTAGATGATATAACAATGAACTCAGTCAGCATTATTCAAAATTGTTATTGTTTAATATCAGTTTCAGTGTAATATAAATTTAGTGCTCTTTAAGTATCACAATTCACCTGCGGTCTGAAATCAGAATATTCTCCTTTACTAGTAAACAGAAAATTGGCTTGTGCTGCAGTGTTCATTATACAGAAAAACCTCAATTTAAAAGAGTAATTAAAGTGAAAGGGGTACACAAAGTCTGAAGTGTATTAAATAGTGTTATGAACAATGTTAAAAATAGGCTATTACACTCGAAACTGTGTTGTATAACTTAAATGTAAAATATTTCATATACATACTATATTAATAACAAAAAGAAAATTTCTAACACCTGCTTATTAGACCGGGGGGGGGAGGACCTCAAGCATTTTCCCTCAACAGTTTCTTTTTCTTAACTATGTTTTCTGTATTTGTCAAAATTTACTCGGTACATCCGAAGCCCATTGATTCAAGGTATGTTAAATCAAGGGTTTATCATATCAAATCAAGGGTCTGTTCTTATAAAGGTATATATAGGTAATGAATTAAAAAAGTGTGTTTTTGTTTTTCAGAAAAGAAGTATTTTCATATGTGCATTGATGAAATCTGAAAAATTATTTACTACTTTAAGTTTGAAATTTTATTTCAGAAACTAAGTATAATGTACATTAATGTTGCATTATGCTGTCATTCAATTGAGTGGAATGTTATGTTTTAATGTTGATGCATTATGATTTATAGGTGTGTGCATATGGGAAATTCTTATGTTTGGTGTGAAACCCTTTCAAGGTGTAAAAAATAATGATGTCATAGGCCGAATAGAAAATGGAGAACGTTTGCCTCTACCTCCTAGATGCCCTCCTCATCTTTATAACTTAATGTCACTTTGTTGGTCATATGAACCATCAAAACGGCCAAGTTTTAAAGAAATTAGAAGAGTTTTAGGGTAGAGTATTATTTTATTGTTTGTTTTGTGTCTTTTTGCATGAATTGTATCTAAAGGTGACAGTTTTTTAATTTTTGTTTAGGGAAATTCTTGAAGAAGAAAGGCGACAGCAAGAAGAAGTGATGAAAAGGGAAAATCGCAGGATTCATGCTATGTCATGGGGTTTGTCATTGAAAAATTTAATTTTTCCCAATATTTTGCTTTTGTTAGATATTCGTTAAAATTCTTATGCATTTGCTTACTGTCATTGCACAGATTTGTATTTTGTTTACAATTGTCATGTATAGCTGTGCTCTCTGATGATAGAAATTTAGGTGTTTGCTTTAACTATATTAGCAGGTGTAATTTTTTTTTTTTTTTTTTTTTTTTGAAGCATTTAACTTGCTTTTATTTTTCAGAGTCATATTTGTGTAGTTTAAACTCGCGATAAAATAACTTTAGTTTTTTTTTTTTTTTTCCTTTAAGATTCATGGAAAATTTAAAGCAACAGAGTTGAAAATATTAATTGCTAGCTATAATTCCATGAAAATAAGAATAAGAAGCAGAACTTATCCCAGTCTGTTTTTTTGTAACTTGTTGAAAGTGCAGGTGTTCATCTGAGTAAAATTATTTTTCTTTTTTAAATTAAATAATTATTTTATTCTGATCAAATGATTTGTTACGTTTGATAAACCAGTACTAAAATATTTTTATTGGGTTAATTTTAAATTAACCAGTTTGGTTCAATAATATATGGATTGGATTTGTATTTAGTTGATTACAGCAAAGTGCTATGTGGGTATGTGTTTAATGGAAAAAGTCAGAATTGTTTGGAGGAATAGTTAAGAGAAACTAGCATGTATTTATGTTACAAAAGAGGAAAATTGTGAAAACACACAAATAGCTGGCCTATTTACTGGGATTTAAACCTGGATTAAACTATCAGTGCTCATAGTTTTATATGCATTTTCAGAGTACTTTCTGATGTGTACTTTTAAGTTGCACCTTCTACTTTTGTTATAATTATAGCTAGAAAGAGATGCATTATAAAAATATTAAGCTTGCTTTATAAAAGAAAAAATAAAATATATATAAAATTATAATTTTATAAAATTTTCTAAAAATTGAATAAATTTGCCCAGTGTATCAGTAATTTTAAAATATTGCATAAGGAAGTACTGTTATCAGTTTTTATGAAATCGTGATATACAGGGTAACCCAATAGCCCCTTAACATTTGAAAATTCAATAATTCCTGGAATAATATAGGTAGAGAGGTAAAAATTTGTTTTAGCATATTTCTCTTTTCCTTTTCTTGGGTGAATAAAGGCATAGGAAGGTGATGTGCTTGCTTAGGTGAATAAGCAAATGAGTGAAAGTTAGACTAACAGTTCCTTGTTTTTTAAATTGCATGAGGTGCCTGTCATTTATGTTTGTTTAAAAAAATATGTCAAAATTAAAGGCATTGCTTCCCTGTTACTGTTGTAATATATTGGTCAGCTTAATGGATCAGTTATTCATATATTTGCCTAGAGGCAAGGGTACAGAGTGTTTTTGAAGGATGTCTCACTTCAAAATTGCGGTTTCTATTAAACTGTAGTTCACTTGTTCTTGATTTATGTGATTTCACCTCTAATGGTCCTTTCTAGCTAATGAATGTGATAAATAGTGCACAAAATGCTGTGAAATTAACTAAGAAAGAGGTAAAATGTATGAAATTAATATCAAGCAAGAGTGATAGGCTAAGTATACATGTGTTTTCAAACAGATTAGTATGTTTTTGGTATCAAATTACATGTATTTGTTTTTATTTTTATTGTTGCCAGCTTCTGGACATTGCTGCTGTTATTTTATCCTCCCCCCGCAAATCTTGAATGCATACTTTTAAGTTGACACCAGTTTAAAGCAGATTTGTTTCTCGAAGGAATTTTAGATTTTAATTTTTAATTATTGGCTTTGGAAAAGTTCTAAAATGTTATTTTGAAAATCCTTCCAGAAGTAGATTCAGAAAAATTATTAATCATGTGAAATTGTGGTCCGCTCTTTTTCCATTTTTTGCAATTCACAGTTTCATTTTATTTATTTTTGCCTTCTAATTATGCATGAAGGAATGCAAATTTATCTAACTTTCAATTATTTTTGTGAGAGATCATTTTGAAATGGAAGACATTTATTTTAAGCTATTTCTGATTTTTACAATATATACATTATAGTGGTATCAAAGGTGTCAGATCCTATTATGATGTACAGTTGTATAGTTTATGAATTGGCTTTATTTCTTGGATATAATCTGGGAAGTTGAAAAGAAAAGTAGTAATTAAAGAATCTACCTCAGCTTTATTGTAAATTAACTATGATGGGGGATTTGTTTAGAGCACTTCATATTCACTTATTAAAATTAGGAGTGGCACTAATTTTATATTATGCATATATAGCTTGTACCTGTCCCCCCCCCGAAAAAAAAAACAAAGCTGTAATAATATGCTTTGTTATGTATAGTTTATTTCCATATAATTGCAGTTGTAATTTATAAATATAAGTGCAGTGATGTTCTTTGGTTCTGAGTCCAAACTGTTACCTAAACATATCTGTTTGGATAGCTGACACATATCACAGAACCGCGGCTGAAGTAATTAATAGTTCTGCATTTCATAGGCTATATAAGTTAATTCCTTTTTTTGATTTCTTTTAGTTTAACAGTTATTTTTCTAAAGGAATAACTTTACCATTAGTTTCTAAGAAAAATTTAATAAGAATGTATTGCTGCATGTTTACGGGTTCATAGGTTGATAAAATTTATTTTTGTCAAAAGAAAGATCTCAAAGTTCTAGAACTTTCCACAAAAATAATCGTACAACTCTTCACAATATCACATAGTACAATTGGTAGTTACACTTGAAACTATTAAAAACATTAAACACAATTCATTGCAAAACACATTTAAAAACTGAAGCTTTCCATGCTCATAAGTCACTCGGAACTAACAATTAACAAAAGAGAAAGCTAATCCGGAGATATCTCTGTGCTTCAAACTCGCACTGAGCTAACCACCGTTGAGGGCAGATGCTGTCTCTGGCCTTGTAGAGTTTTCATCAGCCCACTGAGATACTATTTCTAGTACTTTCTGCTTCTCGAAATTACTGGAAGGCATATAAGGGTCGAATTACGGTTACAGCTAATATAGTGATCAATTACATTTATTCAGTTACAGTACCTATTATGTGATAGACGTAAATGAAATGGAACAGACCTAAATGATGCCAAATGGTTGCCAAGTTTGATGACTTTTGGTAATTTGTCGTCAAATTTGGTCACAAAAATAAGTCATCAGAACCGTTGCCAGCTTGTAGCACGATAGCCATTTATCAATGTTTAATAGATTTGTTCCTGTATTCTTACTTTTCTGGCAAGCTTCACTTCTCAAATGTTACATTATGGAAAAAATACAACAATTTCACATCTTGCACTAAAAATCATCTGTGTACAAAATTCGTAATGGTATGCTCAGCCAACTTGTAAAGGGCTTTTAGCGTATGCAGGGTTCGTAGCAGTCCTTATAAGTGTTTATAAGTCCTTGTTTTTGAAAATAAAATATAAAACCCCTTATAGATGCTTACTTTTCCTCTAAAGCACTTATTTTTTTGTTTTTAGTGCTTATTTTTTGCTTTTAGTGCTTTTTTGTTTTTAACGATCACGCATTTTTTCCCTGTACCAAAACGAAAACTAAATAAACAACTTTTCTTCCTCATATGGAACGTCAGATGGTGAATCATGCTCCCAGAAATAGGTTTTCGCCCCTTTTTCTGCATTAACATAACCTTTGGTGCGCGCGAGTACAGACAGGCGCACATCGTTCTATTGGTCAAAGAATTGCGGAAGTAGTAGAAAATTCCGATGTATTCCGTATTCTTTTGCTCCCTCCCAATACTACACATGTTTGAATTTCTATCAAGATTTCAATAATTTACATTCTCGTTCCTCGTGGTCAGTTCATATCCGCGTTTGTTATGATCAGTATGCGTATATTATGAGTATATGTATGAATATTTATAATAACATATTTCCAGTAACTGCTGAAGTATAAACTTCAAAAATGGGTAAGTGTATTTTAACACAGATTAGTTTTCTAAGGAATAATATTCGGAACGGCATAAATAAAGTGAAAGTAATCGAATAGTCAAAATAATGATATCTTTTTTTCTTTCTTTCTTTCTTTTCTTTTCTATTTTTTGGCAATGCATAATACAGTACGGAGATTGGGGGTTCTCCCCTTTTTTCACAAAATCTTGAATATTGAAACCGTTACAGTTTGCAGCAAAGCAAGCAATGGACTTTTTTGGGGGGGGTCACTTTCCAATCTGGATTGAATAGGACTAAAAGTTCATGAGGTCTACCAACCGAAGTGTAGAATGATTCTCTATTCTGGAAATTTAATGCAGTCTGTTCAAAATTAGAATGAAAAACACTCCAGATTGGTAAATCTCTTTATTTATCAATATGGGTATCGTGCGGAGCTTGATGTGTCCTGCTCCAATGATAAATATGCCACATGGGTGCATGACAGTGAAAACCAAACGAGTCAAATGGGCGTTTTTCTTTATTTAGTTATTTATTCTCCGAATACTGGCAGGTGTTGATTGCGATTTCGTAATATCACTTGTGGAAGAATTAAGGCGCACATATTGCGCAATAACGCTTGCGATATCTCGCAAAGATAAAAGAGTTTTACTGTGCTTGCTAAGCAGATTATATTTCAGTTCCGTTGGGCTATTTTTTTTATATGATGCAAATATCAAAATGTCAAAAGCATTATTTAGCTGAAAAATCTAAAAAAACACCTACAATATACCCCTGCTTCCACTTTTACTAGTTACGCTCGACTATGCAGAATTTTCAGATATTCGGCAATTTCCAAGTATGTCTGTTAGTTAAACTTTTACTGCTAAAAGATGACTGCATGCAGCATTTTCCCATCTTCTGATTTCAGAAAAGTTCCTTTTTTACTTATATTTGTATTTGACGGCATATAAGATGCACCCTTATTTAGAAGGCCACACACATGTAGATGTAGAAAAAGTTATGTGTGTCTAGACCTTTATCCGGGCTAAAAATAGCATTCACTATTGAAAGTTAACCTTTGTCCTTCACGTATAAGACACAGGTAACTTTTTTTGAGACCAAATTTAGGAAAAAAAGTGCGTCTTATATGGCATCAAATACGGTATTTCTTTGCTTGCAATATCTATTAATGGAAAACTGTTATACAATGAAAATTTAGAAAATGTTCAGAATTTTGATTTAAGTTAAATTATTTAAATATTAATATGAGTGGAAAAAGAAATTGTATTTATTTTTAGGTGCCAAGCGAATATAATAAATATGGCTTATTATTATTTATTTTCTCTATTTGAAACTGAAATTTCATCATTAAATCTTGTAAAATAATTTATTTCTGCATAGTTTTTTCCCTGTCGTAAACTAGTTCTGTATATTGAACTGTTATTTAAAATTTGAAAAAAAAAAAAAAAAAGGAATTGTTTTCCATGATTGAGTAATGTTCATTCCCTCTTAATAAATACTGAATTTCTCATATTTTAAGTTACAAGGCTTAATTTTTCTTTTAAGGTTATGCAGTTGTGTATAATGTAATTAGGCAGGTGCTTTTTTTTTCCCCTTAAAATGTGCTTGAAAAGTGCGTATAGATGCTTATTTTTTAAAACTAAAATGTGGCTATGAACCCTGTTATGGATCCTAGATGTAAAAATTCCTTTTCTTAATTAAGAAATTGTTTTTCTGAACTAAAAAAACTTTGTATTGCAATAAAAAAGTTTTATCATGCTTTGCTTTCAGCTTTTAGGCTAAATTATTTTTTGTATGAAATAACTTAATGAATAAAAAATAATTCACATTATTTAAAATGTTTTATATCTTTTGATTCTGAACTAGGTTCTTCTTGCTCTGATGAACCTCCACCAAAGGTAATTTGATTTGCAATTTTTTGGTTTATGTTTCTTTCCTCGTGTCCAATAACATTTCCTTTTCACAACTGAAAATTTCCAAATATAACGCTGATTTTTCTTGTTTGACTTCTAAATTAATATTTGTTCAGTGTGTTATTTTATCTTAACATTTCCTTTATTATGTTGCATTTATTTCAGCCTTCTCGCCTTCCTGTTGATCAAAGCAGTGTTTCAAGCCTTCCTTTAAGAGTCAACAGTAATCTAGTCCATTCTTCATTCTACTCAACAGGCACTACTGAAACAGTTTATATGGAATCAAATGATGATGCTTCAACTTTATGTTTATGGAATTCTGCCCCCAAACACTCAACTTCATCGAGTATGGTAAATAAAAATTTCAGTATTATACAGTTAGTAATTTTGCAGTAATTACTCCTATGGCTCAAATGATTCATTTCGTAGCTATTCAGTGTTAAGTAGAGCTGTGCTGATTGTGATATAATTACTCAAGGAGTGCATGTCTGTGAAATTAAAATTCCTGAGATAATTATGCAGACACCTCCTGTTTTTAAGACACAAGAACACGGCGAACAAATACTAATTCAGAAGTCAAACAACAAAAATCAGCGTTATATTTTCAAATTTTCACAGGACTAGTTTCGATGGTTTTACTGAACCACCATTATCAGCTGCAAAAGCGACGATGGTTTTACCGAATCACCATCGTCAGCTGCAGAAGCTTTTGAAGCTGATGATAGTGGTTCGGTAAAACCATCAGAAACTAGTCCTGTGAAAATTTGGAAATATAACGCTGATTTTTGTTGTTTGACTTCTGAATTAGCACCCCCTGTTTACTAACCTGTAAAAGGGAATAGCAGAAATGTTAAAAATGCTGTTATGATTGCATACATTATGAAATGACAAAAAGAACTGTTTTGGTAAGATAATACTATTGTTTGTTTTCATTCAGTATATAAGCCTTTGTATGTCAGATTTGGTTATGTAAAATAGTGCCAAAAATTGTCAAACTTGGTCCATGTTTATGCTATTATTTGACATTCATGTATCCATTTATAATTGACATTACGAGCCATGCGAAAAGCAGCAAAAGCTTTATCTAGTTTTTCGTTATAAAAATTTGCTCATTTCTGCATTGGCAATTTGCTGTTTTCATTTTCAAAAGATTTGTGTAACCAAATTGTTTCAGTGCAGTCATATAAATTTGCAATATCTAGAATCTAGTAGTCATGAGATTCATGCGAAACTGAATTTCAGAATAAAAAAAACTCGTACGTCATATATACACAATTGGCTTATATACAGAATATGCCATCAAACACTAATGTTGGTGGAAAAATCCTAACTGCAGTTGGACTTTCGGCTGCATTCCTAGCAAACTTTCTTAAACCTCTGGTCTACATGTGGCTAAACTGTAAAATCTCTTGAACAGTGTTAGTCTGGCCCCTATTCCAGTTCCAGCAAATTGGCTGGGTGCATAGGCAGTTTCATAGTTTTTTACCATGGGTTAACTGGGTGTCCGCTGATAACATCGCAGAAGAAACAACGTAAGGTGAAAACGACGTGCTAGAAAACATCGGGATACAAAATATCGTATCCAAAAATAAAGCGGTTCAAAAACTTCGCACTCTAAAAACATCGTTGTCCAATAACATTGTGCAGGAAACAACGTAAGGTGAAAACATCGTGGTACAAAATATCGTAGCCAAAAATAAAGCGATTCAAAAACTTCGCACTCTAAAAACATCGTTGTCGAAAATATCGTGGTAAAAAATAAAGCATCTACAAATCATCGCATGATGATAACATCACAGACATGCTTTTTTCAGGCTTTAATAATTGTAAATGGATATTCCCGTAATGATTTGTGAGCACAAGAGGGAAAAAACGATGATTTTTACTTTCATATTTTTTATTAACTAATAAAATTTTGATGATAAAGTAAGCAGGAAACTTAACCATAGAAAATTAATGCAACTTATAGCACTTAACAGAATTTTAAACTGACATATTTAACTAACAAAGGACATTAATAAATTATTTTTTATGAAGTTTTTACTGGTAATTTTTCATGAAAAGTATAATCTAAAAAAAGATTAGAAAAAGGAAGGTAAGTAACTGCATGACCCTATCTATAAAAAAATTGCTAACTAAATTGTAAGATTATTTAATTCACTTTTTTTAATCTAACACTCTTATAGTGAAAATTATTTCTTGTTTTGTTTCAGTTTATTCTTAAAGTGTTATTAAAATTAAATTTTCATGCACAGCGTGCAGACGAACTATCTTCTTAAGTGTTTTTGATATCAATAAACATAGGTTTTGATCATTACGCAAGTTCACCACATCAGCGCAAGATTAAAAATATATGGCATTTTGAGTGGTCGCTTTAAATTGGATTGCTTACATTTACTTTTAGATTTAAACATTTCCTATTAGCACTGTATACACTTTATTCGAAAATTTCATAGTTATTTATTTAACTTACAGTGACCAACTTCCTAAGACAATTAATGTTTTTCTTCGGTGTTTCTTAATTTTCAGAATATCTTAATTTATGCACTCCAAAAATCTGTACCGAAACTAATATTTCTGAGCGAGATTCTATTTTGCGGCGCTTCTTTGTCCTCGGAATTCTTTACCTAGCAACTTTGAAGCGATTAATTTTTCTTGTAAATTTTTAATTAAGGATAAAATTTAATGAAATAAAAACTTAATTAAATTTTCAAAGATAAAAACTGCATATATTTTACATTGACATTTATTTTCAGTGACTTAAACGTTTCAAGTTCAATTTTTTTTTTTTTTTTTTTTTTTTTTTTTTTTTTGTATTTAAATAACAAACTTATTCGAATAGGAAACTAATATTTTTATGTGTCATTTTAAATGCTTTAGAAACATGTGATTTTGAATATCAATCATAACTAAATTTTAAGAGCCGTGTTTGCTTCTTTCCATGATTATTTTTTAATTAAAGTAACCAAAAAGAATATTTTTTCAATAAAATGAAAGCATTAGTGTTCTATGCATTCAACTAAAAGCATCTAACATATTTTGGAAAAAGATATCTTTAAAGAAGGCATTTTTTCCATAGTTTAAGTTTTAAATCAAACAAAAATATCTTTTTCAACTTTATATTTCGTGGAGTTAGTTTCGTTAGCCTTTAGGCTTCTTTAAACATCTACTTGGATTTATATAACCCATTGGGATTGAAAGGGGGTAAGGGTAAGAATTAAATGCTGTATTTCACCGCACTTAAAATTTTCAGAATATTGATTTATGAAATTTTTACAAAAGTTCATTTTTTAATAAATGATTTAATTTCACATTTTATATTCAGTTATTTTATTCATAAAATGAAATTTTTCATTTCGTTAATAGTAGTATATATATTTGTTTCAAAAGAGAAGTGAGAATCAGGGTTTCGCTGGAAACTAGCAATCTGTATGCAAGATGAAAGCAATTAGGAACTTTTCGGGAAACTAATGCTTGAAGCTCTAGTTCTGAGTATTGCATTGAAAAACAAGCTAAGCAGCTGAACTCAGGGGGGAAGGATGAATTACGGTTACTGAAAAGCTCAGGGGTGAGGGACGAATTACAGCTAGGAGGGTCAACCGTTAGAACGGGTGTTTCAATCAAGCCTAACTCCTGGGGATCTGTCCCCTCTGGGCGAAGGCTATTTGGTTAATAAAAGACAGGTGAAAATTTCAGTCATTACTGATGATGCTCCACGTGCAGACAGAAATAGCATTTCTTATCTTATTAGTATTTGTATGTTTTACAGTACCATGCAGTTTAAAAAGAGAACCCAGAAAAGTTTAGTTTAGAGTTTACCAAACATGTTCGGATCGCCCTTCCTTATTTGTTTTTGATAAAGCCCTTTGCCTCTTTTGCATATATGTATTCATACATGCAGATTAATTTAATTAATATATAATTCCATCCAATGAATTATATTAAAAATAGATATTTAATTGACATTTTTTCTTTTTCTTTCTTTTCTGGCCAAACTTCAGCAACACGAATAATGAATAATACAACAATTTTAATCTTTTTCGAATAAAATGACATATCCATGTAGTTCGATTAAGGAGGCGAAACTTTCCTGATTATACGTATGATAAAAACATCACTCAAACTTCTAGAATCGCTGAGAATGGAAAATATTTAGAATCTGAGGAACAAGATTTTTTTTAAAATTAAATATAAATTTTAAGCAGTGTTTTCAGAACTGTGCAATATGCATTTATTTCTTTTTTTTTAAATTTCTTTATTATTAAATACTTCTTCAGACCAATAAGAGAAATACACAGATTTTCCCAAAATATGTTTTACTCTGTCAAAATAACGTTAAAAATTTAGGTGTCCGGTCTTTACACGCAAACAAAAATTATAAAATTTGCTTTATTTAATTTAATTTAATGTTATTTAAGGCATAAAACTTTATGTAAGTAATAGAGAATAATATAAATAGAAAGAAAAGTGAAAATATAAGTGCTTTACAAGTATATGAAATTGGAATAATGCTTTAAAAGTACTGTGGTTTTTTTCCAGTTCAATCATCAGAAATCAGATAAGCAATTAGTATATGTGTTATTTACAGTGGTGTATATGGATAAAAGGAATTCTACATTTACCTAATAACGCACCTCTCATTGATTTATCTAATTTACAGTATAACTTTGTTTATTATTATGAACTCTGAAACTAAAAATGTAGTTAATTACAGATGAAAATAAAACTAAGATTTGTAAAATTATTAAAACGAAAAGATACTTTTGTTTGATTTAAAACATAAACTATGGAAATTAATATGCCTTCTTCCAAGATCTCTTTTTCTAATAGTTTAATGCGTAGAATCACTAAATACTTTCATTTTATTTAAAAAATATTCTTTTTGGTTACTTTAATTAAAAAATAATCATGGAAAGAAGTGAACACGGCTCTTAAAATTTAGTTATGATTGATATTCAAAATCATATGTTTCTAAAGCATTTAAAATGATATATAAAAATATTACAGTTTCTTATTCGAAACAGTTTGTTATTTAAATACAAAAAAAAAAAAAAAAAAAATTGAACTTGAAACGTTTAAGTCACTGAAAATAAATGTCAATGTAAAATATATGCAGTTTTTATCTTTGAAGATTGAATTAAGTTTTTATTTCATTAAATTTTATCTTTAAAAATTTACAAGAAAAATTAGTCGCTTCAAAGTAGTTGCTAGGCAAAGAATTCCAAGAACAAAGAATCGCCGCAAAATAGAATCTCGCTCAGAAATATAAATTTTAATTTTGCTACAGATTTCTGGAGCGCACAAATTAAGATATTCTGAAAATTAAGAAACACCGAAGAAAAACACTTAAAATTGTCTTAGGAAGTTGGTCACTGTAAGTTCAATAAATAACTATGAAATTTTTCGAATAAAATGTATATGAAAAATCTAAATAATACTTTCAAAGTGCTAATAGGAAATGTTTAAATCTAAAAGTAGATGTAAGCAATCCAATTTAAAGCAACCACTCAAAATGCCGTATTTTTTTTAATCTTGCGTTGATGTGGTGAACTTGCGTAATGATCAAAACTTATGTTTATTGATATCAAAAACACTTAGGGAGATAGTTCGTCTTAGGAAGACTCACCAAGAAGGATCACCGCAAGTATACATTATTTCTAAGAAACAAACAAACAAACAAATCTGCGTGAAGATTTTTGTGATTTTTCTAAAGTATAATGTGCATATGAACCAGTTGTTGAGAATGTACTCCACAAAGGAATCCCACCCCTTAAGCAGATAGCCGTAGTGGGCTTTGGCATAATCTAATAAATCCAAACCCTACTGAAATATTATATAGCTGACTTTCGTCATAAGTAACAAATCAACATTCAAATAACTGACTGCACGCTGTGCATGAAAATTTAATTTTATGCACAGCGAAAAAATACGAAGTTTCGAAATACGAAAGCACACTTTAAAAATAATCTGAAACAAAACAAGAAATAATTTTCACTATAAGAGTATTAGATTTAAAAAAGTGAAGAAAATAATCTCACAATTTAGTTAGCATTTTTTTATAGATAGGGTTATGCAGTTAATTACCTTCCTTTTTCTAATCTTTTTTTAGATTATACTTTTCATGAAAAATTACCAGTAAAAACTTTATAAAAAATAATTTATTAATGTCCTTTGTTAGTTAACTATGTTGGTGTAAAATTCTGTTAAGTGCTATAAGTTGCATTAATTTTCTATGCTTAAGTTTCCTGCTTACTTTATCAGCAAAATTTTATTAGTTAATAAAAAATACGAAAGTAAAAATGTTTTAGAACTGCGAGGAAATGTTTTAGAACTCCCATGATGTTCTGTCACACGACCTCCGCTACATTTTCGTCTGCGATGTTTTCAGCTGTAACCGTTAACTGAACAGGCTTTTGTTTCCCTTAAGCTGCGTTCACACTGGTCCATTGGTGTGAAAAGTGGCAACGTGGGAAATAAAATGCTTTCGGCATGTGTCAAGTTCACACAAGCTCTACAACTTTCACTTTAAAAGTTGTCATATGCTCGTACTAGATGGCTCTTCATACAGGAAGCTATCAAATGTAGTATGAAGGTTTTTTTTTTTTTTTTTTCTTTTTTGAATCTGTTGTGCAAAAATTTGAGTTAAATTTCTTTATCTCATAAATGCATTTTTTTAAAGATTTTTATCTTCTAAAGTGAAGGCTGAAGTCAACACACCATAACGGTGTTACATGTAAAACACGATATGAGATCGCTGTACAAAATCAGTGAGAAAGATCTTGAAGGCTATGCATATTCCTTGGTCTTCAACTTTTCATTTTAAAACTAACTTTTAAGTCAACTTACAAGACTTTGCCTGTTGTCATAACATGTTAAGTGATATGATTGTATTTTTTTTTTTTTTTTTGCATAAGTAAAACAAGTGTAACAAAATTAATTTTTGTGCTTATTAATGTATTTTGAAGTTTAGCTTCTGTGTATTTCTAAATAACAGATACGTTAAGTATGCTTTTAATAAAACATTTTTTAACTATCAGAATAATGTAACAAACTGGCTGCTATACTAAAATTCTAAAGACAAAAAATTGTAAAGCTTGTGGACTAGAAAATGTATGTTGATTTGTGCGTTCTTGCATGTGTGTGTGTTAGGGGGGTTCTATCTCATGAATATCTTACTTAAATGCACTTCAGATTTTGCAGAGGGAAAAAATTAATTTATGATTTATTTTTAATTCAGTGAAAAAATTTTACTTTTTTGAGTATCTGTTTATAATTTTGCAGACTGTTTATGCTTATTATAGAAAATATTTCATACCTCTCACCTAGGATCAAAAGGCAAATTCTGAAGATCTAGAACAGAAGTTTCTGGAGATGAAGCTTCAGAAGCAACTACGAGAATCAGAAGAAGATTCAAAGTGGCTTGCAGAAGAAAGTGGCCATTTTGCTCCTTTATCAGTATGAGTATTTTCAGTGATGCATTGAAATTAATTTCGTTTCCTTTTATGTTAATTATTTAAGTTATTTCTTAAAATAGTTCTTATTATTACCCTTTCCTAAAAAAAAATGCCATTAGCATGTACTTTTTATAATTTCGTCGACATAGTTTTTACGGATTTGGAGTAGGGTCATTAAATTATTGAGAAATATTGTGGAGGGTTAATCATTTCAATCAGTTATTTAAAAATTAAACATTGTGTTGTAATTTTTGCCATTAAAATTTGGTACCTGTATCTTTAGTAATATTTCTATGCTATACTCTTGATATTATTGACAATTTGAATGCATATGTTCATTGTAAATATTTTTTTTTGGGGGGGGAGGTCTTAGAGCATGTATACATTAGAAGAAATTCTTGTATGTGAATGTGTATTGCATACATTTGTCAAACTCTGTCATAGTTTTCTTCATGGAGAAATATGCTGTACAACTGAATGTTTTTCCAGTTGGAAAAATAAAAGTTGCAAAATTTACATTATTAGTGCCACCTTTGGTATGAAAAGGCTTGTGTCTCCTCAGAAACAGAAGTATATATAACTGGCATTCTACATTGCTTAGGTGTTGTAGAACAGGGTTCTGGGATGTATTTTTTAAATACATATACGGACATAAACATTTGCTGTGAAACAAAATTTAAATCATAAGTTGAGTATTTTCTGAATCCAGTTTTAAGAAAGTGCCTGTAGTCTTCATTTCATAATTTATTTTTATGTAGAGGATTTTGATAGAATTTTTTTAGACAGTAATTATTTTGGGGGGCTGCTTCTGGTTCATATGACTCATTTAATGAGGGAAAATTATCCTTATTGGATTTAACAGGATAATTTAAAAAAATTCTGTTATGAATAATTATGGAACATACATTAATTGATACATCACATTAAATTTTGATTATTCAATTTTCTTGTCACACATTATAGGTTAAAGACTCCATGTGAGATCTTTTTTAACACACATCTTCAGTCCAAAGGAGTGAATGATTACTTGGCCTGTAGCACTGTTTGCAAATTCCCTCCCTTCCCTATGTTACGCTTGTGCTAAAGGCATTGTATTTGTCCTACCATTGTAATCTGATGCCGAATTCAAAATTTGCTTTATCAATGCTGTTGTGTCAATCATGTTATAGCATTTCACTGTATGTGAATTGAGCTGAATTCTAGACTGATATATGCTACCCAATGAAAGGACTTGGCATGCAACATTTATGACATGTTACAAAAAATGGGTTACTTGAAATTTAATTTGATGTATCACAAGTAAATATGTGCCAATTATAATATTTGCTGTAACAAATTGTAACAGAATGATTCTTTTTTACTTTACCTGTATTTTGCCATTTTGAAAATCATCAATCTTTGATGTTGATTTACTTTTAATAATTGCATATTCCTGGCCTTTTTAAGTTATTTTGGAGGCTGTGTAAGCATTGTAAAGTTATGCACTTATTTGAAAAATCAGTATAAAATATCCTTAAACATGCATAGGCTGGCTGCATGGGCATTTTCATGATTTTCACAGTGTCTGACATTCCTTACATGAATGCATTCCAGTTCCCCTTAGAAGGTCCTTCACAAAGCATCACTTTCCTTAGACAGTATCCTTTATCACTTTCCCTTGCTTTGCCATAGTCAAATGGACCAAAGAAGCCTAAAAGGAGAGAACCACTGGTTTGCCTCATTTTATTGCAGTATTCTGCTTAGTACTGTCACAAAAAATACTTTTTCTAATCCCACCCACCTTCAGACAAAATTTGTATTGTTAAACTAAGCCATTTTCATATGCAATGAAACTCTAGTTAACAATTTTGTAACTGCATTACTTCACTGATGACTTGTAACCTCCTGTGTATGTATGGGGTTACTGTAATACGATTATGAATAGCCTCTGTAACAAAGCTGTTGCCTTTTTTTTTTTAAATTTAAAATAGTGAAGTTTTATAATTTGCTTAAAATTACCATGTAGATATAAATTTGTTCTTACTAATATATTGATGTATTTCTTCATTACTTTACTATGATTTGGATGTAATAATTTTAGAGGAATTTAAAGCTGAAATAACTGATTTGCTTTTTATGTTAACATAGTGTTGAGCTGTAGGAATATTGTATTTTCAGTCTATCACTTTTAAGCTCTTCATAAAAGCTAAGCTATTCTACTAAGGCTTTAAATTATGCTTTGGGGGCTGGAAGGGTTAAAATTTATTTAATTAACTCAAATTAATCATCTTTTATAGCTTAAGTACAGAAATTTGAGAAACATTCTTCTATTGAGGTAGAACTAAGATTTTTTTTAGGGGGGATGCAGCACCTTTACAATTAAGGAAGAGATTTGTGAGCATATCAGACACATATAGTTAATGCATTTGTAAACTTAAATTTATCTGTAGATTTTTTGGTAGGTATATTTTATAAAATGTGATATTGATGAAAGAAATTCATTAAGAACTTTACATTTTCCAATAAAATTTTGCATTCATTGATTGTTATTCTTAGTCCAAGAATCTTCGTTTGATATTTTAAATTTCCTAGTTGGTCAGTTTTTGTTTTTCTTTGTCTTAAGTTACACATTTGTTTTAATAATACTGATAATAATTTGTTTTACTAACCATGGTACTTTTTTTCAAAAAATTACTTTAGCATTCCGAGAAAAGATTATCCATTGGTGATCGATCACATTGCTCGGACAGTGATAGCATAGATGGCATATCTTCACTTAATGTCAGGAATGAATGTTCATTAGGTAACTATTGCAGCAATCACTGATTTTTTTTCTTTAGTGGATGTTTTTTTACTAATTTTATGTTTTCATATTCAGAAGTTAAGATTCTAAGTCTAAAATATGCAGTTATTACATTGCTAATATGGTGCAGTGGCTAAATTAGAAACTGTCATGTATATTGAGGAAGATTTCCTTTTTCTGTGATACTATTAAAAAAAATTAAGAGGGAAAAAAGTGGAAGTATTTTATGTTGTTTAGACTAATCTCACTTGTCTAATATCAGAGCAAGCCTACGAAATTCATCGTGGCAGAGAGGCAAGATTGTGCCCATCATTGGCAAGAGCCATGATCACCACTCAGGTGGAAATATGGCTTTGCTCAGTTCCGCCTCCCATTTTGAAGAACATCTCGGGTGACGGGTCCGAAGGTTTCACATTTTTCTTCTACTACTACCACCAATTACTCAAGAGAATGTTCAGCTCACCATACATTTAGAGTGCTCCCATGCCACATGGATACGTACAGTAACAAGCATCAATGCCTTCTCTGGGATTTGAACCTGGGGCCTTCGGGATGGCAGTCAGTCACTAATCACTATCCCAGTTGGCCAGCAAAAATGTCTTAACTTTGATAACCTGAATATCAAGGGGGAACAGAAGAAAAGTCCAATAACTGAAAATTTTGCTTATGAAAAAATTTAGCATTCATTTCAAATTCAATTTTGGTTGTACTCATCTGAGTCATTGAACTGTACTTTATATTGTTGATTTTTAACAAACGTTAGATTATAAATACCAGACTTGCATATTTTCATAACCACTTAAGGAATTAAAAGATAAGTCTTTTGTCTTTTATTTTCTGTGCTAAACTGGGTGGAACGCACAAAACCCATTAAGATATTCAAGTTGCTAAATACAGTATTTAAGAATTGTTTTTAATAGCAAAGCACATAAAGAAAATTCTGAAATAATTTTATAAATCATTCACTTCTTCCAGAAAATGATGAGGATATTGTTTTAAGAAATAGGTTTGTCATTAGTGCATATTAATGTTTTATATTCTGAGTATTGTTATGTAGTTTTAAAAGCAAACTGAATTATTTTGTTTATTGCATAGTTTTACTGTACTAACACAATTGAAAACGGAAAAAAAATTCAGTGGCGCAACAGCCCTAGTGGGCCACGATCTGCAAAATCTGCTTTCTTGACCTTGAGAGCATCAGCGTTATGCCCTGGACAAGTGGTTAGCTTGTCGCTGGACACCCTCCCTACGATGTTTATTCCTCAAGCAAACTTGGTACTCATTTTATCGACCCATTCAAGATATGAAAGGCTGAGTCAACCTTGCCCGGCCCGAGGATTGAACCCCAGACCTGTGGTGCAGCTGCACAATGTGCTAGCCACTTCGCCACTGGGCGGTCATTAGCAAAATTGTTTACTTTTAATTATGATTTGATATTTTTGTACTTTTTCTCATTTATTCTCTTAATTTATCCTATTAAAAGTAATTTATATTTTCTGTAAACAGTTTTAATAAAAACTGAAGAATGTATTATATGCCCTATATGTAATAAATAACTGCATTTTTTATACTATTAAATGGTCATATAGCACTAGCATTTCTCAAAAAACCTGGGACTGGAAATGGAACATAATGATTTGCTTTTAATGCATCTACTGCCAACATGCAAAAGAAGCGTAAATTATATGAGCATTACTACTGCATGACCTAAGTATATTTTTAATTCGTAAAGTTTGAAAAAATAACTGGAGCTTATTATGTATAGGACACAACATGGTATTTTATATCAGTTGATATACTTTTGAACAACTCTTTATACTTTCGAGAACAATGCAGCACATGTTGATATACTTTGAACACCATTTTGTAAGGAAACAAAATGAATATTTTTTCTGCAATTTTCGGACTTTGTAGATTTTTACGAGTAATACATTTGTAACTTGGAACCAATGGAGCAAAGTGATTTGGTGGCCAAAGAAATTTATATTCCCATGTAAAACTTAAAAAAAAAAAGTGATCCACCAGTTGTGTATGTGGCCACAAACATGAATGTTGCTGGGCCTACTGTAGGCATAATTGACAGTGATGCTTGCTCAGCAGACCCATATGAGTGGGACATCTGCTCTGCTACACAGTCTCATATCCAACAGTGTCCGCAGAACTGTGTGTTCCAAAACAATGAATGATTTTTTAAAAAACAATGTTAAATAATGAATATCAAAATATAAATTAATGTTACATGTGACATTATCATATCATTGGCTGAGTAGATATGACTACTGAACATTGGTAATTAAGATCCTAGCAAATGGCTGGTTGCGTGGTCATTTTTGTAGTTCTCCTAATATGTAATATTAGTATTGTTCTGTTTTTCTTAATTCATGAAAATGTCCCTCACATAAAGTGGACAATTCTCATGTGCATGGCCATAACCAGCTAATACAACAAATGGAACATTTAATATTGAACTTTATGCAAAATAAGAGTCCTTTGTTTGCTCTATATTTGTTATTTCATGTGTGCTCTTTTGTGTACTAGCAATGTTTTTGTTGCTGCTTGGATTGTTGCATGTGAGTCAGACTTTTGTTTGGTATTTCCTGTGTGAGCTTTTGTGCATCAGAAATGTTTTTGATACTTCTTAAGATGATTGCATGTTAGCCATTAATTATGGCTTGCCTTTAACTCTTCAGGACATACTGATGGATGTCCAAAATGTGGTTAACCTTTATGCTTTTTATCTCTACCTGAGTATTTCCAAAACCATCAGTGACAAATGCAGTTTCCAACTTCATCCTTCCCACGCATTTGACGAATGTTGCAGCAAGCTGCTATGACATAATGGTTGTATTATACTCGTATAGTAACTATTGTCTGATGTGCTCCTAATCACTTACCATTTTAAAGTGTAAATTTCTGACAAACTTGGTGGCATTATATCTTGTATCGCTTCACCTTTTACTGGTAAAAAATTCCAGTCATTGCAGCATTGCTTGAGCAGTAAATCAGCCAAATGAAGTTTGCATGTACTGAATAGATAAAAGTTTTATATATACCCAGCCTATACCTATGCTGTTTGCAGTAATTAATTTCTTTCAAGTTGTTGAGTGACCAGTAATTAATTGGTCATTAGTTTATCTCTAATTGAAGGCTATCAAACTGGGTAATTTCATCACCTAAATGTAGATGCAGATTATTTTTTCTGTCTAGAATTTAAAGGTATTGAATCTAATGGCATGTTTGTTTATTAATCTTGTGCATTTTCAGCAATCAGTGCGAGTTTTTATAGGTCCTTGTGTAAAACAAATTATGTTCTATTTTCTTCATGACACTGTGAAATATGAAATAAATTTCTATAAATTCTATAATTTTTCTCCGATTTGAAACTGCTTTTACCATACTTAAAATTTTCATTTGTGAGAAGTATTTAATTTCTATTGTAGTCATTTTTATTCTGCATTAAAGTCTAATTTCTGTTTATTTATTTATTTAAATCTTTCTATGTACTTTCAGAAACATCTGCCCATCCAGAGCCTAATGACATAACAGATGCATCTAAGCCGTCAAATGTAAGTGAAAAACATTTTTTCATCTAAATCCCCATTTTTCTTGTTACAGAGGCTGTTCACACATTTTTTAGACTTTTTTTTTTTTTTTTTTTTTTTTTTTTTTTTTGCTATAAAAAATATCCTTCACTCGAAAGTTTGTTTTTTTAATTACAACTATGTTTTGGAAAGCATAAATTATTGTTTACTACTTGCCAGTTTTTTCATATGAAATGGACCTTTTAAAGAAGCAGTGGCTGGAAGCTTGTCTGTGTGCTCTTTCCAAAGACAATTGCTTGTCACTAGTTATTAAAAAAAGTTGTGAAAGCCATGGTTTTCTGATATTTAAAGCTACAATAGGTAATATTGTGAACAAGAAAGAAGTCAAATTTTGTCTTCAAGTGGAAAAATTGTTCCAAATACGCATCCTAGGAAAAGACAGAATGTTTCAAATGTTGCTAAGGTAAGATCTTTAATGTCAAAAAAAAATCCGCCAAGTCAAAGGACAGTTCCAAAATCATTAAAATTATAAATTTCACCTGTAAACAAAGTAATTAATGCTGATTTGAATCTTAAAAAGGGGGAAAACTGTAATGTGCTTCCTTTTTCTACACAATCTATCGCAAAACATGCTGCAGAATTCTTTATGAGAAACATTTATCTAAATAAAAATGAAAAAATATCACATTAGAAGAATCTTGGGTGTGTAGAGATCCATTTATGTATCATCAAAGAGGAGAAAAAAATTCTTAAACATGTTTCAAAGAATCTAATTTTTTTTTTTTTTTTCAAATGGATTTATGATTGTTGCTGGTTTTTCATATAACAACAAATTGAAAATGAAGGGAATGAAGAAAAATGTTCAGATCAACTCCACATATTGTCAGGAACATACTTTATACCCAATTTTCAAATATGAAGTACCTTCTTTTTCCCCACAGTGCCATCAGTGAGTAGAACTGCATCAAAACAAAGCAAGCAGGCACACATCAAAATCCACTGTTAGGTTCCTGAAAAAATTGGAACAACAAATGTTGTCAAGGCCACATATCCTACTATATATTATGTTTATGATACAATATGATTATATCCAGTGACATAAAGTATTACTCCCGCCGCTTCGTGGTGTAGTGGTCTGCATGCTCTGTGGGTATTCGAGAGGTCCGTGCTTTGATTCCCAGTAAAGGCATTGCTCATTTTTCATTCCGTCTACTTCCCAAAAAAAAACCTAATGTCTCTGCAGCTAGTTAAAGCAATATATGCAAGTTATCCTAAGTTAAAATGTCAGTTATACATCTTTCTCATTTATATATCTTTTGTAAATGGAACATTGAAAGGCGTGTTAACTGTGCTTAACTGTATTTTCTCTTTTAATATATTCGGTTTTCAGATGCATCGTAGTCTGGGACACAAAGTGTTGTTCTGAAAGAAACGCAATTCAATTATATAAAATAAAATCCTGGAAAATTTATATTAATAAATATATTTAAAATGCTCACTTCGAATGAATAAATAGAAAATTTTAAAACAATTATCTGAAGAGACAATGCAACACAAACAATTAAAATAAAAGTCTAAAAATTTAAAAATTACCTAAAATAATAACTATGACCAAAAAAATATATAAAGAAAACTATTTGAAAAAAAAAAAAAATAAAAAAAAAAAAAAAATGATGCACCTTTATTTACCCAGTTTGAATAGGTAAATAGAAATTTTTAAAACAGTTATTCAAAAGAAGCCATGCAACTTAATCAACTATAATGAAATTCGAAAAAAAAAAACTTAAAATAATAATTATAATTTAAAGCAAAATATAAAGAATATTATTTGAAAAAAGGAATGATTGTGACTTTTGGCAACCTAGTTTCTTTTCCGCTCACGGGAAAAGAAACTAGGTTGCCACATATTAAGAAGTTCGCTAAGTGAACTATTCTTGGCGCAAACTGAAAAAAGTGCCACATAAATTTGTGAATTTCTCTGTAAATTTCGCCCCAAATTTTACAGAATTTCATATTTAGGCATAATTTGAGTCGTAGAATCGAAATATGTAAAAAAATTGGTATGTTATTACAGAAAAAGTCCGATTTTGTGGCAAAATACCTATGGTAGAATAGTGCTATATATAAATCTAATATATATCTTAAGTCGCGCTTTCGAGACATGAAGAACGCAATTTGAATTTTGTCAATCGGCCCAGTAGAACGGGATAAATAGAACTGTCCCCTTTTTTGGGGGGGGGATCTGTGTACACTGTATCTGCAAGTTTCATTCAAATAGCATAATCATATTCATTTCATGGATTTGCCTTTTCGAGAATATTAACAAATAGACTAGAATAGGCCTTTTTAAAGAAAGAGTTAATAATAATTTGGAATCTGTTGAAATGCAAACAAGGAAATTTGATATTTGTCATATTTATTATCTCACACATTTGCTAAAGAGTATTTTATCACTTCTAGTTTGGGTTCTGTGCATGGTGTATGTTATATTAGTAAAATTGTATGTTTGTGAAAATATCTCAGCTTCTTAATACAACTGAACTAGAAGTTTATTCAATTAAATGCCTTTTTTCTGAAGCAAGAAAAGTAATAAATCTATGATTTATTAGATCTCCAGTTATTGGAAACATGCAAAGTATTTCAATGCAATGAAAACGTGCAGAAAGTTTATTCAAGTAATGATCCTCACTTTTTTTGTTTTGTTAGCATTTTTTTATTACTTAAATTATTATACTTATGATTTTTTCTCTTTTAATGTAGCATGAACAAAGTCCTACAGTGGTATTAAATCGTTCTGGTGATCATGTTTATGAGCATACAACAGATGTGGTGCGAGCAGTGATGAATTTATCTCAAGGTGTCCAGCAAGGAAGATTAGCTGATTATTTAGATTTAGTAAAGGTCTGTTTACCATTATAGTAAACATGCTGTTGTTATTAATCTTTATCTCATCTGCCAGATAGATAAAAGTATTGACTTCTTAATTTTGGTATTTCACTGATCAGAAATAAAAGTTTTCATTAGTGTATTTATTTTTTTACTTTTGTTTGTTATGTAATTCCTTATATATCTGGATCCTCTTGTTGAATGAAAACTTTCATTTCCATGCATAAAATTTAATGTGACTTTGCCTTGTTTAAATAGTGTGATCACAATGCTCATTTTAATGCTTTTTGTAACATTTCACTATGGAGTCTATGAATTATTTAGAAAGATCAATTATTAAAAATTGTAATCATGTATATATGAATTTTTGCTTGCATAGAAAGCATTGGAAATATTGTGGCATGAGTAATTATAATAAATGAAACTTTTAGATCTATATATCAAATTGTATATTTTCATTTAAAACTTTTTTTTTTTTTTTTTCATTTAAGATACCAACAAAAAATTGTTTTTCTTTTGTTAAAATTATTTCACACACTTTTTCTCACTTGATTATTATGATCTAGAGTAAAAGAAATAGCATTGTATAGAAGGCTATTGGATTATATGCATATTTGACTACCATGCAGTATTATTTTATGAAGCTTGCTTGAACCATTTTCAATAAAAAGTCTTACTGGGAATAAAATCATTTTAAATAGTCATCTCTTGAACTGAAACAAGCTGTTAGAATTTCTGCGTACAGTATCATTCAATGTCCAGGAAGGATTGCTTTCATATGGACAATTAGGAGAAAAAGCAAATCCCAAAACTGTTTGGGATTTGCTCTTTACAGATGAAATATTGCATGGCATTCTAAAATGTAAAATTTGAAAATATAAGAAAATTCGCCAAATAATAATAAGGAAAAAGTCTAAGAATAAATGAAGAATTGTGCATGATGGTAAAATTAATTTTAGCAAGTGATGCAGAGGTGTGGGAGATATTAAAAAGCCCAGAAGAAAACAAACTGGAAGTGAGGAAAACATGTTATGTATGTCCAAATAAAGAAACAAAAAGCAACATAAATATGCATTTATTGTAGGAAACTTGTGTCTTTAGAATGCATATGTAAATTGTGTTATGAATGTGCACAAGATTTAGAACTGAAATAGCACCATGCAAAAACAGTTCAAAATAACCCATTGTGTTTTATTATTATTATTTACGTAAGGATTTCTTTTTATCTTTGAATATTTTCATCATATATGACAAGAAGAAAAAGATTAGAAAAAATAACAGATTTTTATGGATTTTTCCCTTGGGATAATATTCAGTAAAGGCATAAGAAAGCTGTATAGAATATATAAGGGGAATTTCCTATTCATATTTTTATTAGAAAGTTTTATTTTAATTTAAATTGAATGGGGGTCTCATGGACTGCATCTCTCCATTTATGTGTAAATATATCAACCTTGCTAGAAGTTCAATTTCTGTGAGTCTGAAATGCTTCAAGGAAGTTTAATTTACCCACTGATGTTTCATGGGTAATTTTTACAAACTTGAATAAAATTATCTCATGCTTTAATGCATCCAGTAATCTCTTAAAAAAATACTATTTTCTTAATGTAAAGAGGACTTACTCCATCACATCATTTGGCTGATTTTGACAGGAAATAAAACCAATGCTTTTTCCAATATTTATTTTTTTTTTTCGTCATTGAGAGTCTGACTGAATTATATTAAAGAAACTCTGCCACATTCAATTGAATTTTTCTGCCGTTTAACTAACATGCTTTTAAAATGTGTTACAACATTTTCTTCTACTAAATAGTTCAATTTTTTACAGCAAGTTGGCCTGGATTTAAGAAATCTGTTGGCTGCTGTTGATGGAATCATAAAATCTTTTCCTATTTGGTCTCACAGAGAGGTATGTATTTTCTTTCATTGTCCTGCTTGTACAAAGACTTAACTCTTTATAAAATTTCCTTTTGTAAAGAATTTTTGGCCTATTATTTTCAAATTTCAACACAAGCCCACATTTAGTGTTTTTGTCAATTCTAGAAACTGAATCGAGAAATGGCAAAAAATATTGTGTGTGAATAAAAAAAATAGATGTGATCTGCAAGTTAAAAAGTAAGTTTAGGTGGGAGAAGCTTTGAAACAGGTTAATAATGTATCAATTTTAACATCATTAATAAGCATTTACTGATAGAAGTTTCTTACCAATAAATTTTACTTCTTTGATCCTGCCAAACATGCTGCAGAAGGACCTGTTCTTATTTTATAGCTGACAACTCTTGTCGTTTTACTGGGATGCTCTCGGTTTTTCATCATATCTCCTGATCACACGATTGTTATTAAATCTCCTGGTTTTTAATTTTTTAACTTGAAACTTAAATTGCATAAATTTCTTTTTTCCCAGTTTTAGTCATTTTCAACATAATTTTTTCAGTAAATTTTATTTTACCTGAATGGTCTTAATCTGCTGCAGATGTCTGTAAAACTTTTTATGTAGTCTCTGTTTAGTTATTTAGTTTTGTTAAATTTTTTAAGAATGTATTTAAAATGATAAAGCATGGAATGGATTTTAAAAATATTCACTGTTATTAAATCATTTTAAATGAAAAGATACTAGAAAACCCCAGAGTTCTGTGTCGAATATAAATGGACTGTAGAACAATTTATTTGAATTGCAGGTTACTAATAAAATATCCATTCTCTTTGCTTTCTCATACTTTAATAAAATCTTTGAAAGGGGTGTGAATTACATTGAATATAAAACATGCGAGAAGCCATGAAATTCCCCTGCATTTAGGCCTTACATGTTAAATTTAAATTGTATATGTGAACATTGCAACTGCATCTTACGTGTTACAAACAGTTACAGCTTATGTGTTACAAACAAACGGTCCATGAAATAGGAGACTGAGATTATGCAATATGCTATATAAATTCAGGCCTGATTATTATGATGTCAAAATATTCAAATATTTCATATTTCTGGATAGGGTAATGTGTAAATATAATAGAACAACTTTCTTTCTTTCATTTTGTTATAGTTGGTATTATTACTGTTAATGTGAATTGTCTGTTTCACTGCTTTTCAGCTCTATAACATTAGATTAAGCAAAGAAACAAAATAACAAATGCAACGAGCAGTAACACTTAGCGTCTGTGATTAGCTGTAAATTTATACTGCAATAAAGTATGTATAACTGCGCAGTGTTTATAAAGCAGCCACCTTCTGGGTTGAAAGATCTCTTTTATCCATAAATGTAAGAATATTAAGTATATTTTATATGTGTATGTAACAGAGTGCACATAAAAATTTTATATGTTTGGCAGTTCGTTGGATTAATTCTAAAATTAATTAGAAGTGTCAAAAATTACAGTACATTAACTAAATAGATTGCAAAATATAAAACATGCTATTGGCAAAGCACATTTATCATTGCAGTCACAAAATGGAAGGAAAGAAATGGTATATAATATTATAAATGCTGTGTTATTGCTTTATTAACTATGCCACCCTGTCATAGTAGTAGGTAGTGATTCTGACCACTATGCTGTAGTGCCTATGCAGCATGGGGGCACTCAAAATTATATGCTGAGCCAAAGCCCTCTTGAGTGATTTTGTGGAAGGGTAAGAGAGGTAGAAGTCTGTCTGACTCATCCCCTGAAGTACCGTCCTTCAAAATTGGGCAGAATTGAGCAATCATTCTGCCACCTGTATAGTGCTCAAGGCTCATGCCAATGATAGGCAGTCTTGCACTCCTTGCCATGATAAAATTTGTGGGCTTGTTTTGAGTAGCTTCAACAAGTTTTCCTGTTTATAATTACATGCTTGCACTCTAGAAGCTTTTACGTTTCTGTTTTTAAAGATTTTACCTCAAATGTGAAATTAAATGCATAGAAATTATTTTTTAATTTAATACATTAGTAAGATTCAAATGAATTTATTATCTGGTTATACATTTTACACATCATTATTTTAAGTCTATATCTTCTCTCTCCCTCAAGTGATTAATCAGATCAAAAAATGGGATTTATAGATGCAGAGTAGGACATTGAGTTAACCATAGATATTTGATATAAATGTTTTGGAAGCCATAAATTAGAACTTTTATGCTTAGAACATTTTAAAAATAGCATAGGATGCAACATTAAGAGATTGGCCACAGGAAATTCTAAAGGCTTTTGTTTTATGCAGAGTTTTTCCCGTATTATAGACAATTTTCACATTGAATTTGTATAGAAATATGGAGTGCAGACTGCATAGCTGATGCATGAAATTCTTATTCCTCTTAAAAAAATTATTGGTCTATCTGTTTTATCAATTGATTAAATATATCATATATTGATGCGTATTGTATAAATATAAATGTTATCCTTTTGTGTGGTAAATGTATTTATTTTTAATTTATAACTAGTTTTGCATACATTTTCTTTGTGTTTTTACATTGGATATTTTCTTTTCAGATACAAATGGCACAGGAAGTATTAAGCAAAGATATGGCCTCCTTAGTTACTGCAATGCAGCAGGCTCAGAAATACTCTAGGACTACACTTGATGGTGAATATCGCAAAGGAATGTTATCTGCTGCTCATATTCTTGCAATGGATGCAAAGAATTTACTTGACACTGTTGACTCTGTTAGAATACGTACAAAGAATTGTAATCCTGTTTGTGGGAGTATTATGCCTTTTCATCAAGTTTCTAAAACTCAACTATCTAGTAATAATACCAGACCTTTAAGTTGCATAGCACTTCCGAGTTCATCTGTATCATGTACATCTCAGTCTTCAGGGCAAGGTACCCAATCTAGACAACCAAGTAGTTTTTCATTTGAATCAGCAGATGATTCCAGGCTGTCTCTTGCTTCTAAAATGCTTGGTGATGATGCAAATGACAGTGGATATGATGTCACGTGAAGAATAGTTTGAAGCTATTAATGTTAACTGTATTTTCTTTTGAAAATATAAATATTAGTATTAACAATTGTACAGATAATTTTCGATAACAAGTTACTGCTATTTGTATATCAATATCTGTTTATTTATAAAAACACATAATTGCTCACAAAAAATGAGGTTTGTTTCTTTATAGAAACAAATTTATGAATCATGTTAAGTTTCAATTTTTATTAGCTTTGAGAGCTGTAAGTGTGTATCTACTTAGAGACATTAATTTCATGTGCTTTCTTAGTAATTTGTAAAGCCCTAAGTTTAATTTGCATATATTTATACAAGATAAATTAAAACGTAATGTTTTCTGTGTATTTTTTATATTTTTCAAGAAAATTTAGTGGGAAGATTTTTAATTTTTTTCTAAAATGTTTTTTTAATCCTCAGTTTCTATCTCTTATAAATTGTTTATCCGTAATTAAGTAAGCGTACCATTTATTTATTCTGTGATGCAAAGTGTTAAAATTTCTTCATTTATTTGTTTAGAAGAAAATTATTTTGAAAAATGTTATTGATATAAATGATACTAGTCTATTCTTTTGCTGTCAACATTCAAAACTTTTTTTACATTACTGGACTTCAAATCATGCAGAGCCATATAATTAATTGAAGGAAAATATAAAATAAAATCTAAGTAATATTCCAAGATGATTACTGTGCAAATGCAATTTAAAGAGATTTAGAAAATCATATCAATTTGTTTAGATCAACAAACTGATTATTCTGAATTTATTTTAAGTACAGTATTAAAGCTCAATTTAGTTGTTACTAAACCATCATACATTTCACAAATATGTACAATATTTATAATACATATGTGCATTGTATATGTGTACTTTTAGTCACTCTTTTGTTAAATATAAAAATGTTTGCTACATTTTATAATTTATTTGGATTATTTGGAGAAAATGTTCTGTTACTACATTTTATAATGTATTTGGAGGAAATGTTCAATTTGTCACTTTAATGTTATCTTGAACACTGGATTATCTTCATTAGATGTTATTAATGGTTCTGTAAATCTAACTTTTGCTGGAATTGTTAAGCCAATAATTTTGTCGTTGAAACCTTTCTTTATAAGCTAAATATGTAGCTGAGCTTTGAATAGGTTTATTTACATTGATTTGATTTTCGTTTCATTAACTCTTAGGACATTAATATATTAAACACTAAATGTTTTTATGTATACTTCTCTCCTGAAAGTACCATTTTTCACCATTAATTATGAGAGCGCAAAATTAATATTCTGAAATTGAGGGGTTCAGAGCACATATGATCTACTGTTTTTCCTCAAAGTGAAGTTAAGTGTGTTTATTGTTATGTTTGAGCAGAGAATCTGTCCTCTTCACCCCCCAGAGCAAATATTATAAAGTAGTACATTCATAACGAGAGTTAAGTATGAGTAAAATGCATCATTTGAACTTCCTATAAATACCTCTCAGATGCTGTATTTTATTTTATGGTGTAATAGAAGAGCCAGCAGTGAACTTTAATTGTAATGACTAAAAGTTGGATGTGATTTGAAAGCAGTGCATTTCTGGAAATTTTATAAGAAAATATGGTTCAGATGACATATTTCATAAGGTGGATTTTCATAAGCTTAAGCGAGGTAGACCTTCAAACTCTAGTGGTAATCTATTCTAAGACTCACAGCATCAGGCATCTCATAAAAAAACAAAAGAAATTTTGTTGGTACTTTATGTCAAGCTGAATAACTTGGTATAACTGTGGTTTTCGTCTACAAGCTCAGTGGGCAAACTAGAAGTTCTATTCTTTGTACTAATATTGTTTTTTTATGTTGTTTACGCAGAACAAATATTTTCTGTGTAATTTAATAGATCCAAGTGTGTAATAATTATAAAATCAATAAAAATATCTTGCTGTTCTCTATATTTTTAATGAATGAGCTTTTCTCAGAATGTCAGAGTTTGGATACCTGTGCTCTGAACCCCACATGTAATACATATTGTATGCTGTGTGGAGTCTTCTGAGGTGACATAAAAATTAGTTTTAATATGAAAAACTATGAGACGACTTAAGCAATTTACCAAGCAGTTTTCAAATTGTTGCTGTGTATCAGTTCTGTTGCCTTTTTCCTCGAATTTGTCTATAAATTTTGAAAATGCTTCTGGGTAATAAACTTTCTTTATAAAGTCCCACATAATATATCACTGAAAGTTATAGCCTTTGGCAATATCAAATAGATTTTTTTTAGCAACAGAGTGTTGCCGGACATTACCTTTTCATAGAACACTTTTTATTAATAAAAAAGAGCTTCATTAAAAAGACTGCTTGGTAGATGGCTGGCTGTGTATGCCTGTGTATTAATTAAAAATTGTTATTATAAATTTTGGTGTTCTACTGGCATCCACATTGATTGGTACAGATTTGGACATTCTTCTATTTATATAAATCTATTTTTATAAATCTGTCAGAGGCTACATATTTTGCATTCATAAGAAGTGGAGTTTGATACTTCTTATGTTACTTTCAGTCAAACTTTTTTCCTCAGTGATATATACATATATATATATATATATATACATTTATATATGCATAATAAATGCCTATAAATGTATGTGTTTTAATATCTTTGACATCCTACATAACAAAAATGTGCACATGTGTCTGTTTTAAGTCAAATTTTATCTTAAAATGCTTGTTTGATTACAACTATACAAAGTGATTAAAAAATACAAATGAAATCAAATTAAGATTTTTCGGAATGGAATGGTATTCAGAAATGGCATATTGAGGTGATAAAGGGTGCTGTTTAGTTGTAAATAAAAACATTCTGCTGGGGTAAATCCTCATTCCCCATGCAAGTTTTGAGTGTTATGCATCATTACGTGAATGCGGAATTTGCCAGCATTTTGTCTAGGGGCTACTCAAAGAAGCTACAATGAATGATTTTCGAGTACTGCCTTTGAGCAGTTGTTTTGTGTCCATTCACTGCCCCCTTGGATAAAAATGTATATATGGGGGCTTCATATTCCTGTAGTGATGCATACCACTCAAAATTAGTACATCAAATGATGATTTACAGCAGCAGAATACTCTTATCTTCCATTCAACAGTGAATGCACCAATGTTTGTAGGAACAAACATATTCCATTACAAAATCTGTTTGTCACCTTCACTTACCTTTACATTTCTGCTAGATATATTTGAATCCTTCTGTATTTGTCGTGTATCTTGATGAGATATGATTACAGTTGATGTTAAGTCATTTCTCATGTGTAGATAATAAGAATGGAACCTTTCGGAACAGTTAATATATTTATCAACCAGAATAATGTATGAAATATTAGCAAGTGAAGAGTTTTCATAATATGATGGAGCTCAGAAAATGCAAGTGCTTTTGCACTTTAAAAGCAGGACTATCCAGGAATGATTCTTGCTACTCACATTTATGATCCATTTGATTTTTGATTTGTTTGCATCTATCAAACTGATAAAAAAAGCATAAGGTGTGTTGAACTTTGTGAAGTAGGTCTGAATTTGATGATGGACATAGTTTGCTGAACTTTATATATAGAAGGAAGATGCAATGTAATGACATAGTTGAATTATTGCAAAAGCTTATTTTAAAAGCATTTAGATACCAAGTTTAGAAAACATTTTAATAATATGAACTCTGATAAACTTGTTAAGTGCTAAAATCTTAGAAAGTATGTTATTATATGAACATTTTTAACTTATAATTGAAAGGATTTCATAAGAGATTTTAAAGTTTAAAAAAATACAGTCTGTAAAAGAGCTAACATTTATATTCCATTTTAAACTTCATTTATTTTATATTTAGTTTTACAATTATTATTTTTGATGAGTTATTTCATTTAACCCTTTGCACCTAAAAATTTCCTTCTGTACGCACAGAAAAATTGAATGAAAAAGGATTTATAGGTTACTCTGAACCTTCTTTATTTATAGTAGATGGCAGCTCAACACAAACCAGTCCATATATTTTAGCCATGTTTAGTTTTTTAAGACCTTCATTTTTCAAAGAAATCTTCCAGATTTTTTTAGGGTATAAAAGAAATTGTTTGAAAAGAAATTTCTATGTTATTTTTTTGGCTGTATGCTAATCTCCTTATTCTATATTGGTTTTAAATTTTTACCTTGAAATCTTGCCTAAAAGCAAACGGTGAACCCTAGGTGTGTCCAGACTGGGCTCACCAATTATCTAGGTCAACTGGGAGACTGTATTCTTTGTTTCTCCGTATTTCATGGGTCAGTTCATTGACCGCAATTCTCGTTTCAGCACTCTTTTCGAAGCTCTGTTCAATCAGTGTGCCCACTTTGGGCACACCCACAGAATTAAAGTGATAAGTGCCGTCTTCACAAAATTTTACTTGTGTATACTCCTCTAGGCCTAATTAGACTGCCTACCTTTTTTTTTTTTTTTAAATCAGAATTCCAACTGTAAAAGGTAGCATGCCGGAAAGGATTAAGGTTTAATTCTACTAATTTTTGCCAAAAAATTACGTCCATTTTCTGTTCAAGTCTTAAAGCTTATTTCTCTCTCCCTATTTCCATTAGAATTATTTCTTGTTTGTTTAATTGTTGCTAAACGTAATCCCATAAATTATCTATGGTGTTTAGATCTGGATATTGATTTGGCGTTTCAGTGGCCTGAGGGCAGTTATGTAATGAGGACTGTATTTTATAAGCGGCAATCTTTAGTCATTGTCATATTAAGCCATTGTTGCAAAGTAAATTCAAGCATTTTGCAGTTCACAAACTTACAAATACCTTCTGCATAAAACATTGCTAGCTGAAATTTCAATCAACCAGTCACAGTATTTTGAAGATCCTCATTCTTAGTGAAGTGCTGGCACTCAAGCCAACCATGACATTGACTGTTATTTTGTCTCAGTATTTACATACACTACCCCAGTCTCATCATCAGTTACTAAAAAAAAACTCCTCTTCTGGTGTGTTGTATTGGGGAGGGGGGAGTTTAATGCAGAACTCATTCTGTTGGTTTTGTGAATATGTATGAGAATTTTCAGACCTTACCAAACAAACAAGCAAAAAAAAAAAAAAAAAAAAAGCATCATTTTTGAGTGACTACTTTATACGAAACACTCCAAAAAGTGTTTGGAAATTTTTTAGAATGCTCTGAGATTGTGAATTGGTAGTTCTCACAAACTGTGTGGTCAGTATTCTTGATAATATAATCACTTGCTGCTGTACCACTCCTAGGTTCATCATAAATCATTGTTCTTTTTTTGAGAAATCTGATCCACTGACTCATATCTTCACTCATGTTTCAGCAATACATATCACAGCGTTCATGTCACTGATTGATTGTTTTGCCCAAAGAAATCTTGATAACTCCATGTATCTCATTTGCCAGGAATTTCGATGACAGTTCACATTTTTTTACATTAAAAACAGCTGATGCATGGAAGTATGATGCTCTTCCTAGCACATCTGGAAGCTTACTGAATCACAGATTACAGATATAACACAGGTGGCTCTCTGATTGCTGCTACTAATGCTACACTGGCAGTAACTTTCAAAATTACTCTCCTAAAATCCTATTTGCTTATCTATGTGACTCTAAATAAATTCAGTTTGGCGTGTGGTTTACCTGCTCTATGCAAGTCCCTTTTTCAGCAAATCAGCATAGAAACGTGTTTCCATGAAATATTTCTGACCGTTTATGGATTAGATGACTTCCTGAGCATTTTGAACCGTGAAAGTTAGTTTTTCAATGCTATCTTTTGGATATTAAGAGAATTTTGCCACCTTGAATTTTACCACACCTACAGTAAAACTTTAGACTAACTTGGTTTGTAAGTACTTTGCAAGATGAGAAAAATTTTAATATAAAAGCACAGTGCTTCAAAATGCAAATAGTATGCATGCACTTTGTCTGCCTAGTGTACCTTGATTACAATTAAGCTGATGGTTCTGTCTTGCTGCATGATCATCTTCCTTGCTCGGTCTTGCATTGACATGCTTCACTCACATAACCAACATCCATCCAAGCATATATTAATTTGTGACTGTGTGTCCCAAGCTTTATATATATTCCATTGTTTTGTAACTGTGGCAGCAATGGTCTCTGTGAGGTTAAAAAGGAAAAGGTTATAAGAAAATGATTAAAGAAAAGGCAAGGGTCTTGTATGTTAGTCTTGCAAGTAAACTATCAAGTACTTTGAAATTAAAGGAGAAAGTTTATGTTGAGCTGGTGTGTGTGCGATATTTTAAGAGAAGTTGCAAGAAGAATGTTGTGAAGAATGAAAAGAATCAGAGTTTTCACAGCTGAGTTGCATAAGCATATAATTTCCAAGTGTTACTGGCTGAAACAAATTTTTAATTGTGATGGTAATTTTGGGAAAGGATGCCAAATAGGACTTGCATTACAGCAGAACAGAATGCAGTGCTTCGTCGTAAGTTAATGAAAAATCATCTTAACATTTTATTGTGTACTAATTCACATGAAGATTAAAAAGGTAAATCCTTGCTCATGTCTCATTTTGAAAAATCATGAGCCGTCGAGAAGTGTAAGTTGCTCAGGTGTCAGTTAAACATTATATAGTCTTGCTGGTTAAAACTCATACTTCTGTTCATCTTCCAAGCCTTGAAGACAACTTTATTGGAGAAATTTGAATTCGTTAAGGTCAATTCCCCCCCTCCCCAGCATAACTATTGCTCCAGGCCATGTGTTAACAGGTCACTTTGAATTTTAAAAAGCTATATGCCAAAGCATTATTTTAGCAGTGCTTTAAAGGGAACAAACAAACAAATCTTACTATCTGAGAATTAAAAAAGAAATAAAATGTCGCATGTAGAGTGCATCGAAATGATATCACTAAGAGAACCCTCAACTCTGCTTGGAGAGAACTGTTCTGCTTAGTATTGGGCATAAATCTAATGAATTTGCTCACGGAGAGGTGTCCACGATTATTCTTATAGTTGTGTCCATGGAGGAACGAGTCCAGGAGCTAATCACCAACGAACTGATAGCTCTGCTTCCTGAGCAACAGCAAGGGAGAGGAGATCTCATCTGAGCAGGTAAAGTAAAATAAGAGTGAGAAAATGAAATTAAGGAAATGTGTATAATATGGAAAACAATGCTTTTGTATTATTTTCATATGCTTAATTTTTAGCTATGGAAAGAATCATCTGAATTATCCTTATTTCTTATGGAAAAATTTGCATTCATATACAACTGTTTAGGAGCACCTTCCTGTAATGAATTATTCGCAAACGAAAATAACGTATCTTCATTCACTGGAATAAAAAATGTTTAGGCATTTAGCTTGAGATTTATTTCTGTCAGAACCCTCTATAAGATACTTGTAATGTGGCTTAACATCGTGATACTGCTAATTTATAATACTAGCCGCCTAAAATAGTAATAATAATAATAAAAAAGTATATAGTATAATGATTATAATGAATTCAACTAGTGTAATTTAATGGGTCCTGTAAATAACTAATATAGAGATGGAAGTTACGTTTATTACTTGGTTTGTTAATAACAGAATAAATTTTAAAGAAGTCAAATATCTTACCATGTGCTGAATGGCAGAACGCTGGCGTTTGGAAAAAAATTTCAGA